TTGCTACCTCTATAGATACACTTGGCACTGAGGTCCCCGGGCAGCACCCAGCACACATCGTATTGTAACAGACCAGGAGTACTGTACATGACACTGTGATCAATATCAGAGCTGACTGGTCAGTGAACTCATCTGTGGTGTCTAATGATCAGGGATGAATATACGACGACTTCATCTGCTGTCAAACTGTAAACCATTCATCTTCATAATGAGATGCAAACATTTAATCTTTTATCGCTTACAAAAGTTAAGATTTTTCATTGTTAAGATTTGATAATGCTTATTAAGACAAAATGTACAGGAATTTACCTTTTTTGAAATGATTTGTATCTGTGCACATGTCCTTTCTTTATTGCTTATTGATTGTGTTCTTAGTTGTTCATAGTGCTATTGACTAAGTATATTACTCAAAAGACGTTAAACAACACCCAATCTTTCATATTACTTGATTAACTATGGTAATATGAAAGAATCGTGTGTTCTTGAACTTATTTTGAGTAGTATATATGTCAAGTGGCTATTTGATTGCCAACAAATATCCTGGACTAAATCTGATTAACTTTATGACGTGTTTTGTACAGACACAAACAATTTATTGAATAAGAACTTTTATTAAAGAACTAACATCTGAAGCATGAAATAACTCTACATCCTTTATGACTATGATCAAAAGAGCTTCATTTTTCATTACATGAGCCTTTGACAAAGACAGCCACTGTTGTGTTTATAGGTATGTCATATTTAGGCTCCAGGAAACAAGCACAGGCATTCTCTGACCAGACTTAACTGTACGTGTGTTGTGTATGAATCCTACATGTGCAAGTGCTTTATCCTGTAGGGTAGTGGGTCAGTGGAGATGGGTACAGACATACAGTGTATGTCTCTGGTTATTAATCACAGTGATTCAAGTCGTGCCTATTGTGCATTGTTTCAAAAAGTACAATATAAACTATACTATGCTAGGGTTTACAGTCCATGTGTTGATGTTCAAACATGGGATTAACACTAGCTGAGTGAATCTTCACAAGGGCAAAAAAGTTAAAGAGGCCAAATTTGTTTTATTGATTCTATGAGTATGAGTTAAAGTCGGACACAACACTAGATTTCAAATGCTTGGTACAGTAGTTATTCTTTGCCATGAGAAGCTTAGGATTTTCGGACAAAACCGTTGAGGGAAGATGAGGTGGGTGAGTGGATAATGTGTTTGATAGTTGATGGATCGACTTGTGTTTAGTTCCCCACCATCAATCTCAGTCTGGGTGTAACAAAATAATACAATAAAAATTTTGCCCGTTTGTCAGCTAGGGTTACTAGTAACTTGGGTGTGATGACCATGTAATGTAAATCCTGTGTGCAACAAGGATGTAATGTCCCCATGAAGATCCGGGACAGGTTTAGTCTTCAGCAACCCGTGCTAGTGATAAGAGATGACTAACAGGATTGGTTAATGCATGACACTGTTTCCCAATTGCCTAGATTGAAGCTCATGTCAATCACTGGATTGTCTGGTCCAGACTTGATAATTTACAGAGCACCGTCACAAAGATGGAATATTCTTAGTACAGCATTAAAACAAACAAAACAAGGATGTCATGAATTTCAAAAGAGATAACTTGATTGTTTTACTCTAATGCGTCTTCCTCTCTGAATATACAGTTCAGATCAGACCTGTAGTGACTTCCAAAACCACCAATTGTTTTTCTGTATTCATAATCTAAATACATGATAATTGTTTTGAAATTATGTTGAATGCATTATGAGTATTTTAAATGCATGATGTTTATCTATGATTGATATTGACAGAATATGTAATATTACAGCATTGTTGGGCCACATGTGACCATGTGTCATGATAAGTTGTCTCGGTATTCTATCAACTCCTGGTGATAGGACAGCTTTCATACACAGCACCAATGACAAATGTGTTTATTTGATGTCCTTTGTGTGTAGTTATCTAGCCTATCTTATACTGCCTGAAACCACTGATGTGTGGATCGTGTACAGAAACTATCCCTTTGTCAGAACCCACACACCCCGCTGGGTTTGTTAGAGTCCTAGTTTGATGTTCTGATGTCAACTTTGTGATCTTATTGTGTTATTGACTTTTAGAAGCTTTATCTTGTGGGCAGGTAATGTTAATTTTTTTTGGTGCAGTTTAGCAGCTACCCTTTTGCTTCATGCTAAAGCTTGTTGATGTTTTTACATACAGGTGGTTTATTACTGTTTTGCAGTTAACAGATTTGCAGTCTTGAGACTTTAGCCGCTTGTCATAAGTCTGAGTCTTGTAAAATTCTGCTTGATCCTGCAGCTCAGCTAATAATGTACCATATGATAACACTAAACTGTACAAAAAATGATGCTGAGAGCCAGGTTTAGGCCAGTAGACTCAAAAGTTTCAGCACAGACTGGATTTGAAAGACCTTTGTAACTCACTTAGCTTCGTCACTATGATGACTGGTTTCTTTTTTCATGATGTAATTGTTGCAGTTGATAAACATAGAGGGCTGTGTTATTACCTGATACAATCAGCCATATTAATACATGATGAGTATTTGTTGCAACCCTTGGGTACAAAGTTCTTGTCAGATAGGTAAGTGGGGAAGTGCAGTGGTTATAGTGTTGGCCTGTCATCACCATATGGGTACAATGTGTGAAGCCTTCCTTGTTTTCCTCTAGGATATGTCAGGAGGTTTTGCTAATGGGGCATAAAACCACACTCACGCACTCACTCACTCACTCACTCACTCACTCACTCACTCACTCACTCACTCACTCACTCACTCACCCATACACTCACCGACCCACTCACCCACCCTACTGGGTTAGAGTAGAGTAAGCCCTCAGCAACCTGTGCTGGTCGTATGAGGCGACGTAATGGATCGGGATGTCAGTGTCAGGCTCTGTGACTTGGGTGATAGCTTGTCTGGTCCAGCCTTGATTGAATACAGGCTACTGTCATATAGCTCGGATATTGCAAAGTGCGGCATCAAACAAGACACATGCTCGTGTTCACGCTTACACTTGTACAAAGAGTGAAGTTCAGCTGAAAGGTGCAATCATTGAATAAGGTTTGCAGGATTGCATGTGTTCAGAGCATGACTTTCTGAAGCTGTTTTCGTTTCTAGTTTCCCCCTCCGTGATATTGCTGGAATATTGCTAAAAGAGGCGTAAAGCCAATCTCACTCACTCACACACTGAAGCTGTTTACCTTAACACTTATGTTACCTTTGTTCTCTGGAGGCAGCCTCTGTACATGTATAGGGGCGGTCGGGTAGCCTAGTGGTTAAAGCGTTGGCTCATCACGCCGAAGACCCGGGTTCAATTCCCGACATGGGTACAATGTGTGAAGCCCATTTCTGGTGTCCCCGCCGTGATATTGCTGGAATATTGCTAAAAGTGGCATAAGATCGTACTCACTCACTCACTCACTCCTGTACATGTATATTAGTAAATGACAGGCCAGACACTGGATATGACAATAGCTGTAATCTAGTTGAACAGGACCAGGACCAGGCAATTGACAACCTTCCATGTCTTATCTTGTACATAAATGCAAAGATTAGTATAATGTCCACCAACAACATCACTTGCTGAAAGTATCCTGACCATATAGTGGATATCAAAGCTGTAAAACAATACCTTGAGTGTAATAACTGATACCATGCTGGAAAACAGGTCTGCTTGAGTTTCAGGAAACATTAAATATTGAAACACTCCTGCCTGTAGTTCCTTTTGTCCCAGTCCTTGTCATCAGATGACGTTAAAACGGTAATAATCCAACATTAGGAGGAAAATATTGTGTCAGGGGTTAATGGATTAAGGTATTAAGACATGCCCCATGGTAAGGAGGGGCTGTTTGATGGGTGGTGGTTGTGCTGCAAGACCATGTGTGTAGAGGTAAAGACATGCAGGCTGGCATCTAACAGAAAAAAACTGTTGTGTGTAACATTGGATACTGCTTGATGAAATTCTAATCCTTGGTTGCCTTTTGACTAGGCCTCATGGGGGAGATGTGAAGGGTGACGTGTTCATTGTGGTTGGGTTGTCAGGCAGAACAGGTTAAGTTGTATGGAAAGATAACATTTTGTATATGTGCTTTATGAAGCCTGTTCAACCAACATTATCAAAAATTGAAAGATAATAATTACTGTATACATGGTTCAGGCTGTTCACCTGGTAATATCACATACTGAAAGGCGATATTTGGAATATTCTAATATGCATTCAACCTTATCAGGGCTTTACTGACTCATACTGTTGAATAAAGAAAACAATATTATCTGGGTTAATAGCAGGAAAAACTTGGGTTTGTTGGGTATTGGATGTTTGAAATTATTTGAGGTTTTAAAAGTATTTCAGAGAATTGGTACAGCTGTAGAAAATATCACAATGATTAAATTGCTTTATCTGTTTTTCTAAGACTATTTCTTTCTCAATCCAAATGTTACTTGAAATACAAGCACCAATATCAACATTAAACTGCTTCAGCCAAGCTTTTCTTCTGCCAAGGCAACATTTTGAAGTAAAATTGTAAAGACATTGCCAATTCAGTTTACACTGTAACTGATCTGAAGTAACAGGCCTATAATTGATTGTTTTCAGTCAGGAATAACCTGTGATTTTTTATTGTCAAGTGAGCTCAACTAGTCTCTCACATGACATGCTGTCTCTCCTGTGGAGGCCATAATTTCACCTTTGCATGATTTGTCCAGTTTGTGTCAGCTTAGTCCTTAGCCATTTAAGCAAGAACAGACGGCAGTAATCTGGTCTCCTCTAGGGGGTGAGAGCAGGGCGGATTTGAAACAAATATGTCTGTATGTGTAGATAAAGATGACTGTATGGGTTAATTGGGTTTCAAAGTTCATTGTTAGAGTACACCATGGCAGAGATACAATTGTAATTCATCCTGTGAGCTCATAATCAATTAGCCCAATCCGCCCACCACCCCCTGAGGCCGAGTGAGTCAGCCCATCACGTATGAATGGTTCAGTCTGTCAGGTGGCAGACGACAGCCAGGTATTGTAGTAGGCTAAGCTCACCTCCACTTCAACCTTCGATCTGAGTCAGTCTGGTGCTCACACCTGGGACTGGAGAGTTCTGTGACCACTGACTGACCGGTGTGTCTTCATCCACCTGCATGATCGATATGCAGGGTTGTGTGTGTGCCCATTGTGGTGGTGTAATTGGTCACTATAGTTGGTGACTCACGCTACTAGAGCGAGGTGTTGTCACATGGCACGTGGCTCTGTTATCAGATAATTAGTAAACATGAAGAATGATTCATAATTTTGTGCAATATGGAGGTTTGTTTGCACATATGTCATTCATTTCATGTTGCTGTGTCGTCCCCAGTTCATGACAGTCGACAACATTGGAGGGATGTCATAGGATGGGATTCTTCGGACATACGGTCATGTTTATAAACATTGAACAGACGGGCCTTTGTTGTGACGGGTATAGGCAGTCTTTTCTCAACACTGGATGCTCTTCAGTTATAGTGCTGGGATGATCTGTCACCAGAGAAACATTTGGTGTGCTACAGTGCCGTACTGTTTCATGTGACTGGGTTTAAACTGACAGATTCTAATTACCAAGGCTGATTGTTGTTAATATTTATCACCTTGTGTTCCCAGTCACAACTGTGTTCTGTTGGGCAGGATATTTTGATAGTGCAACTGCTGGTGCGTGATTTGGTAACATTTGAGGAGCAGATTTGGGAGCCTGGAGATGACAAAAAGTGCTTACACTTTATCATTGTTTATAAAGGCTCTTAACGTCAGAGGATAATCCAGGTGATATACAACAAAACTGTTGTCAGCCTACAAGCTATGTTAACAGTGAAGCACATGACACAAGCGATGGTAGTGTCTAAGTAGCATTGCCCGACAACATTGCCTTTGCACAAACTTGGCTAAAAAAGGAAGAATTAATCTTGACATCAAGCATTGGGATTTTGTCTTGAGAGGATCATACAAATTGGATTAGTACACCAGAAAAATTGCTGTAATTTCAAAGATCAGGACTCTGGCAATGAAGGACAATGGATTAGGGTGCATAATCTTCATATAGATCATAGTATTGAGCATGCTGATTTACCTGATTGGACATTCCGAGCAGGAGGAGGCTGAGGTGCTGGTCCCTCCCCCAGGGGTTACAAATGACCCTAGTGACCCGGGGTTGGAGGGGCGGGACCCCAAGGGGCAGGGGTGTTTGGAGTGTGCAGATCCTTGCAGTGGGCATGGATACATACAAGGTGAAGAGGACAGGTCGGTACATCAGGGATTTAGCTCAGATTCCAAACTAAGTGCCCTTGACAGACAAATTGGGGGAAAATCGTTTTTGTTAATGAATGGGATTTTTCTTTAATATTCTTATTTTCTTAAATAAGGGGTATACATGGAATGTTAACTTGCATAATATTCCATGCAATGATGAAAAACTAAACACGAAAACCTTTTCCTGTATTTTGGGCCTTACTGTTATCAGTGAAATACAAGTCATCTCTACAAAGCCATAACCTTAGTTATAAATTTAACATCATGAATCGGGATAAGTTTAATTCCATCTATGGTTTTTACTGACATTTGCTCCAGACTTGGGGCCGAATATCAGCTTCTAAGCAGGTCCTAGGTTAATGTCCACTTATAGGATTAGGGTAAGTTGGTCGATGATGCATGCTGGGTGTCCTCGTTATGGTGATAATGCATCAGTTTAGTTCTCAGTGGACTCAATCTTGTCAGGAATGTTTTTGGAGTTTATGAGTAGTTATTGGCTTAGGCTATTCTCATTCATTGTTAAATTTACAGAATATAAGGATTTCATGATTAGTCCTAAATTTGTATCCAGCATATGTAATATGTACCCCCGATTAACAAGGAAACTTGCAAAAACTTATGTCACCTACATACATTGTTATAAATCACTTTAAAAAAACCCTTAGAAAATGATCATTCATTGCATCAGTATTGTTAATGTTCTATAAAAAAATGTATAAGGAATAAGACAGGTGATTCATAAAGTTTGACTTTCAGATTATGACCGCAGATATTGATAAACGGTTCAGAAGCTCATTACTTTGTCACTAACAAATGTCACGCTTTTCAAACATCAGTTTAAATAGACCGATATACGAAGTATCCGAACTGCAAAATAATAAACAAACATGGGGCGTATGACACGACACAAACTGCCGTATAATGTCACCAGGGTTACCCCCTCGGAGAAGTAAAGTGGAATTCTATTGCTTTCTATTGTTTAAAAAGGCTGAACCGTCCAGGACTAGCCTTGCACCGTGGTTTCACCTCATCTCTTGTAAGGAGGGAAGCTCACGTATATATTTGAAGTGTTTGGCCAACTTGCCGAGATGGTATAGGTGATTTCTGAGGCGTGACACTTTGCCGGTGTCAGGTATGCCTCAACATGACTCAAGTATAGCTCATGACATGTACATGACAAGTGACATGGCGGTGGGATGAAGCTTGGTGTTTAGTGTAGTGGAATCAACAAGCTCCTAAGCCTTAAATAGTGAAAACAAACACTGCAACTTCCCTTTGGGATATCAGGATATTTGTGTTGGTGTCTTGTTGGATTACAGTTAGAAAATATTGTGCTGCCTGATTTCCTGTTATAAGTGTAATCTAAACAATGACATTTTTACAATGGCTATAAATTAGTTATTTTTGCAGTGGTTATCAATGACTTGTATTTCAACAGTTAACAATGACTTATATTGGCAACAGTGTCCAATGGCATACATTTGCAACAGTCAACAATGACTTATATTTGCAATGGTTAACAATGATTTTATATTTGCAATGGTTTACTTGAAAGGACTACTCAAAGATACCAAAAAAATGGCTTGCCAAAAAACTATAAACTGATGTTAAATTTATGTTCCAACTTATGTTACTCTATTCAGTGATACCTTCTAAAAACATCACGTACCATGATGGAGCCAAGTGTTTAAACCATTTGTTTGATATATTACATCCAGTGAAAGTGACTTTTGTGTCCCTTGCTATGATTTGCTTGAGCACTGCAAAAAGAGATAAAAAGATCGCTCATTCACCCACTCACCAAACTTGACATGTGACACTTGGAGCTTTGCCCTCGCCTCGTGCTGACAGACTGGGAGACAATCTATCACATAACTTAAGCACTGTTCAAAGCAGCATCATACTCTCAGACTGGGTAAATCACCGATCTGCTTTCTCTGTGTATGTTATGAAGGACACATCTTGAATTGCACCACAGCATACAGTTGTAACTAATTTCTTTGTGGATATCAGTGGTAGAAACTAACATTTTCAGTCCACTCATCCTTTTAATGATAACATACAGCAAACCCCTTAAAAATGGCAAATTTCTACTAGTCCTTATACCTTAACTATTGGGCAGTTTGGCAAGGACTACAGGACTAGTGCCAATTTCTAACACTGGATATAAATAATCACAGGTTTTTCACACTCTGTATGCTTGACAATTTGTTTAATCCTGCCTTGTAATTACATTAGAATGTCCATAAAGACCAATTCGTTGCTCATTTGATTAATGTCGATAAAGTGAACCCTGTGAACTTGTAACCTTTGTCCTCCCTCCCCCATTGATTGTCAGCCAACCCACTTACCTACTAGATATACATCGGGGCATATCAAATCTAGGTATATCATTTCAAGAAACGATCCAGGTTGTGAGTGATAATCTCAGTTTGAACCCCAGGGTGTTGGCAAGTTACCCCGAGATAGCGAGATAGCCAGGTGGGACTGGTATTGACCCATGCAGGGTACGCTCTTGAAGGAGCTCACACAATGCCGGCTTGCAACCCACACCATAATGATAGGGTGCTCTAGCCCTTCTTTACTTACATGTTCTTTTACACGGCAACGTGAATGTACAGATAATTTGATCATTTCAAAGGTTTGGGTGGAATAATCAGCAGTGACCATCTCTGGTGGTTGATTTCCAGAATAAACAGTAGTTAAAGCTGTGGTTGTGATCGGGAAGGTGTTATTACATTGTGAAGATAAAGATCGATTTCCTACCTTTCTGGATGGTGTTTACAATGTCATTATGTCTTAAATGTCATTATGTCTTAATGTCATCTTTCCCATATGCTGTTGCTGTTCTGTTTTTGATGAGTCAGTAATTTCCACATGTTTCATAATCACCGCCTACTGATGGATTGAGGCTGAAGACTTTTTGTGGTTCTTGCTGTTTTGATATTTCTCTTGTTATTCTGAGTATGCAGATGTGGAGACAAAGACGAACTTCACAAGAACAGATTGAAGTCCCAAGTGGGGCTGGTCACTTTCATAAGTAACTGCATGATGTCAAAAGGGTTTTTACTTACTCCTAAGGATGGTAGGCATCAATTAGTGTCAAATGATGCAGATATTCCATTCTGAACTTGAATTACATGAAATGCGGCTTTGTTTTAAGTAGTTTGTGCATTAATAAGTATTTTAGAAGTAAAATATTTAAGTGATGTTTTAATCATGTTAATACTGATGTCTTTGTTATACCCAAGCACCTTGTTCCAGTGATTAGATACCTGGATTCTATAGTTTCAGAAAGTTTTGTGTTTTGCAAGTCTCCATGAGGATAGGTCGCCCTAGGAACTGTTTATTTAGGCCAATTTATCCTGGTGGACGTCATATTTGTGTCGTCAACACAGACACTGATCAGTCTAGTGTTACTTCTTTGTGACACAATAGCTATTACCACCGTTACACAATAGTGATTAGCACATGACTGGACATCGGAGCCAGGGCCAGTGATGTTTAATCAGGCGGGACGTCTCCTCTTCCACCCACCCCATCCCCCTCACCTCCCCCTACTCTTGGTCTTTGATGTGCTTGTAGGTGTGTTTAGCCGTTATCAACACATGCCCACAGCTCATGACTGGGACAAATAAGCATGGTAATAGCTTGACCAACTAGCACAAACATTGACCTATCTTGTAACATATGGATCGCACACCAAACAAGTGTGTGGAACTACAGGGGGTTTTGTTGATTGGGGCCAGGGTTTAAGTGTTTACAGCTTGAGTTGGTGGACACTGGAGAGGGTGGATTTGATTGGGGTGGTTCGATTCTTTATTCTTGTTTGGGAGGTAAGATGTTGAACAAGGACTGATATGTGTACCTTGATGAAGCTGTGGAGGTTTTGAGGATGTGACACCATCTCAATGTATGATAGGTGTATGTTGTCTGTATATGTTGATGATGGATGTGGGTTTAAGTATATTCCTTGTTGAAGGACATACTTGGTGAACGAAAGACACATCTAAAATATTTTTTATAAACCACTGAAGAAAGCAGATATTGTATTCTATTTTGAAATAACAAGCCTAATCTCTTTAGAGTCTTGTTATTTTTGGCATACAAAATGTGGAAATGTTTCACATAAACTGAACGCTATGGGTCAACAAAACGGAGTTCTCTACCAGATTCCCGCTTGATGTATCTCGTGGGAAAAAAACTGTCAGCTTTTCTCCGGGGACTTAATATTGTTCATTCAGCCGTTTCAGTGCTGAATAAGCGTTTAACTTGTTTGCCAGTTTAAGTTGGGTGTACAGTCGTGGTGTAGCTGCCTGTATTGTTGGTTGTTGGTCTTATCTGTTACATACAATATTTCAGTGACAGCTGCTGTGGGAAAATCACACAAGTACCCACTGGGTCTCACCTCTCGTAACGGTTCATGTTTACCTGTTGTAGATGCTGATCATATTGCTGAAGAGAGCTTTATTAAACAAGTTTAATATTAAAGTTAAGGTTTAGAAATTGGGTTCCTGAAATTGGATATGTTTAATAGATTATGTCTGCTTCTTAAACATGTTCGAAGCATGGAAAGTTTTTAAGACTAGCGTGGAAAATGTTTGAATAGGTTGTAATAATTGAAATCTGATATTATTCATGGGGTTTTCTTAGAAAGGATTATCAAGAACTACTTGTCTACAGTGCACTGAAATTCCTTGTGTTGATTGCTGAAATCGCTATTTATGGTTACATCTAAAGATCCTGCGTTTAAGATTAGCATCATTTTATCCGATATATGACATCAATCCCACTTTTCCTGCATTCTTAGAATACAGGCCACTGTGGGATACTATTGCAGTAAAGTACTATTTTTATACTGTCTGATGTCTCTGTTTCCTGCCCAGTGGGCGTGCACTTGAAGTCGGAAGTAAGCCAAGGAAGGTTAATCCTAGGGCATTGCAAGGGTCAGAAAACAGTATGTTGTCACTATGCTTAAGTTAGATCAGGATTTACACACACAAATCTGGCTTTGCAGGACAATCAGAAATCAGAAAATAGTTTCGAAATAGACTATTTATTTGTATAGCTTTCATCAGTCAGTTTGGGAAGATTGTTTTTTATAGATCTACCTGATAATACTTTTTGTGAAAATGAGTGTGTGTGCATGATGAGATAATGATAAACATGACAGCTTGTTGTGAATATAAAATGGTGGTTTATCTGAAATTGACCTTTGATGATAAAGTCTCACATCCGTTGTCAGTAAGTTAGGGATAAATTTGATACGTAGCTTTCGAGGCCAACTGATGATGTCAATCATAAACAAGACACCAATTGGGACCAGTACAATCACAACCCAAACAGCCATATCATTTTTGTTGTTTCTTAATTGACAAGTAATTTTGTCTCCACTCACTGACTCGCACCAGTGTGTTTGCTTATTTGTCAAACTATTAGCTGGAGAGCCACAATTGTATTTGGGTAATTCACTGGCATTTATACCTTAACCTAAAAAATATTTTTGAATACTTTCCCCCACTTTCTATTGTTTGGACAGAGTTATCAAAATGTTTGTAGAAACAGATTAAGATGTTTGCCCCATTACATGATAATGTGTACTTGGTGTAAACTTCGTCCTTCTTACACTCATTCATGACTTGTTCAAAGGTAGTATCAATAAATTAACATTTCTATGGAACAGCTGACACAGTGGTCATACCTTCCTATCGGGAGCCCTTCCTTGTTGATAACAGTACATAGTGTAGTGAACACACACTGCAGGATTCGGGGGAAATGTGATGCATCTACTATTGTTCTCTGTTATGCCTGCTTGTTAATTGTGCTAATTGCTTCATTGTTTGTTGCAGTTTTGGCAAGAGGACACAAGGATGTGCCCGCCGGACGAGCGAGTGCCTCACTCTCGAGCCTTCCGAGATGATAGCAGTAAGTAAAAGTTGTACATACTCTCTTCAGTATTTATCACATGTTGATTGGACCCGTGGAGATCTGGGGTAGAATAGGTCTTCAGCGAGCCATGCTTGCCGTAAAAGGCAACTAGGCTTGTCATAAGAGGCGACTAACGGGATCAGATGGTCAGGCTCGCTGACTTGGTTGATGCCTGTCATCGTATCCCAATTGCGTGGATTGATGTTCATTATGTCAATCACTGGATTGTCTGATCCAGACTCGATTATTTACAGACTGCCGTCATATAGCTGGAATATTGCTGAATGTGGCGTTAAACAACAAACAAACAAAAGAACAAACAAACAACACATTGATTAACTGAGTGAGTAAGTGTTTTGAGGTTGAACACAGCTGTCAGACATCACTTCAGCATATCCCATGGCAAAGGTTAGTTTTTGATGTTGAGTGTAGTGCATGTTGTGGATGCAGATCTAGGTAATCCCAAAAGCATAGATTGTCTGAGACCAAAATATTTAAATGAGTGAATCACAAGACAATAAGTCAAGAAGCAAGCAAGTTGTGCCACCTTAATAAGACCATTTGGTTGGTTCCCCCTGTTCTGTGGAGGATATATGATCATTTAGTTACACCTAATATGTGTGTCGATCTGTTGATATCTTTCAACTCTTGCCGTGTAGTATATCCTGGTATATCCTTCCTCCTTTACCAGGTGAATCACCAGGTGGTATGTACAGTGTTGTCATCTGTGAAGGTCCCACCTGTCCAAAGGTCAGATTCAAATGTGTTGAACATTTGATTTTTGGTAGCTTCACCTAAAGACACCCGATGGATTTTTTAATTTGTCAGATATTGTGAAGGTGACATCAGGATATTTTCCACAAAGCAATGCCAGTGCCACGACTGTCGTAGATCCCATTCTTTCGAATTGACTTACATATTTAACATATATAATATCTTCAGCTGGTGGTTTACACCGTGGAGTGGGTAAGGTTTGATTTCAGAAATTACAAACTGTAGGTCGCAAGACAACAAGAAGTGTTTTTGGATGTGTGCATGCTATTAATGAGATCTGACTGCATGGTATAAATGAGATCTGACTGCCCAGATCTTGATTTGATGTGGCGATACAGGATTTATGGCCCGCGGCATTAGACAATGCAATTGAAGGAGGCAGGGTTGAGACCAAATACTGTTATATCTGGAGATTGAAATAGACCCTGGTTTTGCCATGTATTTTCAAGATAATACCTTTAGGGGAAACATACTCCCTATAGTGCTCTGATTAACTGGACGGAGAAGACCTACTCTGTTCTTATATACATGTTAAACCACTAACGAGGACTTGGAAACATTGACGAAATTTCGCTTGAGAGGATTTGATGAACAAAATGTTCTCAGTGGATGGATGACAGGAGGGACAGACAGAGCACTAGCTAGATACTAGCTAGTATAGAAAGATGACTTTGCTAATACACAAGGGGCGGTAGGGTAGCCTAGTGGTTAAAGTGGTTGCTCAAAGACCTGGGTTCAATTCCCCACATGTGAAGCCGATTTTCTGGCATATCTCCTGCCGTGATATTGCGGGATTATTGTTAAAAGTGGCATAAAACAATACTCACTCACTCACAAATACATTACCCAAATGTCTCCAACTGGAGCCATGTTTTTGCGGCCTAATTAGTATGAATTAGTAAAGCTTGCATTATACATTCTTGCATCAAACAATATAGAACTGGCACCAGGCAAGATTAAAAAAACATGAAAATGAAGTTGACATTTGCGCCTGACATTTTGATGATCCTCTTTGTGGCAGATCCATTCTTTAGTAACCAGCATGTTGTTGCTTCAGTGACATTTGATTATAGGAGATCAGTTTATGCCCTACTGATTGAACTTGTCACATCATAGACTTGGAAGTTGCTGTTCCTTGTATTAAGATAAATATTTGAAAACTGGAGTATATGACAACAATGGAAAATTTATACAAAAAATTACTTCGCAGTCTCCAAAAAGTTTTGATGTGTTTTTACAGATCTTGGTGACATCTTTGGATTGGATTGTGTTGCTTTCAATCTCCAATTTCCAAGGTTGTTTGTTTCCAAATTGATGCTGGTCAGGATATTTAAAAATGGATATATACTATATATTTGACAATAGTTTCTAACTCGTGTATCTTTCAGGGTTCAGTTTGGTGTGAGATATTTTCTGTCTATCAGAGCATGTGTTGTTTTATCTCAATCATGATAGTTCCAAAAAAACTTTTCCAATAAAGACATTTTCTTACACATCTTTCTTTGGAGGGGCGGTCGGGTAGCCTAGTGGTTAAAGCGTTCGCTCGTCACGCCGTAGACCCGGGTTTGATTCCCGACATGGGTACAATGTGTGAAGCCCATTTCTGGTGTCCCCCGCCGTGATATTGCTGAAATATTGCTAAAAGCGGCGTAAAACCTCACTCACTCACTCACTCACTCACTCACTCACTCACTCACTCACTCACTCACTCACTCACTCACTCACTCACTCACTCACTCACTCACTCACTCACTCACTCACTCACTCACTCACTCACTCACTTTGGATGTCCCAGAAGCAGCTATGTATCTTGATATGCTGTGATTGGATGTTATGCAATTGAATTTCCACGAAATCTGTTTTTGCTCATCATAGTCAGATTTTACTTTCGTTAATTTCACATTCAAACGTTGTGACATCACAGTTCCGTTTCAGTCCACACAATGACAGTGTATGGATGAACTAACTTCCCTTAGTTCCGTTGTGGGCCTGAACAGGCAAATTATTTGAAATAGACTTCGTAGTGAGTTCATCCTAGTCTTCCTTGGTAGGCAGGGGGCTGCTTCCTTCGTCCATGTCGCCACACACTCCTAGATGCCTACTTACAATAGCCTAGTTTAACATCCTCTTGGTGTTGTCGAATGTTGCCTCGATTGTTTCAGTCCTGTATTGGGGATTTAACATATTGGTCACAAACCAGAGTCAAGTAGTGGAATGTGGTAAATCTGTGGTCACTTTGGTGGAAAATATGCTGTGTTCGGAATTCGATTATTCTTGAGGAGTTGTTTCTTGTGGATTAAACCCTGGATTATCTTTGTGTTGGCTTTCTTAAAGATGTTGCGTTATGCAAGAAGGATGTCGAAGGTTAGTAGAACGTTAAGACATATTATTGGATAAGTTTGTGTGGCTTTGTTGAACCTCACAAGCACATGTGAGATATGGAACACGGTAGACATGGTACAGGCCTAATCACTAAGTCAAAGTGGTCAAAGGCAGGGGGATAGAGCAGCAACAGAACCTTGTTGGGTTTAAATGATGTGGAGTGGAGAGGGTGGCATCATCTGACATAGGGGCAGTATTGGGAGAAAATGAGAAAACATTGCTTTAATGATTGATGTTTCTTAAATAATCTCATAAACATTTGTACTGATGTCTATTTTGATTGTCGTCATGTGGTACATGTTGATATGACTATTTTAATCAGTCCTGGATTGTTTATTATGTTAGCACAGTTAGCCGATGCCACATGTAAACACTTCCTCCTATTCTGTTTCTCACATGACATGGGATGACAGGGGTGAAATGGAAATATTGGTTCATGGACATTTTTTTATTATTGTCAACATGTTATCCATGTCTTGGTTTATTCTCCATTAGATTAAGTTTTATGCTGAAGAGAAAGATTGAATATTTAACATGACTTCTCCAAGACCTGATCCAGACAGAGATGAAGACTGTGGCAACATGGTGGGGAGTGTCGTGCGCTTGGTTGACATGGAGTCCGTGTAAGAAATTGACTGCCTTCTTTTCAGATTGATTACCCTGATGTGCAGTTGATGAAGTCTGGGCACCGCCTGCCCTGCCCCACGGCTAGCTTGGACAGACTCTTAGCTCTAGACCCCCACCAAGACAGCCGCATCCGAACAATGGACAGTGGCATTGAACAGGTAGGTATTTCTTTAGTCAACATTGGAGGCATCCAGGTTAGCCTACAAAGTGTGTCTTGGTAAAAAATGGCTCTGAAGTCTGTTTATTTGTTATTGTGCCTTTGAGGCTAGAAATTTCACAAGACTTTCCCAAGCACCATTTCAACATTCCTAGTTAAATTGCTTGCTATGAATTTCTATCCTTTTGTACTTGGAAAAAAATAGTTGCTCTCAATGTGTCCTTTTGCATGTCAGACTTGGAATGGTTCATGCATGGATAGTATGAACCTTAGGATATGTATAGGATATATGAAACATTGGATATGTTTCTGACAGGACTGGTATTTCGTTAGACTAACATCTAGTCTCTGAAATGAACATTTCGTACAGAAAAAAATAGTTGTTAAATTATCTTAATACAAATTTTATAAAAAGGAGCCCAGACACACTCTTCATTTTCAGATGATACTGCAGAAATCTAGACTTGCCAAACATTATAGACTTGCATGGGCTGTATTAGATATATTTGTTTCAGGGTCTGTAAGACAGACTAGCATTTTTTATACTAGACAAGAAGATAGTGTCAGCTTCTTTTTATACCTTTTGTGTCATATCTCTCGTGGTTATATGTTGTTTAACGCCACACTCAGCAATATTCCGGGTATGTGACGGCGGTCTGTAAATAATCAATGCTGGACCAGAAAATCCAGTGATTGACATCGTGAGTTCCGACCTACACAATTGGATACCATGACATGCATCAACCATGTCAGCGAGCCTGACCACCCCATCCCTTTAGTCACCTCTCAGCGTTAGAAATTGGCACTAGTCTTTTAGTCCTTGCCAAACTACCCAAAAGTTAAGGTATCATAAGGATTAGTAGAAATTTGCCATTTTTAAGTGGTTTGCTATATGTTATCATTATAAGGACTAATGGACTAAAACTGTTAGTTTCTTTCACTGCCTCTTAAACAATCATGGGTTGCTGAAGATCAGTTCTTACTCCGATCTTCATGGGGTATCTCTAAATTTAAATCTTGTGAATAATGTCACTTAAACTAACTGCGGCTGTAATGTGGCCAAGAACATTTTCTGTGTCTTCATATTAGGTTTTCTGGGTATGTTTAATATATTAAAATAGCTTGTGGATTGAAATGTTACCGTACTCCAATTGTGTCGAATGTTGCATATAATATCGGGCACATGTTTGACTTGTCCACACTGAGTTATATACAGACTGCTGTGATACAGTTGGAATTATAAGTGCTGACTTCAGTGTTAAACAACAAACAAACAAAATCTTGCCGTCGATCCACTTCCATTGTCTGATCCAACAGACTCTTCATCATACTCCATAATAATGTAAGCTACTCAGATAAAATTGTAGAAAATGTGTATTCACATATTGATTTTCCTGACAGTATCATGGATCGATTTGGGTGTGTTAGTGTGCATTACCATGTCACTGTTCACTGTCTGGCCTGGTGCATTGAGTTTACAATTAGACTGAGTTATACATGGGATGAGTTGATTGTGACATGTACGTGGGATGAGCTGAGTGTGACATGTACGTGGGATGAGTTGATTGTGACATGTACGTGGTATGAGTTGATTGTGACATGTACGTGGGATGAGTTAGTGTGACATGTACGTGGGATGAGTTAGTGTGACATGTACGTGGGATGAGTTGATTGTGACATGTACGTGGGATGAGTTAGTGTGACATGTACGTGGGATGAGTTAGTGTGACATGTACGAGGGATAAGTTGATTGTGACATGTACGTGGTATGAGTTGAGTGTGACATGTACGTGGGATGAGTTAGTGTGACATGTACGTGGTATGAGTTGAGTGTGACATGTACGTGGCATGAGTTGATTGTGACATGTACGTGGTATAAGTTGAGTGTGACATGTACGTGGGATGAGTTAGTGTGACATGTACGTGGGATGAGTTAGTGTGACATGTATGTGGGATGAGTTAGTGTGACATGTACGTGGGATGAGTTGATTGTGACATGTACGTGGGATGAGTTGATTGTGACATGTACGTGGTATGAGTTGATTGTGACGTGTACGTGGGATGAGTTAGTGTGACATGTACGTGGTATGAGTTAGTGTGACATGTATGTGGGATGAGTTAGTGTGACATGTATGTGGTATGAGTTGATTGTGACTTGTACGTGGGATGAGTTGATTGTGACATGTTCTACACGATATAAGTTGAGTGTGACATGAAAGATATAACTAAAATACTGTTATACAATGTAAAATGTCAGCATGTCTGGAAACAACCATTGTGTAAGATATACCATGAATCATTTCTAACATCCTGATATAGGAACCAAGTGGATGTAAGCATATAGACACTGTTACTGAAAGTAAAAATAGGAGTAACATACTCGGTTTGTTTGAAATGGTTTCAGGAATTGAAATGTTATCTGATAATATTGAATCTAATAATATAACAGTCAGTTTCCCTGTTGTATTGTTTCTAAAACATTATTCAGCCTTATGAAAAATAAATTCTGAACTATTTCAAAAGCAGAAAAATCTGTTGCAATTTTATTTAATGATAAGATTGTTAGAAACGTTGACCTAACACCAGGAAGAGGAAATGAGAACTTAGTCAATGATAATTCTGGGGAGTGCCTCTTGTAAGAATCTGTAAATTTATCGAAACGTGCATGAATTCTTGATGCTAATTTATCTGCCTTTAGATGAAACCACGTCAAGAAAACATGCCCTTGTTATGCAATGTTGATGTCTGGGATTTGGAAGTGGAACACAATCAACTTTTACTATGTCAATAGTGCAAGCTTTGTTGTGATTGTATTACAGGGAAAGGAAGTGTGAAAGTGGGTGGACTTAGGTTACGCCATGTTTGAGTCAACCAGTGATCACATCCTGTTTCTAAACTCACACTTGTGTACTGTGATAATCAGGCTGCAACAATTGAATGTAATAAAACAGACTACTTACATAGCTGAGCCAGTCAAGGAAGTTGTGATTCTGTGTTTCCGACAAAGATGAAAAACTATACATTGACACAAGCTAAATGGCCGAAAGGTTTACCATATATGACTGTAGATTAGCCGAGGTATTAATTTGGTCCTATCAAAATGTTATGTGCGGTAGATAAGCTGGACCCCCAACCTGAAACTATGTTTCGTCATGATCTGTCATTGGAAATAGAAAATCAACATGTCCGTATTAAATTACTCAAGTTTATCCTGTCGCTACACCATCGGTAATAAAAAGTGTTTAATTGTATATCTGGACTTATTTTTATGATCTACATAATCTATTTTATTAATTTTAATCAAACTTTCATTCAATAATATTTACATTAATTTCGGTGTCCATCCGGTCACTTACAACTTCCGTTTGCCCTGTTCCATAAGGTCCGCTCTACCAACTCACCGTTACTTACAGCCACCACATTCATATTACTGCTTTTGACACCTTGAAAAGAACCTTAGTTGACAAAAATGGAAACATATGTCATAACTGCCTGTGTTGCAAGGGAAATGTTGCTGTCTGTGTTGCAAGGGAAATGTTGCTGTCTGTGTTGCAAGGGAAATGTTGCTGTCTGTGTTGCAAGGGAAATGTTGCTGTCTGTGTTGCAAGGGAAATGTTGCTGTCTGTGTTGCAGTGGTAAATGTTGCTGTCTGTGTTGCAAGGGAAATGTTGCTGTCTGTGTTGCAAGGGAAATGTTGCTGTCTGTGTTGCAAGGGAAATGTTGCTGTCAGTGTCGCAAGGGAAATGTTGCTGTCTGTGTTGCAAGGGAAATGTTGCTGTCTGTGTCGCAAGGGAAATGTTGCTGTCTGTGTTGCAAGGGAAATGTTGCTGTCTGTGTTGCAAGGGAAATGTTGCTGTCTGTGTCGCAAGGGAAATGTTGCTGTCTGTGTTGCAAGGGAAATGTTGCTGTCTGTGTTGCAAGGGAAATGTTTCTGTCTGTGTCGCAGTGGTAAATGTTGCTGTCTGTGTTTCAGTTGGCTGGAGACCTGCAAGTGCCCAATGCTATGTACAGGATGGAGCAGTACCCCCGGAATGAGCAGCTCTACAAACGCAGTTCGCGAGCTAGCGACACTTCCAGTGCATATTCTGGTTCCGACATGATGCAGTCATCGATTGATGACCAGGATGCAGCCGAGATGGACTACAGTGGGCTGCAGGAGAGCCTTGTGGACTCGGATGAGGAGGAAGGATATGCCGAATCCACTGAGGTAGGTGTAAACATGCTTCAATGTGGCAGATTAGTGACACTTTTGCCTATTTTGTCATAGAAATTGATCTGGTATGGTAAATTGATATTCATGACTGTTTTCATGGGCAAAAATGTGAATAATAATTTAATTTTGACTGAACCCTGTCTTATGAGTTTTTATTACTTGTTGCAGTCATTACCGATTCGAGACACTGTGCGAGAATGTCTGGAGAAAGAACCAGCAGACAGAAAAGAGGATGATATAGAAATACTCTTAGATTTTATGCAGCATTTCAGAGTGAGTATAACTTCATTATGTGATGAGAATAAGTTTTTCTTGTCATTTTACAATACAGCTATAAACTTGCATATTCAAAATACGCAGATTGCTTTAGACCTCGTTATTTATATACTGGTTGTCTGTTGCAGGCATTTGCGAACATGACTCTAGCCACCAGGCGGGCCCTGACGGCAGTTATGGTGTTCGCAGTGATTGAGAAGGCAGGCACTATTGTGATGAAGGACGGAGAGGAGCTGGACTCGTGGTCCGTCATCGTCAACGGAGAGGTGAAGGTCTCGCACATGAGCGGGGATGTGGAAGTGCTGCACATGGGAGACAGGTACTCAAATTGGTCGTCAGAACTGTCACCCTGCATAGTTTGAACTCAAGCAATATCTCTTTAAAAATTGGTGCAGTTAGGCTATATTTCCTTTTGTGAAGGTACGCTTTGTTGAAGCCATAATGTCTTGAAGCAACCATTGAGGAGGGATGTCACAATACAGGTGTCACCCTGATATGATACATATCTCGATACAGAAATCTCGATACTGCATATATAAGTCATTAGACAGTGTCCATAGACTCACGCATAAAAGTGAAGAACATGCCAAATCAACTCTTTTGTATGAGAAAACAATAAGAAACAAAAAAGTTTACGTACTGTATTATGGTTTTGCATCCGAAAGACGTCCATTGAAGTTATGAGGAATTTAAAAAATAGTTGAACTTGCTTATTGATATTGATGTGAGATCAACATAGACAATCGATATGGGGTTAAATGTGAATCGATGCCTTGTGAAGTATATCAGATATCGTGCAAAGTTTGCCGACGATGCACTTGTGTACCGGTGAATCACAAAATAATTACCATTTAGTTGAGTTTTTTTCTGTTCCAAGGAACAAATATTTTTTTTGTAAGGATTAAGACGTTCTTTAAGCTTTCACTTCCTCAGTCTGTTCTTCATACTGAGGTTGCATGGGTGGCCAGGTGGTCTTATGTGCCACATTGTCTCTTTTGAGTTGCATACCTTATCCGTGCCAGGATCTGCTTATTGTGAGTTAAGGTATTCCACATTTGCAATAATTATGTTCCTTGGCATGTCAGCACCATATTATCCATGCTAGTGAACCTTAGTCAATAAACCTTTCCTCCTAGTAATCAAACATGATATTGCTGATTTGTTGAAAGTGGCTCCAAACTGACTCTGTCACCCTTCCTCGTGTTCCAGCTTTGGGATCACCCCGACCATGCAGAAGATGTACCACCAGGGTGTGATGCAGACCCTTGTAGATGACTGTCAGTTCGTCTGTATAGAACAGCAGGCCTACTACAGGATCCTCAGCCAGGTAGCTAGCGTCATCAAAATACCTGGAAATGTGCTAAATGTATCTCCCAGTTAATTCATAGTGATAAGGTTGTCCACTTTGAAATGATTTTCAGCCTTGAAGATGCTTTACTTAGTGTAATTGTAAAGGATAGAACGTGTGACGTCCATAATGTGTTCATCATGACTTAGTACTAACGGTGTGCGGTATTATTGGTATATCTTTAGATTGAGGTCCATATTCTCCACAGTACGTATCACAATATCATTTTTTCATGCTCGATATATCGGGTGATTTCAAATAGCGATTTTTGTGATGTGTTTAATGTTGTATACTTGCCAAATGCCTTCGCTGCCCCAAGATGGCTGTGTATTTATTGATTGAGTAAACATTATGTTGTACCAGCATTTTGATTTGTTCCATGTAGGAACTACAATCCATACCTTAATGTATTAGATTGCTTCTGAATTCAAAATTTACAATTAAACAATATATCGTGATACGTATGGCAAAATATTGTGATTCATCTTTAATCTCCAATACATGTATGATGTTGATGTTGATGTTGTAGGGAGAAGAGAACACGAAGCGTCATGAAGAGGAAGGCCATGTGGTGATGTTGACGGAGCATCGGGAGCTGGACGGGGGCAACAGGAGGGGGCATATAGTCATCAGGGTGAGCACTCAGATACACAGATACAGCTGTCATTTGTGTCCAGTCCGGTTTCCAAAAATAATTTAAAAACCCAACAAGACAGTTGGGCAGGTGACCCATAAATGTTGCCTGCCCATCTTCAAAGTTACCTGCCCGCATTCAGACATTATAAATATTAAAAAATTGTAAAAAATAAGTTCAAATCGCATCCTGATGCAGTTAAAATAATGCAAACAATTACTTGATAATCTATTAGGAGTTATAATATATCTGAATATGTAAGAAATCTTAAAATTTTCTGCCAGACAGTCTGGTAGGTGGAGGAAAATTTCATGCAGCCTGACACAAAAGTTACCAGCCACGGGCACTTGTGCAGGCAGTTAATATAGACACTGTGTACAGGGTCAGTAGATGTTATGTTGATAACAAGTTCTGTTGGATATTTATTGATCTCGACCAGTCATTCAGAAACCAAGACTGGAATCAAGGTGGTTATTTTCTAATCAGTTGTTAAAATGGCTTGTTCCAGATTATGTATCATGGTTAGTGTTTTTCAGACTTGGATTTCTATGATAGTTGCCTGAAAGCTCCTCTGTGTTTGCAGGGCACGTCGGAGAGGTTGATGCTGCACCTTGTGGAGGACCACTCGGCTATAGACCCTACCTATGTAGAGGACTTCCTGCTCACATACAGAACATTTCTAGAAACACCATTCTTCCTGGCTCATAAGCTCCTGGAGTGGTTTGGTCAACCAATCCTCAGATCAAAGGTAAATTATTTGCAGATTCACTTTGTTAAGGGAGGTAACTCTGTCATTCAAACCCTGGATTCTTCCTGCTGAGAAGATGAATTTCTACTTTGAATCTGTGAGTGACTGTTGTTTGATGCCGCAGTCAGCAATATTTCAGTTAGTAATAGAGCATTAGCAGCAGGGTTACTTAAGGGACTGAATGAGGTTATTTGTGTTGTAGATTACGCATGGTGCATTTTTGCTCAATGTTAAATATGAGGCAAAAAAGAAATTAAAGTATTTTCTATAGCCCATCATTTGATTTAATCCTGTTAATCCTGGCCCCATTCAACAAAGTAATCTTAGCGCTAAGGAGATCATAACTTCCTATGCCTTGACATAGACTTACCACAGTTTTAGCGCAAAGATTGCTTTGTGGAACTGTGAGCTGACATTTTAACCACATCTGTTACAAGCTGATATGTCTATTCCTTTAACCTTATGACATATATTAAAGGGCTTATGACGTGTGGTTTTGTCTGGGACTTTGTTGTTGCATAAATTTTTACAAACTGATGATCAAGTTGTTTCTTACAGGTTACAAGAGTTGTACTATTGTGGGTAAACAATCATTTCAACGACTTCGAGACAGACACATCAATGTGTGAATTCCTTGAAGAGTTTGAAACTTTATTGGAGAAGGAGGTGAGTGGTGTCCCTTTAATTATCATGTTATTTATAACAGATGTTTGGGTGAACCTAACAGGACAGGACTCTTTGTGAGAGTACTTGGTATAGACACATGACAGATACTGTTTGATGTTTTACAGCCTGATGCTCTCTCTGAGGTAAGACATTATTCTGGGACATATCGGGTCAACTGGAACTTCTCTCTGTTCTAAACCTTCACTCTTATAGGTCGGGATGACCTCTGTGCAATAACAAACAATTGTCTGTATCTTTTAAATTTCAAATTTTTGTTTCACCGGCAAGGCGTAAACCTCATATCTTGTATTCTCATAATTGCTTTTTTGAGTGTTAATTGCAATGCTGCTTTAATGTATATCTTAATGCAAGTGCTTTTGAGCTAATTATGAAACACTATATACTTCCTCTTGTGTGTCTGTACATACATGTCTGTGAAAATAATGATGGTATCATGTTCATGAAAACACCTTCTTGTGTATTCTAAAGGTTTTCATAGAGATATGTTTACAGGATAGGTCTTTTGCAAAATAAACCTCCTTATATACAAAATAAACCTCCTTATATATGAAATATACCTCATATTTTACAACTGAAACCCTGTATAGGTCAGTACTGAATTCCGTAATTCCGTCATTTACCAAGACAACATAACTTAATAGTATAAAATTAATTTTTGTTGTGCACATATATTATGCAAGTTCACAATATATGTTTGCCACTGGGTAGTATTTCAATAAACTGCACACGTTCCTGTAGGCATTGTTAGGAATTAATATATATTTTTACTAGTCCGCAAAAATGATATAGTAGTTGCCATCCACTTAATGGCGAGACTGGTAAGACTGAATGGCACTGGTCTCAGTCGAGCGGACTTGTGTTAATTTTCGAACCCTAGGTATGCTCGCTTATGGCCATGACACGACTGCGTGGAGCTGCACAGTGCATCCCGACCTGTAACCGCTGTACGTAACTAACCTTTATCTGCTCACTAATGTACTAACCAGGCTAACCTTTCCACTCATCTTGCCTCCTTCCAGAAAATGATTGGTCAAATGCGTCTACTGAACATAGCATGTGCTGCTAAGGCGCGTGTACGAACAATCACGCTGACCCGAGCCACACGAGAGGAGATCCTGCGGTTCCAGATCCTCGGAGGCTGTGAACGAGGTCACGGCATATTTATTACTAAAGTTGAGAGAGGTTCTAAAGCTTTTGAAGCTGGTCTCAAACGGGGTGATCAGGTGAGTTTGGGTGGGGGATTTTTTTTCTTTTCACTTCACACATTTGTTTCATAATTTTTGTTTCCTGAACTCATACAGTACATATTCATGGGTTACGTGTAGGGTTAACCCTGAACTAATGACTTGTTGGAGGTAATCAGTTCTCGTTGTAGCTGTTTGTCTTGTTATGTCAGTTGTTTGTTAAATTTTGTGTTCTCACTTAGTCTTGGGAAACAAGCTTGTTCATGTTTTAGTAAACAGTTATTATTGTTTTACTTTTAGTTTTTTATTTGATATTAATTTGAATGAATACAGTGCTGTCTTAATATGATGTGATGTCTGATAATGGAATCATGTTGGTATACTAGAAAGGAGACTGACCACTGACAAATCTATGATTGCCCTTATTGTGCGACTAGTTGAGTTACCTCCCTTGTGTCATGCTTCCAGATACTTGAGGTGAATGGACAAAACTTCCACCAGATCTCCCACAACAAAGCTCTAGAGATCCTTCGTGGGACGACCCACCTGTCTATCACAGTCAAGTCCAACCTACATGGTCAGTGCATGTGGTGCATCCTTCTGTAGATCTCGTCATAATCTTTAGTAGAGTCATTGATTCAAGCCAGTATGCATTGTTAGTTTATACTGCAGTTCAAAAGTACTCATCAGAGATTCCAGATGAAAGGCCTTGGCAACAGCAATAAAAATATAATAAGAAAACAACAAAACTATTAAACAAGTTCATGTACATCTTTTGCTTAAGTTTAATCTTTTTTCAGACTGATAGTTATGCTGAAAGAATTATTCTTCTTTCCATTCCTGTTTAGAATTCAAGGAAATGCTGCAGGCAGCTGACAAGAATACACCTAGGAAATTAAAAGCTGATTTTATCATGCCTTCAATGAAGCAGAGGTTATCTGCCCCTGATCTGGATGCGTCTGTACCAGTGATAGTGAACACCAAGGATAACAAGCATGACAAAAAGGACAAAGGTTTTATGGCACTGGGAAATAGGCCTCGATTAAAGAAAGCACTTATGAAGATGAATTTAATACCCAGAAATTTAAATAACAGGTATGTATGGTCAATTGTTCCTGTGAAAATGGTAACAGTGGGTATAGTTTTTAAAGCAAATGACTTCAGCTTAGTGGAATGGTAGTTATAAGAAAATACCTGGGGAAGAAACATTTCATGTGGAAGTTCATTTTATTATTTCAGTCATCATGTTTATTTCTATTTTGTATTGTCCATTTGAGATTGTTAACATCAATGAAACTTTTTGCACATATGACCAATGCGACATGTTTCATCTATTTAATGGGGGCACGGGTGGCCCAGTCGTCTAAGGCACCGCTTTGCTGTGCAGAGTTGCATCCCTTTGGCACGCCAGAAACCTATGATTGTGGGTTCGAATCCCGGTTCGCCCCGATTATGTTTCTAGGTTTGTCAGCACCATACCCGTGCTCATGGGTTTCACTGAAGTGGTAAATGTCTGAGACCAGCATCACTTTGGGCTTTCCTCCCACATTAAGCTGACACGCCGTGATACTGTTAAGAGCGGCGTAAAACTCACGCACTCACTCAATTTATGACTTTTCAGTAATAATGGTAGCATGAACCACTCCGACGAGAGCCTGTACCCAAACCCTTCACGCAAGTCCTCCACGTCCTCTACCTCGTCCTCCAACACCGGCACAATGACAAACCATCTCAGTGCCAGCAACCCTGACCTCTCCCTGGCCGGGCTCACCGTCAACGATGCTGCCAGCGACTTCCCTGAACACGTCGTCAAAGTCTACAAGGCTGACCAGTCATTCAAGTACTTGCCAATTCATAAGGTAAACACAATCTTCAATTTGATATATTCTGTTTGACAGTTACCAATTAGTGACCCACATTGCTATTTGTTGCTAATTTGACCAAAATTCTGTAAACTTAAATCCAAATCTAAATCAAAACTCAAACATGTATTTTGTAAATTCAGACAATTTTGATTATTCAATTGAAGTTCTTTAATTTTAACTATTAATATAAAACATTTTGTTCTTAGCATGAGATAATTCTGTTTACCGTGGAATAATGGGATATTTTTATTGCAGGAAACAACTTCGAAAGAAGTGGTTATGCTTGCCCTGCAAGAGTTTGGTATCACAGATCCCAGCTGGTGAGTTGATGCCATTGATCTGCAAGTGTCCACACAGACACAGTAATATTAGCATAGTGATGTGTCAAACTAGAGGTGATCTCCACAATACTTTATCTTTGTTTTAAAACTTTAACATGCTTCAAATGAACACTAAAAGAGTATTTGGTAACATAGATGATGACGATTTCTTGCTTATGATTCAAACGATAGGGATCACTAAGTTACAGTATCTATGATCTGTCTGAATTGTTCAGCAGTGGAATGATGAAAAACTAACAGAAATGAATTGTTCACATATGAGAGTCAGTTCTATATTCCAGAGTTATCAATGCCGTGATATAACTCGAATACTGTTCAAAAGGTCGTGTTAAACACAATGCACTCACTCCAGAGTTTATCTTTCCTTTCTTGTCATGATATGATGATGCTGAGAGCGGCGTTACACGACAAACTTTTCATACTTAATTAATGCTTTCAGCAACTACTCCTTATGTGAGGTAACAGTTCAGAATGAGGAAGTAATCAAACAGAAACGACTGCCGGACACACTGCCGAACCTGCCCGACCGACTGGGTCTCAACGGAAGGTGAGAGGGCTCAGTCATCTGTTACCTCAGACAGGTGCCTGTTCCACAAAGAGATCTTAGTGGTATGACTATCGTAAGTCATTGTTAAGATATGGGAGTTACCATTGTCATATTGTTTAGATCACTGTGTGGAACAGGCCTCAAGTATAGGAGTGGTGTCTCAGGGACTTGGTGTTCTAGAAGTTGCAGGAGGTTAGATGTAAGGGGGTTGTCCTCAGTGGTAGGCTGCTTGTATGTGTAGCAGTTGGAACCAGAGCCTTGGCACACATTGGTATTTGCGCCTTGGTATTCTATGGCTATTTTTGCGTGTTTTTCATTGAAACCATTAATAGTATGCCAATGCACATCTTAACCATGTACTTATGAACATTTAAACAACATTTGAACGTTCTGTTTTTACAACACAGTGAAATGTGTTTTTCATGGGTTGAGGTTGTGGTTAAACTGCTACAGATCCTGTGCACTGCGAGGTACAATATGTCCAGATATGTTTTAACATGTGTTCACGACATAGTGTCTGTTTCTTCAGCATTCCATCTCACCTATATAATCAATCACAGTCGAGACCAACACCTTTCACCACACTGTGTGCTGTTCACCATATGGGGTTAGGAGTTAAGCTTATACTCTTCCGCCTTGTTTCTGTGGGGAGTCCGGCCTAGAAACCAACATTGTAGTCTATCACGTTGTCACCAAGTAATATTACATTTCACCTTGAGTCACATTTCAAAACATATTATTTGAGAGTTTTGCAGAATCCTATGAAAGCCCCGAGCAGAGTGTCGAAGCGACCGGTAGTTCTAAAATTGACAACCAAAATTTGCCTCCAAGCGTGCTTCTTGATGTTGTATGTACAAGTGTACATCTTTGTACAACGTTTGGCATGTACCTGGCTATAATTTTGATTTTCGCTGCTTTTTGAGAAAAACGTTTCGCTGTATGCATGGACTACCCTTGAACCCTATCATCCCTGTCGTCATTCATCGTGTACTTCCACATCATCATCAGTCATCTGACCATTAATCATCATTACACCCTCCACACCATAATCGTCATTGACACACTAAACATGGTTACCATGGAAACGGGAGTAGTATCTTACCAGGCCTGGCTAACCTCTTCCACTACACTGAGTTATGTTAAAACTTACGTAATGTGGTTCTTAAGGTCACTTTAAGCTTGAGGGAGGCACACCATTGACAGTTTGTGAATTAAGACCAGTTTGTAAGATTGTTTGACGTTTGAGTGAACAGTTTATTAATATGAATGGGTAGTCATGCTTGAAACAAACACACTGTAGCAGTGCATTTGGTAAAGTGATTAATTGAAAAATGGTATACTAAAAATAGACAATTCGTGCCTCCTTTCAAGAGAATAACATGGCCTCCATTGTGGTGTTGTGTTCAAAGGGACAATAGTATTGACATTATCAGAATTAATCCAGGTCTACAAAATGCATGATACGGATTAAAAAACAAAAAAAGAAAAAATATGAAGAAAAGTAATACCATATCTTTTAGCTTTATTGTATTAATAAAGAGATCATGCATTCTGTGAGGTTATCCTTCCTTAAGTGTCTGTATAATGCAAGTCTTGAGATTATGTATCCTCTGATTGGGTTTATGCAAACATTGTCAGTGTTTTACTGTTGGCTTTGCTGTTGGATGATATGCTTTGGCATGTACACAGGTCATGCACTCAGTAGAGTAGTACATATTAATCTGTCTGGAAATACACACATAGCTTGCTATGAATGGGATAGATTGTGTATTGTATCGCCGTGATGTGGAATCATGTAACAAGCTGTTTTAGTGTGGAATGATAGCATGGAAGGTGCTCAAGACGTTGATGGTAATCTACAGACTTGCATGGATGCTAGGACAGTGATAGGCTGGTGGTGCATGGTAGCCGGGAGGTGTAGTTCTGTTTGCACGGATGTGGTTTTGCACTTGTTGTATGCACTCCTAATGTGCCGTGAAATAACCTTGGTCATACCCTGGAAGTTTTGTTACATTTTCATAATTATTATTTCTATTACTATTTTTCGAAAATAATAATAATAATATTTTTAGTATGGTATGTTATAACCATATCTGAGATGGCAATATTGTGCAGATCAGTGGGAAACTGGGGTGTTGTGAATTAACCAGATCACAGAGTGTCCCAAACCTTACAACAACCCCATACAAGTCTAGTACCCCACCCCATCAAGTCTAGTGCCCCACCCCACACTTCAAGTCTACTGCCCCACCCCCATACAAGTCTAGTGCCCCACCCTACATTAAGTCTAGTTCCCCACCCCACCATACAAGTCTACTGCCCCACCCCCATACAAGTCTAGTGCCCCACCCCCATACAAGTCTAGTGCCCCACCCTGCCATACAAGTCTAGTGCCCTACCCCACCATACAAGTCTAGTTCCCCACCCTACATTCAAGTCTAGTGCCCCACCCCATCATCAAGTCTAGTGCCCCACCCCACTATACAAGTCTAGTGCCCCACCCTGCCATACAAGTCTAGTGCCCCACCCCACCATACAAGTCTAGTGCCCCACCCTGCCATACAAGTCTAGTGCCCCACCCTACATTCAAGTCTAGTTCCCCACCCCACCATACAAGTCTAGTGCCCCACCCCATCATCAAGTCTAGTGCCCCACCCCACCATACAAGTCTAGTGCCCCACCCCATCATCAAGTCTAGTGCCTCACCCCATCAAGTCTAGTTCCCCACCCCACCATACAAGTCCAATACCCCACTCCCATCATTGTCAATCCCTTCGTTTATCTATTCGTACAAGTGTTCAGGCTCCACCCTCAGTTTCCAGTTGATACTTATTATTTGCCATCTCCCTAGCATGTCAAGATGCTTGTATTCAGTCTTCAAAGTCTTGATGAATACTTACTTGTTAAATGCTGCACTGTATTAAGACAAGACATTCCATGTGGCAGTGTCCACTGTTCACTACTATGTAATCAGAGTGATGCAAAGCTGCCTTTGAAGACTGAATAATCCCAGTGTCCAGTTGTTCCTGTAGCCTAGTCTTAAATACCTGTATGTCATTGCATGTCCTCATTCATACCTTTATACCAAGAGTAAGAATTGACTGCTGACATGTATAGATGTACCATTGTAGGAATGACAGTAATTGTCTGCTCAGTAGCAGGTGTGCAGGCGCTTCTGAATTTAATCGCGCTACTCTAAACTACACAACAAACACTTTTAATATTTAAAAAAATTGAATCATCTTTTATCTATTTTTACCAAAAGGAAGACAATTTATGGGTGTCAACTTATAAGGAACATCACTTCTAAATGCCTTTCAAAGACTTATTTTTACTTTGTCTTACTTGTGCAAGAAATTGTATCAGTAATGCAAATTGTTATCACATTACCTGCGCCTAAGAGAATTGTAACTCTTTAAGACAATGTTACCTTATAATTTCTTGTGGGTATGTTTATATAGATATGAAAATGATATGGAACTATAAGTCTAGTAATGAAGCAGTTCAATTCTTACTCTTCCCTTCTTCATTCTCAGGACTAAGATGTGAGAGAATAGCAATCTGTTTCTGTACACAATTAACATAATTTGGATGCAGTTATTAAGTTACTCATTGTTTGTAAATTTCAATAATCTCTCAGGCCTACAAATAAGAACATTTTCTAGGACATTGACTGATTGTCATCCAAAATGGCCTGAAGAATTATTCCAAATTTGGTAATGATTTTGAAGAATGTTCTATCAAAACCTTTTGCCTTTGACTCCAGAAAAATCACTGATCTCTCATATCTTGAATCATTGTGGCCGTGGGCATTTGTGCATGCATTAAGCTTGTTTAAGTCTGTGTCACGGAGATTCATTCCCAAGTCATGGGCTCCTGGTCAAAGGGATCTTAGCATTATGACTGTTGTAAATCTATGTTAAAGTATGGAAGCTACAACAGTCAGTGTGCTTTCATTTCTTTGAAAACAGACCCCTGGCCTTCTACAGATGTGACAGATTTGGCTTGAAAATATTTTGATCCTAATAAAAAGAAGGTTGTTGACAAATCTAATAAAATGTGAAGCAAGTAATGGATGATTGAAACCAGGTGTCACATGAGTGTAGGAATGTGCCACCACTGACACAAACTTGTACAAAGCAACAAGAAACATCCAAGCTGGGTCGCACAAAGCTTGACGCCACAAGCACCATATTGGGAGACTGGTAGGTAGCGTTGCCATGACAACAATGACAGGCCGTTGCTCGGGGCTAACTTTCTCCCCTTTCCCCCATACTCATCCAGGCGTACTTGTCCACGTGTACTCAGGTACTATTTAAAGAACAACATGAGTACCGACTCTCTAGTCCCCGATGAGCTGCGTGGCGAGCTGATCAAGGAGAGCCAGATCAGCCTGCTGCAGCTCAACTCCGCGGAGGTGGCCTCACAGCTCACCCTCGAGGACTTCAAGGTGTTCCGGGAAATCGAGCCCACGGAGTATATTGACGAACTCTTCGGGCTTGATTCAAAGTATGGCTGTCCTGCTCTCAAGAAGTTTGCTGAGGTGAGTGTAACTGGAGAGTTGTAAGCCTTGTAGGAATGTGTGTACATCATCCACTGAGGTTGGTTGGTTGTTTTATGCCGCACTCAGCAATATTCCAGCTATATGACGGTGGTCTGTAAATAATCAGGTATGGACCAGACAATCCAGTGATTGACATCATGAGCATCGATCCACGCAATTGGGATCGATGACATGCTTCAACCGAGTCAGCGAGTCTGACCACCCGATCCTGTTAGTCGCCTCTTGCAACAAGCATAGTCGCCTTTTACGGCAAGCATGGGTTGCTGAAGACCCATTCTACCCTGGATCTTCACGTGTCTCATCATCTGAGGGTTTTTGTTCAACTTGTCACATAGTTCTGTTCCTGTATCAAGTATTTCTTTTCACTGCACACAAAGAGCACATTTAAGCAATTTTCTTTTGAAAAATATGCTATTCAAAAGAAGTTATGGACCACCCTATTCTTTCTTGTTAATTTAGTTGATCTGTCATGGCATGACATGTTAACTATATTAATATGAAAGAATATGTTTGCGTTGTAAAATTTGTAGATAGATTTCTGAGGTTCATGCGGAAATATATCAGTAATTCATCATGTCTAGTGATGTTTTATCTCAAATTTAAAATTTGTATTGACCAAGTTTAATTGTTATGATCTGTTAGTTTCCCTGATCGCTGAAGGGATTCGATGTAATTTTTTTCTGCAGAAGACAAACACATTTTTATTGTAAATGTAGATGACATGCTTCATTCTGACTCGCTTTATAGATGGGGTATATAAATTAGCATAGATTTTAAAGGCCTGTACAGGGGGGTCACCTTATACGTGGGGTCGATTTATGGACGGTAATATACGGTAGTAAGTTGTCGTATGGTTCCTTTTTACATTCTTGTATTACATTCCTTCTGTAGTATTGATGTTATAATGATTTAAGTATCTCCGATCTTCATGCCTCACCTGTGAAGGAAGTATTCTCAACATAACTCTTATTTCTTGTTAAAGTTTTGACAAAGTGTCACTGATCTTGTTTCAGCTGGTCAACAGGGAAATGTTCTGGGTGGTGACGGAGATCTGTAGTGAGGGAAGTCTAGTCAAGAGATCAAAACTCCTCAAGCACTTCATCAAGATAGCCAGTGAGTACTACCTGTAAATAGCATCTGCTTTGGAGATGAATAGCAATACCTTTTCTTATGACTTCACAAATCATATGTGAAGTCTGCATGAATTCTTATTCATAAGGGGTGGTCGGGTAGCCTAGTGGTAAAAGCGTTCGCTCGTCACGCCGAAGACCCGGGTTCGATTCCCGACATGGGTACAATGTGTGAAGCCCATTTCTGGTGTCCCCCGCCGTGATATTGCTGTAATATAGCTTAAAGTGGGTTAAAACCATTCTCACTCACTCACTCTTATGCATATATTTTTTAACTTATAGTTATAAATGGAAAACAGATGTGCTTTGCAGATTTACACAGTGTGTGAATCTGTTCTCATGTTTGTAGCTCCGTAAATGCAAAAAATATTGAAGTCAATACTAAAATGAATATTTCAGCCTGATGTATGTTTTCATGATATTAGATCAAAGAAAGTGATGAAACCAACCTAATGCTGAGGTTTTAATGTTTCAGAGCATTGTAAAGATTGCAAGAACTTCAACTCTATGTTTGCAATCTTAAGTGGTTTGGGTCACCAGTCAGTATCACGACTACGTAACACATGGGAGAGACTGCCTAGCAAGTACTACAAGATGTTCGAGGTACGTACATAACAACTCCTGACTTGTGGCAGTTCCTGTTTGTGTCATGACTGTGTCACTTCATCTTCTTCTAAAACCGGGCAGTAGGGTAGCCAAATGGTTAAAGCGTTTGCTTGTTCTGCCAAAGCCCAAGTTCGATTCCCCCATGGATACAATGTGTAAAGCTCTTTTCGTGTATCTCCTGCCATGATATTGCTGAAATATTGCTAGAAGTGGGCATAAAACACAACAAACTCTTTGTTAAACCAAGTTTGATATTCCTTGTTATGTTTTCAGGATCTTCAAAATTTGATGGATCCTTCTCGGAACATGGCTAAATATCGAAATCTCATTAACAGTGAGCACATACAACCTCCCATGGTAAGTAGTGATATAGACATACATATTTGTGTCTGAATGTAGTGGTATAATAATTATAATTTAGTAATGATATAGTATATAGTTTTCTTAGCACTGGCAAGACAAATAATGGACATGACCTAGAACCAAAATTAAGCTATTTATTTATAAGAATTGACCTTAATATGTTTTTGAATCTGTGGAGGCAATAAGATAAAAATGATGTGCACACTGTGTAAATTTGCATAATCAGTTCTGAATTCTGAATTCCTCTGACAAATGTTGAATGTGTATTTTGCAGCTGCCCTTCTTCCCAGTGGTGAAGAAGGACCTGACGTTTATCCACCTTGGCAATGACACAATGGTGGATGGACTGGTCAACTTTGAGAAGCTCCGCATGATTGCCAAAGAAATTAGACATATATGCAACATGTCGTCAGCTAGATATGTAAGTGTTGGGCATGTTAAATTTGTTTTTCTTCTTATATAACTGATTGTACATCGATACAATGTGTAACATGTGTAATGCTAATCGCGTGTCCCACTCATACTGCACAATTCCACAAGTGCTTTAGTTACTAAATAAAATTCTTGATGCTTTCCTCAATGATGACCGCTCCCCTTCAAACACTGACAACACCTCTTCAAAAATGACCACACCCTTCCAATGATGACCACGCCCCTTCCACTGATGGCCACACCCATTCCACTGATGACAACGCCCCTTCCACTGATGACCATGCCCCTTCCAATGATGACCATGCCCCTTCCACTGATGACCACACCCCTTCCAATGATGAGCATGCTCCTTCCAATGATGAGCATGCTCCTTCAAATGATGACTATGCTGCTTCCAATGATAAACCCCCCCCCCTGACCACTATGTCTCTCGCTGCAGGATGTTAGCACCATGTACCTGGGCACTGGCTCCATGTTCTCCAGCACGCTGGTGTCCGGAGTGGCCACACTCAAGCGCACCAAGAACCGGCGAGGCTCTACGCTGCCCAACCTGAAGAAGATGTATGAAGAGGTATGTCCAGTGTTCATTGTATGCTTGATGAAAATCGACTTTAGAATTACGTTTGATGCCTTGACTCATTTCCATGACTCTAGCTAGTCCTTGGTTCTAACTAAACAAGCAAGCAGACTCTGGTTAATGCACCACACTGGACTGGTGTTGCTGCTGAAATTACATTTAAACATTTAATCTCTCTGGTTCATACAATTATAGGGGGCCAGGGGTGGCCCTGTCATCTAAGGCACCACAATTCACTGTGTGGAATTGTGTCTCTTGGTCTTGCCTGAAACCTATGTTTCGGGTCCTAGAACTCCCCGATGATGTTTCTAAATTTGTCAGCACCATACCTGTGCTTGTAGGGCTCACCAAAATGGTATACGTCTGATACATGCATCACTTCGGGCATTCCTCCCATATCTAGCTGATACGCCGTGATGTAACTGGGATAATGTTCAAAGTGGCGTTACACACAATTCTACAATGACATTGAAGAATGCTTGATTCTGATTGGTTAATAAGACTGGAGGTTTCCTTTTTGCTACAGGAACCCCTTTTAAATATATTAAGCCTTTTCACACAAAAAACGTGTCGATAGCCTACATATCGATTCATAAAATTTGGCTGCTGATCGATCACCCTTAGTTATACATAATTAAAAGAGAATATGAAGGTATAACAGAGGGACATGTTGTTGCAGGCCCAGATGGTGAGACGAGTCAAGTCGTACCTGAGTAATATGCAGACTATCACAGATGAGGAGAAGCTGAAAGATCTGTCTAACCACTGTGAAATACCTGGTGAGACTGCAGTCTGAGTTGTCAAGCTGATACTACCTCCACCTCAATTGTGTAGTGGTAGAGTGTCCCCGGCCGCATCATACCAAAACATGTAAAAAAAATGGTACTTGTTGCCTGGCGCTTGGCATTTAGGGGCTAAATCAAGGACTGTTCGACTCGGAGTCAGTATATTGTCCCTGAGTGGGGTATTCATGATAAAACTGCGGCAAGGTATCTCAATGGGCTACCATTATAAAATACACACACACAGACAAACACACCACATGCGCACACACGCACGAACACATGCACACAGCACACACACCACACAGACCACACACACACACCGACACCACACAAACATACAGACACACATGATCCAAATGGAGAGTTATTTTTTGGTCAAAATATAAAATATTTTGGGATTCCTTTACCAATTTAACATAATTTTAGAGCGTCAAGAAAACTACCCAAGCATTTGTTAAGGTCAGCTTCTGAAAAATGATAAATTTTGGTGTTTATTTGTTTATAGACACTCAGATATGAAAACTTCCTCTTCCTCAGTTACTGCCCCTGTCAAAACATTGTCTCCAACAATGGTAGTTCTGAGATAGTTTTGTGCAAGCGGGCCCAGAGTATGACTGTCCCAATCCTTTATCCTCAGCAGCTCGAAAACGTGACCCTTCACCAGGGGTGAACACTGGCTCCCCGAACCACACGGTGGAGAACAAGGTTCCAGTTCATACAGGGCCCAAGTTTGGTAAGTCTGCATCCCCTTGTCTGATTGGTGCATCCATATAATCACAATCATTGCCTCAGAATGTATACTGCCTTGTATTTAACACGTTGATATGAAATCTTCGACATTTTTAGTTTCTTACTAGTCCATTTTAATCATTTATTCACAAGACCTCCTCTGGGATTGGGAATGGCATATTGTTATCATTTCACCTCAACGCATGAGTTTTATAATGTATGCTAAAGTTTGATTATAATCAATGTTCACTTTAATTTGAGTTTAGTATATTTCTGTGACCATCTCTATCTTTTTAGTTTCACTCACTGAAGTAATTTTCGAATGACCTTGACATTCTTTGACTTCCTTAGCTGCCTCCGTTTAGTCACAATGAGAAAGGGGAAAATAAGATTTTAGTTTGTTTGAAATTCATTGATTTTTGTTTCACTGCACTACATTACTGAACGTTCGCAAAGTTGTGGAGGTACTTTTATGAAAATCACCTCACTGAAAACAATAAATAATTCTGCTTTTTGCACTTAGCTGCCTAATCAATTATATGCAACTTTACATGAAAAAAGAATTATTTTATGTCAAATCACAATTGTTTGCATTATCAGGAAAAGTTCAGTTTTATTTTATCCCAAGTAGATTCACCATTGTCTTTACTATATTTGCAAATCTTGGTGGCAGCTTAGGATCATGCATGCTTGGCTAGCAAGTCTGTGCGTGCGTCCGTGCGTCGTATGTCAATGCATACGTACGTCATAGTTAATGTGTTCTCCATCAGGTGCTGAATCTCCGGGGGCTGTACGAAAGATCATGGCACTAACCGACAAAGTTCGTCCTCATAACCCCAAAATTCCTCTCCCGCCTGTCACTAGTCCATTGTCTGGTCGTCGGCAAACGTCGCCGCGCCATGCTCGGGCTATGCAGCACGTCCACCTATCGTCTGAGAGCTCCTCTGTTGTCAGTCTCAGTAATATGCATATACGCAAGCCCAGTCGGACGGGTAAGGATGAGTCAATCGTCTGTCTGCCCATCGCCTCGTCAATCAGCGCTTTAACTTTTCATGGCCAGTGTTGCTTTTAGTTTACGTACTTGAACAGTGCTGCTCTTTGTATAGTATCCGTAATTACGTAGGCGGTAGTTTTGCCGCTTGAGTCTTCTGCGTATATCCATGTGCAACCAACTTTGCTGATGTTGTGCGCTGTTTTTCTACTCGCGCTTTATGTTGAAAAAAAATATGTATGTTTGCTCAGACTTATAGATAAAATTTGATTACATTTTGAATTTTCATAAATTCAAATCATATCACTTCCCCTACATAATCACACATTGTAAGGTGTCATTCCCGAATCATTATCTGTATATATTGATATAGTTGCAATTTAATATTAATTTCACCATGTACATGCAAATTTGTTCACCTAACCTGGCCATATTAAGTTGATTTGCTATGATGGGTGTGGGCATGGCATGCATGTCATACACAGCTTCTGTGTGGCTTTCTGTCAGCTTTGTGTGTCTGCTTCTGTCTGTAGTTGTCATGTGTCATGTGTCATGTCCTTGTCATGGTCCTGTCATGAATGTTTGTGTTGACCTGCTTCTACTGAATCCTAATCTTGACGATTTCCTTGCAGATTTTATGTGATATCGTTGAAATGAACAAATAGTTTAGTGGAGCTCCCTTATTTGTTATTGCCAAGAATTCTTCCAAAGATGTAATGAAAGGGGTAGAGTTTCAAATAGATTTATGATTTCCAAGAGAAATAAGAAGAATTTTTTTAGCATTGAAACAAGTCGGCAGATAATGCAAGTGTCTGAGTTGTGTTTATTGCTGTATATTTTCAATATTATGGACAGAATTTATTCTCTGATAGGACTAATGAAATTCAGTGAATGTCCATGACAGCTCTGTGGGTTTGATCTTCTGTTTCAACAAGGGTGAAAGTCTGTCTTGTCTTATCTTCCAACTGCTGACAATACCTCATGCTGCCACTGACTGGCGACATCCAGATGATCTGTCTTCTGCATAGTCTGATGTGGGCATTTACTGTCCTCAGTAGTACACACAAAAGGAACACTCAGTAGAACATACAAAAAGTTTAGATGATATTTCTGCATAATTTGTGTCTACAGCACCTGTAAAGTACTATGATGAATATTCTGATAAATTTTGTTGACAAACATTACAACTAATAAATTCACGTATTATTAAATATGCTTCTAGGCACTGCCCACATTACTCTTTCTCTTCAAGTGATGGTGATAGCTTTTTATCAAGTCTGTTCAGTACATCATGTGAGAGCACTTTGTAATGTCCGACAGATGTGTGATGTGAAGCTGCCGTTGTAGCCAACTAACCTACTCCTGATTTCCCTCCCAAGGTTCGATAGGTTCCACGGACTCTGCCAGTCCTACCAGTAGCGTCAACAGCTACCAGCACCAGAGTTCCTCAGAGACCGATTCCGGACACTGCTTCGACAGTCACAGTAGCAGCTCTGTGGGGTCCTACAACTCTCCACCTGTACTCAGGAAGGGACAGCAAGGTGAGACGGAATCTGTGGGTGGGGATGGAGTTGGACACCAAGGTGAGATGGAATCTGTGGGTGGGGATGGAGTTGGGCATCAAGGTGAGACGGAATCTGTGGGTGGGGATGGAGTTGGGCACCAAGGTGAGACGGAATCTGTGGGTGGGGATGGAGTTGGGCATCAAGGTGAGACGGAATCTGTGGGTGGGGATTGAGTTGGGCATCAAGGTGAGACGGAATCTGTGGGTGGGGATGGAGTTGGGCACCAAGGTGAGACGGAATCTGTGGGTGGGGATGGAATTGGGCATCAAGGTGAGACGGAATCTGTGGGTGGGAATGGAGTTGGGCATCAAGGTGAGACGGAATCTGTGGGTGGGGATTGAGTTGGGCATCAAGGTGAGACGGAATCTGTGGGTGGGGATGGAGTTGGGCATCAAGGTGAGACGGAATCTGTGGGTGGGGATGGAGTTGGGCACCAAGGTGAGACGGAATCTGTGGGTGGGGATTGAGTTGGGCATCAAGGTGAGACGGAATCTGTGGGTGGGGATGGAGTTGGGCACCAAGGTGAGACGGAATCTGTGGGTGGGGATGTAGTTGGGCATCAAGGTGAGACGGAATCTGTGGGTGGGGATGGAGTTGGGCATCAAGGTGAGACGGAATCTGTGGGTGGGGATGGAGTTGGGCATCAAGGTGAGACGGAATCTGTGGGTGGGGATGGAGTTGGGCACCAAGGTGAGACGGAATCTGTGGGTGGGGATTGAGTTGGGCATCAAGGTGAGACGGAATCTGTGGGTGGGGATGGAGTTGGGCACCAAGGTGAGACGGAATCTGTGGGTGGGGATGTAGTTGGGCATCAAGGTGAGACGGAATCTGTGGGTGGGGATGGAGTTGGGCATCAAGGTGAGACGGAATCTGTGGGTGGGGATGGGAGTTGGGCACAAAGGTGAGACAGAATCTGTGGGTGGGGATGGAGTTGGGCATCAAGGTGAGACGGAATCTGTGGGTGGGGATGGAGTTGGGCATCAAGGTGAGACGGAATCTGTGGGTGGGGATGGAGTTGGGCATCAAGGTGAGACGGAATCTGTGGGTGGGGATGGAGTTGGGCATCAAGGTGAGACGGAATCTGTGGGTGGGGATGGAGTTGGGCACCAAGGTGAGACGGAATCTGTGGGTGGGGATTGAGTTGGGCATCAAGGTGAGACGGAATCTGTGGGTGGGGATGGAGTTGGGCACCAAGGTGAGACGGAATCTGTGGGTGGGGATGTAGTTGGGCATCAAGGTGAGACGGAATCTGTGGGTGGGGATGGAGTTGGGCATCAAGGTGAGACGGAATCTGTGGGTGGGGATGGGAGTTGGGCACAAAGGTGAGACAGAATCTGTGGGTGGGGATGGAGTTGGGCATCAAGGTGAGACGGAATCTGTGGGTGGGGATGGAGTTGGGCACAAAGGTGAGACGGAATCTGTGGGTGGGGATGGAGTTGGGCACAAAGGTGAGACGGAATCTGTGGGTGGGGATGGAGTTGGGCATCAAGGTGAGACGGAATCTGTGGGTGGGGATGGAGTTGGGCACAAGGTGAGACGGAATCTGTGGGTGGGGATGGAATTGGGCATCAAGGTGTACTATAGTACACTGACAGCATGGGGCATGGCTCATGCTACCAATCACTGGATTGTCCGGTCCAGACTCCCAATATGTACAGGCCACTATTTTATAGCTGAAATATTGCTGAGTGTGGCAGACAGTTTTCAATGGTTGTTAATTTCTGTGTGAACCAAGATCAATTGCATATTGCTCTTTGATAACGTTGCGCTCCACACGAGGATGAAATAGAATTCTGTCATTTCTTATTCTGTATGGCTGAGGCTGAGGCTCAGGTTAAATTGATACACTTTCTGATTCGTCCATCCAATGTGTCCATCCCACAAACCCAGATGCAATGTGCTACAGGACATTACTAACATATTTTCTCTATTATACATCATATTCTCAGACATGTCATTCTGGCAGCATGCACATGTGTCTTCTCTCTGTTCTTTGCAAACTTTGACTAACTTCATGCTTGCCTGTCTGATTACAGCGCCGATGAACTCTCTCCACCCCCACCATGTTTCCTACCCCCAGGCCCAGATGCCCCGCCCCCCTCTCCCCTCCTACCACACCGTCATGCAGAATGCTCCGCTGTCAGCCCCTGCAGGTGAGTCCCGTGGCATGCACAGACACACCCACCAACCAAGCAGCCTGCATGTGCTGGAGGGAGGGATGTTAACATTTCACTCTCTTTATAACCAACAGACATGCATGGTCAACCCCAATGTATACATGTGTGTGAGTAGATGATGACTAGGCAATAATATGCGTTATATATAGTACTTAGTTTGTTTTGTTTAATTTGCCAAATTAACATATACTACTCAAAAGAAGTTGAGAGCACACTCTGTTATCATATGACTATAGTTAATATGTCATACCATGGCCACATTAGTCACATGACGAAATCCGTTCTTCTTTCACTTCTTTTGAGTAATATATATCAAATTCATAAATGTTCATGAGGTTGATAAAAATAATATGTAGTTTTTAAGAATGTTTGAAAGTTTCATATACTGTATGTCAATACTGAAAATTCCTATGAGTTACCTCCGAGCACCATGGTGCGCACACAGATGATCTGTGTCTTTGGTGTGATGTGTATCATGACATGGATCATTAGCTTTCGATTATGTTAGTCACAAAAGGTTTTTCTATTTCTGAACACAAAGGAACCAACATTGAAGTTTTCATAGGGATCACAAAGATTTGTTACTTGCTCAGCAAGGTTCCATGTTTTCCTGATGTACTCGATGTAGTGTGCCATTCCTAGTGTGTCGTGTTGCCCCTGTGAGTGCTGTAACACCCTGCATGACCGGTATAGAGACGTGCGTACGCCACCCCCATGCATGCAGGTGTCGTGGACACCCAGATGACACCTGACACAGTACAGAGAGTTTACTTGTATTTCACACAGAACCAGGCTGGCTGCAATACTTACACATACACTTTCTGTAGTATATCCTACTACCAGTGTTTGGTTTGGGCTACTAGCGACATCGAAACATGGCTTACCAATCATGCATTCTGCATCGTTCATATTCCATTTTGAATCTTGCTTGAAAAAATGTATGTAGAAATTAAAAATGTGATTTACAATTATGAATTTTATGGTAACTGTAAATTGGTGACCATTTTATTATGTAAGAACAGGAAGGTTGAAGTCTTTAATGTGATAGGAATGAGGAGATTAATGAAGTAAGGCTCTCTACTCTGTGGGTGTTCATCTTTCACAGCTTATGTATGTCTTGAACATGAAACAAGCATGAGATATGTAATAACATCGTGCCTTTTCTCTCCTCCTGTCCTGTCAGCGTCTTGCCATTACAATCCCCCAGCGTATCCCAGCCGGCGGCTGCCACTCCCAGACTACCAGGCGGCTACTCAAATGGCACTTGCACGGCAGAAACAATTATGGCAGGCAGAACGCTCCCGCTCACATGAGGGGGTAGGGTTCTACGAGGAGGGGGATTATGATAACACAGTAGAGGGTATGTGTCCTAGTTCAACACAGGGTATGTGTCCAATGGCTGTGAGAGTGTGTCAGTGGGTCGTATTCTGAAGACGAGTTTGATGCTGGCATCAGAGGATGTGTTACTGTGTGTCAATGGATCATGTTCTAACGAGGGCGTTACACGGGTATCAGAGAATAGTTTCTAGTGATAACGGAGGATGTGTTACTGTGTGTCAATGGATCATGTTCTAAGGAGGGCGTTACACGGGTATCAGAGAATAGGTTCTAGTGATAACGGAGGATGTGTTACTGTGTGTCAGTGGGTCGTGTTCTTAAGGAGGGCATTACATGGTTATAAGAGAGTAGGTTCTAGTGATAACGGAGGATGTGTTACTGTGTGTCAGTGGGTTGTGTTCTTAAGAAGGGCGTTACATGGGTATCAGAGAATAGTTTCTAGTGATAGCAGAGGATGTGTTACTGTGTGTCAATGGATCATGTTCTAAGGATGGCGTTACACGGGTATCAGAGAATAGGTTCTAGTGATAACGGAGGATGTGTTACTGTGTGTCAGTGGGTCGTGTTCTTAAGAAGGGCGTTACATGGGTATCAGAGAAAATGGGTCATGTTCTTAAGGAGGGCGTTACAATGGTATCAGAGAATAGGTTCTAGCAATAACGGAGGATGTGTTACTGTGTGTCAGTGGGTCGTGTTCTTAAGGAGGGCATTACATGGTTATAAGAGAGTAGGTTCTAGTGATAACGGAGGATGTGTTACTGTGTGTCAGTGGGTCGTGTTCTTAAGAAGGGCGTTACATGGGTATCAGAGAAAATGGGTCGTGTTCTTAAGGAGGGCATTACATAGTTATAAGAGAGTAGGTTCTAGTGATAACGGAGGATGTGTTACTGTGTGTCAGTGGGTCGTGTTCTTAAGGAGGGCGTTACACTGGTATAAGAGAGTAGGTTCTAGCAGTAACGGAGGATGTGTTACAATTTGTCAGTGGGTTGTGTTCTTAAGGAGGGCGTTACATGGGTGTCAGAGAGTAGGCTCTACCAATATCGGAGGATGTGTTACTGGGTCCTGTTCTTAAGGAGGGCATTACACGAGTTTCAGAGTGTAGGTTCTATCTATAACAGAGGATGTGTTACTATGTGTCAAGTGGTCCTGTTCTTAAGGAGGGCGTTATCAGGGAATAGGTTCTAGCAATAACAGACGATGTGTTAGTCAGTCGTGTTCTTAGTGAGGGCTTTATGTTTGCATCAGGGAGTAGGTTCTAACAGGTTCCAGCAATTAGGGAGGATGTGTTACTGCAAGTTTGTCAAGTGGTTGTGTTCTTAAGGAGGGCGTTACATGGGTGTCAGAGAGTAGGCTCTACCAATATCGGAGGATGTGTTACTGGGTCCTGTTCTTAAGGAGGGCATTACACGAGTTTCAGAGTGTAGGTTCTATCTATAACAGAGGATGTGTTACTATGTGTCAAGTGGTCCTGTTCTTAAGGAGGGCGTTATCAGGGAATAGGTTCTAGCAATAACAGACGATGTGTTAGTCAGTCGTGTTCTTAGTGAGGGCTTTATGTTTGCATCAGGGAGTAGGTTCTAACAGGTTCTAGCAATTAGGGAGGATGTGTTACTGCAAGTTTGTCAAGTGGTTGTGTTCTTAAGGAGGGCGTTACACGGGTGTCAGAGAGTAGGTTCTACCAATATCGGAGGATGTGTTACTGGGTCCTGTTCTTAAGGAGGGCATTACACGAGTTTCAGAGTGTAGGTTCTATCTATAACAGAGGATGTGTTACTATGTGTCAAGTGGTCCTGTTCTTAAGGAGGGCGTTATCAGGGAATAGGTTCTAGCAATAACAGACGATGTGTTAGTCAGTCGTGTTCTTAGTGAGGGCTTTATGTTTGCATCAGGGAGTAGGTTCTAACAGGTTCCAGCAATTAGGGAGGATGTGTTACTGCAAGTTTGTCAAGTGGTTATGTTCTGAAGAATGTTTGTTTTATGCTGCCTTCAGAGAAAAAAGGTTCTAGAAATAATAGTCTCTTTTCTGTGTTGTAAGGATAACCAGGAACATGTTTGTTTGAGAAAGCAGATGGCAGGTGCTTGTTTAGCAAAATGGCCCAATGCAGCTAAGTTTGCCTTTATTGTGGGATTTTGCCTCAGAGCTGTGTTCATTTTGGATTAGTTTTTCCTTGTTTGGTTCCAAAAGGGATGTAAGGAGGATGTTTTGTATCTTCTATATGAGTGTTGAAAAGATACAAATATGTATTGGTGCTGTTTTGTGTTGAAGTTTTAGACAGGGTAAAAGGTATGGAGATGTTCATACCAGATGTACAGATGCACATGACGGGGAGTAGTCAAGGGGAGACAATAGAGAATATGTTTAGCATGTTTGTGCTGCAGTACGGATTATACTTGTTGGGAGCTGCTTGTTATATGTGTGTGTACTGATTGTTTGGTTGAGGGTCACTCCACAGATGTATTTGTGCTTCGATGTCTGTCATGAAGTGTGTCATAATTTCAGTAAACATGGTTCAAATTTTTTAGCATTTTGTGGTTAGTTTATCAAAACTATATGTTCCCAAAAAATACAAATTAAAAGCTATGAACTTTGATCAAAGAATATTTTATGCCATCCCAGATGATGTATGATAGGTGAGCATGTGCAATTTAGTCAGTATGCAAAGGGACAATTGACAGTCAATGATTGCTGCTTCTGACTGATGGATTTAAGGATTTTATGAGTGTTTCAGGCTATTGCTGAATTTGTACTCTCAGTGCAATGGACCATTTGGTCTATTTTGACCATTGAGTGGACCATTTTGACCACTGAGTGGACCATTTTGACCATTGAGTGGACCATTTTGACCATTGAGTGGATCCTTTTGACCATTGAGTGGATCCTTTTGACCATTGAGTGGACCATTTTGACCATTGAGTTGATAATTTTGACCATTGAGTGGACCATTTTGTGGATGCATGAGGGATGTCATGAATGTTGAGGCTTATTGGTGGATATGTTGTCAATGACAGACTAGAGCATTACTGTTACAGATGGTTGTCATGGCATGTTGGTTATGTCAGTTGTGTTATAGTGCTTTGATAATTATTTCATATTGACAACTTTAATTTTTATTATTCCATGTTGAATGCTAAATGTCAGTGTTGTTCAGCCTCCTTTCTGAATGTAATGATTATTGCAATGTCAATTTTAGTAGTTTGGTTTGGGCCGATTTGGAATGCTACTGATGAAAAAGGGAAGTAAATGTTTCATTTGTGTGTTGTGTTCCTGCTTTCAGATGTGGATGAACAAGTGTCTGCTGTATGAAGACCAGGCCAGTGTATATCACAACCCAAATGGTGCAATTCTTTTCAATCTGTGATACAACTGGCACGGCGGAGTGGCTCCATCTCTCAAGTGTCACATGATCTGGCAAGCCACAGCCATGGAGCCTGAATGGCAGACCCATCCGGGTGGGCAGGGACAGACTACAGTTTAACCACCCGGGTGGGCAGGGACACATGGTTTACCTATCCTGGTGGGCGGGGACACATGGTTTACCTATCCTGGTGGGCGGGGACACATGGTTTACCTATCCTGGTGGGCGGAGACAGACTACAGTTTATCCACCCAGGTGGGCAGGGACACATGGTTTACCTATCCAGGTGGGCAGGGACAGACAACCGTTTATCCACACAGATGGGCAGGGGACAGACTTCAGTTACCCATTTAGATGGGTGGGGGTAGACTTCAGTTTACCCACCCTGGTGGGAAGGGACATATGCCCATCCTAGAGAGTGGGGAGAGACAACAGTTTGCCCACCTGGATGGGAGGGGACATATCGTTTACCCATCCTAGAAGGTGGGGATAGACAACGGTTTGCCCACCTGGATGGGAGGGGACATATGGATTACCCATCCTAGAAGGTGGGGGATAGACAACGGTTTGCCCACCTGGATGGGAGGGGACATATGGTTCACCCATCCTAGAGAGTGGGGAGAGACAACAGTTTGCCCACCTGGATGGGAGGGGACATACTACGGTGCTATGTACAGTTCTCTCAGCCTGCAACTCATCGCAAGCAGCTGACCTTGTAGGAATGTTTCTATACGGAATTTGTGTCGGCGTGGGGAAACTCTGTGATGGTGTGTGTGTAAATATAAGAACAGAGAAACATTGTGGATCTGTTCCAGAAATATGTATACTCATCATAGACTCTTAGCCCAAGGATTGTGACGTGTCAGTGGACAGTGTTTTGTGCTATGTGTGGGCTTATAACCTTAAAGGATCTCGGAACTAATACTGTTTTGAATGGACTCCACCTATCTAACGTGCTAACACAGTTTTCTCATTGGAGCCTCCTGTTGTTGACTGACAGGTTTAAAGCAGCAAATGGCCATGTTTGCAGCCTACTTATGCAAATAGCTAAATTTGCAACAGTTGATAACAATGATCATGCTTGAAGCCACTGACTCACCACATGGTGGTATGATGAAGCAAAATGGCCGTTTGAGACAGTATTTGAAAGGGTTATCTCCCCTTGAACACTTTGAAAATCAAAACCTTTGATAAACATTGGTATGAATCTCACAGCTTTGGACATGGTCCAGACTGACCATTATCAGTGACAATAAAAGCGGGAGATGGGCGGGGACAACAGATGACCTTGGGCAGTGCATTATGTACAGATTGACTGTCTGCTCGCTAAATGTAGTCATTTCACATACCAGACGGGATATTGCATTTGTTTGTTACATTGTAGCAAACTACATTACACTTGCAAATCTATGCAAGATATCAAGGAGGGCTGGGCCACGCCTATGGGCAAAGATGTTCAGAGTTTTAGAATTGTTTTTATATCATTGATTTATATAGATTAACCCTATAATGGAAACTGTTCGGATTGCTATCAGCCAGATGATGCAGAAATGGGAAATTCGTAATATTTTTGTAAACTGAAGCGAACAAATCTTTTGGTATCAGACATGAAATATTTCAGAGTTGTATGTAGTATCTTTATTGTAAACTTGGTCACATGAATGTACAGATATCTCATATTCTTAATTCCAACTGTGCTACTATGTATTTGTATACAGATAAAACCTATTGAGCTGCCCTACATTCACTTTGCTGTATACTGTATTCATGATGGCTGATTATCTTGAATGTCCCCCATATCTCGAAATTGAGATATGTTCCCTGATTAATGATAATGCAGTTTGACCGTATGATTTATAAACATGATTTATAGACAATGTCGATAAAACCTGGAGTGGTGATCTGAACAGTTGCCGTTGTATGGAAAAAAACAATGGACATTAGTTTCTGATGTTACGGGATCAATTTAGTTTGATTATCATTATAATAAGATATTATTTTTTATTCTCATCATTTAAATAGGATGGAATAAATCTGATTTGTTTCCAACTACAGTCGAACACCATTCCCACCAAAAGTAGAGTTCTTAAGTCATAAATGATGGAATAGTTTCGACTTCTGTGTTTCTCAGGGTTGAGAAGCTGTCCTAACATGGTTATGTATATGATGTAATAAATTAACAATATTTGATTCTCAAGGAAATCATGACTCCTGCAGAATGATATTCTATCAAAAACTCAATGTTCTTGCCATTGAACATAGAAGAAGTTATGTTAAAGTATGATTTGTCTTCCTTTTCTCCTAGAAATCACCTTCTGTCCCTGGAATGAAAGATGTTGAGTTGTTCAGCTTTCTGTAGCTAACATTCAGGACTAGATATGTAGGCTATAGCAGTACTGAGACACCATTCTGACTGGGTTCTTCCTGTACAATTCTTGTAGCTTGATTAGAACTGCATTTCTACAGCATTTAATGAGTCATATATGACAAACATGGGCATACAAGTCATGTATATCATTCAGTCATCAAACATTGACCGTGTGATCTTGTGTTCGCTATGTAAGGATGTATGGTTGAGTATCTAGTCTATAAAGGGATACTTTCTGAGTAGAATTTCCTTTTATTCGATATGGTAGCTGATTTTAGGGGTTTAATTTAGCGTGTGCATGTTGTTTGGCAAAGAGTGGTATCTTTTTATATAAGTAATCAGCAAGTTACTGAAAATACGAAATTAGGATAACAAAGCAATTTGAATCATTCCATTACTTTACAAATGATCGGAGAAGCATTTAATTTGCAAGCACATGCTTTTAAAATGTTAAAAGTGTATTTCCCAAAATGAGAGGTAGAACTACATATGCATATTCAATTTCATGAAAAGAGGTTTCATTCTTATAAATACATCATGTTAACAGTGACTGTTGTCATTAATGGTATCCGGTACTCTGGCAGTATCTGGGACAAACTCTTGATTTGTATTAAGGATGTGAACAACAGATTAAATGTCTTCGAGACATACATTTGTTTGATACAGAAACTGAATTTTTTACTCATTTTTACATTTGTTTGATACAGAAACTACATTTTTTACTCTTTACCAACAACAATTTCGTGCAGGTATGTCAGACGGTTACACGATGTGAACCTCTCGCGCTATTATTCTGGTATTGATATGTTATTGAAGAAAGTAATCATTATGATATGTTACCATAATATTTCATCCAGTTTGATCTCAAGGTTTTAGTAAACCTTTTCTAGTTTTTGAAACACTACTGTATGATGAGTAAGGGACCTGTAGGTTTGAGAGAATTTAGCCAGGAAGGAGGGTGGAAGTCTATAAGGTGGTAGATGCAATAGGTAGATGCAGGTAGCTATGCTGTTTTTAGCATGGGTGTTTGTTGGAGAAGAAGAAGTTTGTTTCATTGTTTCTTACAATGTGCCAAAAGTTCACAATAGCGAATGCTGTTTGAAAATGTTAAGTTTGGTTGTTTTAAAGTTTATGATCTCCCGTGAATGGTTGTTAATGCAGTGGGATGCTCTGGTGAAGGACTGTTATTTTTATGGCCAAAAATCAAGCTAATTGTATAAGAAATAAGATTGGTCTCTTCGGTGGATAATTTCAACAATATTGGTATCTTTTTGTTTAGGATATGCTCATTTTGTTTTGACTTTGTCGGATTGAATAATAATTAAATGGAAATGTTGTACAATTTTAGTCTCTTAAAAGGAATCAATGCACCTCTTTACAAGGCACTCCTAGGTTATGTTCTTTTGTGTGATACTTGCACCAAAATTAACATCACAAGCTGAATTACTGATAAAAGATAGGAGCTTGTGAGATGCATCCCACTGTGTTATAGTGTCAAAGGGAGACAACTACCATAGGTATGGCCTAGCTCCAGTTGTATGTGTTCAAGCAATTTTCCTTCACCCAGTCTGATCTAGCAATTGTGTAGTATAATTTCATGTACATTCTCATTTGTTCAAGGCATATTATACATTGTCTTTTTTATCAGTGTCTTGTACAGAATTTACGTATGCTTTAACTGTGAATAAAACACTCAAGGTAGAGAAATATACCCTGTGTCCGTGTGCTTCATTATGTGAGTGAGTGAGTGGGTGGGTGAGTATGTATGTTTTACACTGCTTTGAGCAATATTTCAGCATGGTGCCAATGTAGGGAATCGAACCCGGGTCTTTGGCATGACAAGCGAAGACTTCAACAACTAGCCAAACCTCCCTCTCTCCCAGATTCTCTTGCCATGAAAACACCATCCCCTCTCCCAGAGTCTCTCACCACAACAACACCCACCCCCCTCCCAGAGCCTCTCACCATAATATCCTCCCCCACCTAGAGTCTCTAACCACAACATCCTGCCCCTTATGGAGTCCCTCACCCAACAACACTTTCCCCCTTCCAGAATTTCTCCCCACAACACACTTCCCCCCTCCCTGTCTCTCACCAACCCCAACCCGCCCCCCGAGTCTCTCCCCACAACAACATCCTCCCACTCCCAGAGTCTCTCCCCACAACAACACCCCCTCCAAGAGCCTCTCCCCACAACGACATCCTGCCCCCTTTCAGAGTCTCTCACAACACCCCCCCCCCCCCCCCCCCCCCCACACCACCACCACCACCACCACCACAACATCCTCTCCCCTGCCAGAGTCTCTCTTACCACAACAAATCCCAACCCCTCCTTCTCTTCCCCCCCCCCCCCCCCCCCCCCCCCCCCCCCAAGCGCCTCTAACGACAAGGCCCTCGTGAGTAAGATCATTGTCCAGTCTAACTATACGTTGTTTGGTTTTCGATGGGACAGTGTTAGGCGCTCAGCTTATTCAAACAAGTGTGACCTTAACATTAAACACATGACCTTTCGTCAGACTCTATACCAAGTTGACATGGTAATAGGAACCTAGGTATTTCGTTACACATATATTGTAGGTTTAGTTGACATGTTCATTTGACCTGACATTAAGCTTCGAGTTGCCCTGATAATATGACACCTTTGAAATGCCAGCTCTGAGTTGGTGTCATTAACAGGGGCCACATAAAACCACACTCTCCAAAAACGTTGGGGACATTCGAAAATAACAATTGACCACAGAAATGCAAGGCGGTATAACTTGACAACATGACATTATACTTGCGAATCCTCTTCCTCTATTACATCATTGCCATAAATTCTGTATTATGGCTGCAATCACAGATTTTCAACAGACGTCCTCTTCACTGTCAACTATGCATGGCCGACAATGATGTACAAGAAGCTGTTCAACACTTGCAAAATGGCAAGTGTTTCTATCATTGTGAAACTTTGGTTAGAGGGAGGTGCAGACCTACCAACAAATCATGATATATGTATTCAAGGCAGTGCAATCTAACATCAATCAGACCAAACGCTTTGTCTAATTTATCTTGTTTCTTCTATATTTGTTTCTTGCTTATCTTGTCATTCCTTATTGTACTTGTCATCCTACGTCATCATATGTATGTTTGTATGTAATGTATGTAAATACCAATGTGAGGGTGACCTAAGTTAAATAAGTTAATCCATTTCCATTTGTGAATAGAAAAATGTTTACACTAAACCCGCCAGATGGATATACAGCGGAATTGATATTTTTTTCTGGAATGACTTGGGGAAATATCTAATATATTCCATAAATGACGTTTACACAAATGGACAATTTTTAATATCACAAAGACAGTTACTAATAACGTGTATCCCAAAACAACATGAAAAACTGGCGACCAATAAGCTTTCTATCAGTATTGTATAAAATCTCATCAACAGCAATATCGCGAAGGGTAAAATCTGTGTTAAACCTCTCGACTAACGAGGATATAAAACAAGTGTTGGCTGGAAGATACATGGGTGAAATAACAAGACAAATATATGATATACTGGACCAAACCGATACATATCAGATACCATGTTTATTATCACTTGTAGAGTTTGTAAAGGCATTTGATACAGTTGATTGGGAATTTATAGACGAAACACTAAACTATTTTTGGTTTTGGAATTTCAGTTAAAAAGATCTATAAAAACCTTTTACAACGACGGTTCTTCACACTCTTCAACAAAGGTTAAGCCAACGAATTGCCAAATTTTGACAATATCCTGCAATCTCCCTTTTTACCATTTTTATATATATCATCTGAACAAACAGAAAAAAGGTTCACAGTATTTCCTTAAAATACTTATTAAAAAATATGTGAGCGCAATAACTCTTTTACTAAATGGGATTACGAACCTGGACAAGGTATTGAAGAACAAGACAGGAAGCGCATCACTTCTATCTTGTTTTGTTGCACGAATGTGACTAAACTACAATGGTTCCAGTATCAAATATTACATTATATATTGCCGACAAACGTCTCCCTAGCATGTCCCAGACGGGCTCTATGGAGGAAAGGTCAGGACATATGGCTAGCCATTGCATTCTGATTGTTTTGCTACTGGAGATAGCTACGATACATGGGCGTTATTGTCTGGAAAGACAAATGTGGACCAGCATGGTGCGCAAACGGCACAACTGTTGGCGCCAGTAGGTTGTCTCGGTATTACTGCCCTGGGACTCTACCATGGACAATATGCAGTGGCGTTCCGGTAGTGATAGTAATCCCGCCCCATATGATTATAGATCCACCCTCAATCTATCATGTTGCCTTACGTTGACGTTCGCATGACGTTCGTCAAGACACCTTCAGAAAGTCCAGACCGCCTCCGTGGTCTAGTGGTAGAGCGTCCGCCTGGAGAGCGGAAGGTCCGGGGTTCATACCAAAAGGCGCTCGGCATTAAGGGGTTAAAGCAAGGACTGGTCGGCTCGGAGTCAGTATACTGTGTCTGAGTGGGGTATTCATGTTAACTGCGGCATGGTATCTCAGTGGGCTAGCACAATATATCGGCATCAGTCCGGTCTAGTACTAGCAGGCCCCCCCCCCCCCCCCCCCCCCCCCCCCCCCACACACACACACACACTAACACACACACACTAACACACACACGTGCATGCACGTCGCTATATAAGTGAAATAATCTTGGACGCGACGTTAAACCCAATTTCACCTCCCCTCACCTCAGAAAGTCCAGAGTAAATCTGGCCTCATCTGAGAACCTTACCCGAGACCATCGGTGGCTCCTCCAGTTTCCACGCTCTAAACGCCATTGGCGTCTGGCTAGAATGTGTTAATTTGATTTGTTAACGATGGTGCAACACGCTGCTGAGAATGCAGACGATTTCCGATGGTCTGGTTTGTAACTTAAACTCAGGTGGCTTGACGCAATTGAACACCGACCTGATTGGCTTTTGGGCTTCATTTATTAAAACCTTTTTTCTGATAAAATTCCCTGTGTGTTGCGGGTCATTAAAATTTTGCGTCTGAAGAAAATGGTTCCAAAGTCTGCAAATCACAGACTGAGATACTTTGAACATATTGGCTACCTCTAACTGACTTTCACAAGTTTGATCATGTCAACAGCGTCTTGGCGTTGATCACATTGTAGATCACAATCCCAGTCTTACCTCTTACTGTGGATGATGAAAATCAACAATACTAATACATCATAGGAATTTGGCGATCTTTCCTTGAAGTATCGAAATTAAGAATGACCCCCCCCCCCCCTTCCCACGTGCACAGAGTAACTGCATGGTCCACATGCAATATTTCGGGTGTTTGGAGCGTTGGATTTTGGCTCCCAAACCATTCTAAAGTCTGGAAGTCATTTATAACAACTGATCTTTCTTCTGACGACCAATCATGACATCTATATTTCATGATCACTTACTGTTTTTGGAGAGTAAAGACAATGAATAAGACATCCTGATTGCAAACAGCCCATGAAGCTTTTATTCATATCACATTTTATCACACAGATGTAACCAGAGTGTTGCCACCAGCATGTTAAAGGGACTCTTCAAGAGCTAGATCCTATCATACGTTGTATGTTTTCACTGTTAATGCATTTGCGGGTAAATGTTTTTGTATCATATATCATTGTTGATACATACAACTCAATTGTGCATTGTATATTGTATAGAAAAGAGCAATAGTATCAAACTAAAACAGGAAGATTATTTTAAAGCTTGAAGAGTCCCTTTAAGATATGGCTTATTCTTTACAGCAGCTGAAGCTAATGGAGAAGTTCGACAAGATCTGTCAATCACAGAACAGTTAATGGCTATATACATATATATTTAATTTTGTACAATTATATACAAAACATTTACAATAATATACATATGCTTTTCATAACAGATCAGTACAAACCAATATATATTCCAGTGGATAATGAATGAATGAGTTTGCACATGGTGCTCGGGTTATCACATTCTGTCTAATGTTGGGGCACATATCACATTTTAAAGGTGGAAAGAAAATTGGGGTATAATAATAAGGCTAGCTCTACAGTGCTAAGTTCAACACCACGGAGAGACCTGCTCAAAGTGCATCACAGCATCTGTACTGTATATAAACAACATAGACTGTAAGATAATACACACGCACGCACGCACGCACGCACGCACGCGCGCGCACACACACACACACACGCACACACACCTCATGGTGGTACCTCATGGTCTGCCAAAGCGTTGACTGTCATACTATATGTATAATAATAGGTTGCTGCACCCACTTGCTATCTTCGTTACCGGTAACGTACTATTTGCTATGTTAATTACTGTATCCCTTGCTAAGTTGAATGTTGTACCCCTTGCTAAGTTGATTGTTGTAACCCTTGCTAAGTTGGTTGCTGAATCCCTTGCTAAGTTGATTACAGTATCCCTTGCTAGGTTGGTTGTTGTATCCCTTGCTACGTTGATTACAGTACCCCTTGCTAAGTTGGTTGCTGTACTCCTTGCTAAGTTGGTTGCTGTACTCCTTGCTAAGTTGGTTGCTGTATTTATAAAGTATATAAAGAAAATGTACGAACATAATTTCTCATCATGACGATGCTTTCTTACAATTTGCATTCGAACGTTTTTCTCCTAGAAAAAGGCATGTTTTATTGCAACGTTAGACGTCGTCTTTTATATAAACTAGAATCATCATATAATAATATATGGCTGTATAAATAGACATCCCCACTGTACGTATTCACATTCCATGTTGGACATGGACATGGGACATAACTTAGATGGACTTTGGAAGAGCGATGATTAGCTCATCTGGGTGGACGTGTTTGAGGGACGGGGCGCGCCGTGTCGGTGCGGGTGTAGGTGCGAGGCGGTACAGGGGGTAGTGTCTCCATGTTGTCAGTCTGTTCCAGAAACTCCATCCGGTGTGACTGACGCTGGAATTTAATAATAACAATAACAATAACAATAATAACAACAACAACAACAACAATCATCATAATCATCATCTGTGCCCAGTAATTACAATAAAGTATCCTCTTTGCAGATTAAATAAAGAAACAAACGGCCTTCGGTGTGTACATATTCGTATTTCTGTCACAATATATATGGAAAAAGGAAGACATTAAGACTGGGTAATGATAATGTAGAATCAATTGTAATTATTGTTGTTCTCTCTTGGTAACAACCTTGTATTTCCTCAAACTGGTCTTAACATGGCATGTGTTCATGTCATGAATAACGAACATTACTATTTAACCACAGCTTCACAAGTCTCTACAGACGTGAAGGATAACATGATGTTCTGATTATTGTAGTAATTCAATGAGGTTGAGTAGAAATACAGGTCAGAGTATTCACACAAACCATGTATGTGCAGCAGCTCTTAAAGGTAATCACGAAGGTTCACTTTAAGCAAACGCCGCTGATAAAGGCGAGCATCTGTCACAGGTGGTAACCTCACGAGATAAAGTAGGGAAGCCTTCTTTGTGAAAAGATAACGATAAAGGAGAGATTTGCTCTCACCATGAAGGTGATACTTATAAAGGGTCCTAAGATCAAATAAGCACAATATATAGTTGATAAAAATAAAGTGTGATAAAACCCGATCAAGACGGATTTTTGGCCTCAAATCGGGGCGGTGAGGTAGCGTAGTGGTTAAAGCGTTCGATCCCCGACATGGGCACAATGTGTGAAGCTCATTTCTGGTGTCCGCCGCCGTGCTATTGCTGGGATATTGCTAAAGGCGGCGTAAAACCATACTCACTCACTCATTTACTTTGGCCTCAATTCTGTCCAATTACGTGCTCGAAGTAAAACACACCTGCGGCAGCAACTTGAAGGAGGATGAGGCATACCTGGGACCGTTTGTGAGCAAACCAAGACGGACGTTTATTTCCCATGTTAAACACGGGACTTCTTTGGGGGAAACACACATACAGGACATTTTCTTTCAAATGCACGGTACAATTGGTCTAGTACATAGCTCACATGCAGCTATTAACATAGTTAGCCTCGCCAGCAGGATCACTGAAGCAGATATACAGGTTATGAAGCATAACAGCAGGCACAAGCAGCTGAAGCATGAAAACAGTTATTGTAAGCGTGCTCTGATGAAATGAAGGTGTTTATATGCATTTTTACAATAGATGGAGAACGATCGATATGATAAAACCTGAGATAAGAAAATATACAACTTTGATATACAACTTTGTGCGTTACACGTGATATTGACGCATGCACGACCGTGTAAAGGAGGAGGAGAGCCATCAGAAGTGTTCAGATAGCCGGAGACTGGTGTGCACTGAGAAGAATACATGTATGGACGTTGACATGTTAGAGGTAACACCGACAGAAAGGGGAACACGGGGACACACACTGACAGTTATAAGCCCACGTCCCAGGGGTCACACACAGAGTAACGGAGGCCATTGTAATCTACATGAACGCCCGCTTCCTTCGAATTCAAAGCATTGGAAATGTACGTAATGTTGGCATTATAGATATCGGTTGTAGGATCAGTTTAATCACTGGCATGTAATCAGTCAACACCACCATAATGATCTTGGAACGCCTCCTACATGTACATTGTGGCGATTGTACTAGGTGGTCAGCATGCTTTTAGAAGATAAACATGAGCACATGTTAAGAATGATTGTATATTGTCACCATAACTGACTTTCTGGCTCATCATCATGACAAACTACGGATCCGTAACTCACAATAGTTCTCATCTGATTGGTTTGCGAAACATTTTCGATCATAAATGCAAACATAAATATGTTTTCCTACGTGGCCTAGTTAATAAGGACTTTGTGTGACACCTGTAACTTGGGGGTCCTTTCACTGTCCCCTCACCTTTTCTTGGTTAAGGGACCTCGTTGAGTTGGTTTGTCTCCGATAAGTTACACCACGTCTTTGTTCAGACTGTTGGTAAAGTGGGAATGTTTAGCTGTTTAGTTACATTTTGTCAACTTAGCGTAATAGCCGCTGTTTTCTAATGACACGTTTTTGGATGGTATGTTAATGTATGACATATACTAAATCATCCACTAAGATCAGTGTCTCCGTGATGATTCGTGGGCTGATGAGGTCCTAGGGCCCCGTTCCATAAAGCGATCTTAGCGTTAAGATGATCGTAACTCCCATAACATACGATAGTCAAGCGCTAAGATCGCTTCGTGCAACGGGCCCCGGTATACGAATCTTGTCTCAAGAGCCGACATAGACGGTGGTTAAAAATGTATGACCTGGCTGATTGTGTGCCATCGTGTCCTGTGAATCATATCATTAATGCTAAGTTGGTTGCTGTACCCCTTGTTAGGTTGATAACTGTATCCCTTGCTTAGTTGGTTATTGTACCCCTTGTTAAGTTGATAACTGTATCCCTTGCTAAGTTGGTTGCTGTACCCCTTGTTAAGTTGATAACTGTATCCATTGCTAAGTTGGTTGCTGTACCCCCTGTTAAGTTGATAACTGTATCCCTTGCTAAGTTGGTTATTGTACCCCTTGTTAAGTTGATAACTGTATCCCTTGCTAAGTTGGTTATTGTACCCCTTGTTAAGTTGATAACTGTATCCCTTGCTAAGTTGGTTGCTGTACCCCTTGTTCAGTTGATTACTGTACCCCTTGCTAAGTTGGTTAGTGCACCCCTTGTTTAGTTGATTACTGTACCCCTTGCTAAGTTGTTTATTGTACCCCGTGTAAAGTTGATTACTGTCCCCTTGCTAAGTTGGTTAGTGTACCCCTTGTTTAGTTGATTACTGTCCCCTTGCTAAGTTGGTTGCTGTATTTCAGGTCAAAACTTGACAGCATCATATTTCAATAGTCATGAGAAGTCATAATTTATTCCCTAATCGTCACAATTCAGCTATTGATGGAAATTTATATACTTCATAAATCTATACACATATATAAAGAAATAAATACGAACATAATTTCTCTTCATGACGATGATTTCTTACCTATTTTTATCACGACATGACTAATGACAGAACATGTGATCCGGAGTTGCTAGGTTGAATGTGGGTATGGGGACTGTGTTGGACTACTTGCAATGTTACCTCAGGCATATCAAATTGAGACAAGAAAATACATAAATAACCGATTTTGACCATGCAAAGTATCTGTGTATAATTCTGTGATTATATTCTGACATTAGATAGCGCTTGAGTGTAACGTTCATTAAAAGCAATGTTACGAATGAATGATAAACCATCATGCACATGCGCAAATTGAAATATACACAGCAAAAAATGGAACGCAAAATTGATTTTAGATGTATATGTTATATATCATACAAATAATCATCAGATGGTAAACGATTGTTCAAAATTGGCACACATCTTTGGCATTGAGCCACGTACCATATGGCACACCCAAAAAAGTATATTTTCAAGGTGAAGGTAAGCTGCTCTCAATATCTTGTATGACCGGGGACACGGGTGGCCCAGTCGCCTGAGGCGCCGCGATTAGCTGTGCAGAGTTGCGTCCCTTGAGCACGCCAGAAACTTATGATTGCGGGTTCGAATCCCGGTTCGCCCCGATTATGTTTCTAGGTTTGTCAGCACCATACCTGTGCTCGTAGGTTTCACCGAAGTGGTAAACGTCTGAGACCTGCATCACGTCGGGCTTTCCTCCCACATTAAGCTGACAGGCCGTGATATAACTGGAATAATGTTAAATGCAGTGTTACATCCAACTCACTCACTCTCCCACTGTATGGCCACCATTAGAGTCTAAAACTGACTGACATCGTCGTCCCATGGAAGCAATCAGATCCCGAATTGTGGCCTGGGGATTGTTCACCCACTCTGCCTGCAGTGCTTGTGCCAACTGCCGGAGGTTCTGTGATTGTTGCTGACATGTTCACAGTCGTTGATCCAGTGCATCCTGTATATGTTCGAGTGGGTTTAAATCTGGAGTCGTGGAGGGACATGGCAGAACCTGGATATTGTGATTCCTGAAAAAGGCTGTTGTCAGTCTTGGCGTTTGAGGTCTGGCGTTGTCTTGTTGGAATATAACTTTCGCTTGTTGCATACAGGGAAGGATGTGTGGACGAAGAATCTCATCCGTGTAACATTGTACCGTTTAATTCCCCAGAACTTGCACCAAGTCTGTTCTACCAGTGTAGGAGATGGCTGGCCGCATCATCACACTACCACCATCAAAACTGTACACTTCCTGTATGTAGATTCGTGCATAACGTTCCCCGAGACGCCTGTAAACACGACGGCGAGGCATAAAACGTGACTCGTCACTGAACCAAACTTGTGTCCATCTCAGTTGTGGCCACACTCTGTGACCTTGACACCATTGATGTCGCCGCCGACGATGCAGGTCCGTCAAAATGAGACCTCGAACTGGTCGTCTAGCGCGAATACCGTATACCGACATGCAAATGAAAACCCAACAAGTGATGTTACACGTGCATGTCATGTTGGTGTGTTTCGGCGCCAGGCTCTCACGTTGTGTTTTTTCGATTTTTAAACTTTTACCAAATTTTTTAAGTACCTAATTTTCTTCGACACAAATCAATTCCAATCCATTCAGCAATGACCAATTCATTTGTGGTATTAACTTTGTATGGATGTCGGCAAAACACTGTCAGATATTTACGATTTTACTACTTTTGCGTTTCTTTTTTTGCAGAGTATATCTCCAGTGTTAGTTACATCGATTTACCAATTGCCACCAAATGCATTAAGATAAAACGTCGCAAGTAAACCAGGATGATGCCAATGTTGAGTGTACTGTGACTGAAACGACCCACTGTGTCGAAATACGATACACCTTACAATACACAAACACCACACAAGTCTTTCCGAAGTGCTACCGTAATTCCATATTCATCTCCTCTTTAAAGTTTGTAAAAATCATTTACGTGTTATTTTTAGGCCATAGAATATCCTTCCCCTGCCTACAGCTGATATATATATCGATACATAGTATCACGATGCATCGATATATCGGTGAATCGTTACAGTCCGTACAACCCAGGTACTCAAATGTTGAAATGAAAACTATTACCTCGCTCTCATCACTGGTGCTGAACGGGTCAGTATTGTCCATGCTGACTGTACTATCCCTGGACGAAGAACTGGATGAACCTATGGAAGAAAATAAGGAGGACATTTAGTACTCAAGCATACCTGAAGTAAAGCCCCAGTAAAGCCCTGAGACTGTGAAGTAAAGCCCCAGTTATTGTAACTGTCACTATACTACTCAAAAGAAGTTAAGGAACACACAATTCTTACATGTGACTATCGAGTTAATCTGTTATGGCATGAGAGATGAGCTGTAGCCATTTGAAAGAATGTGATGTTCCTTAACCTCTTTTGAGTAGTATATATATCAAGTATGTAAACCTAAATATACCAGATATACAAAAACAGTTATATTTACATACTGTGACTTTCTTACATAGTCATTGAGGAAAGTATTAACTATAATTTTCCCCAAGGAAATACATCTTTACAGCATAACCTCCTACATCCGGGACCTTAGAGAGACACTTCATTGGTGTGATTCATCAGTCCGTCAGGCACGTGCCTTCAGATTACCATAACGACTGGTGAGACTAAGAAAGTTAATTTTTTTATTTTTTCAGATGAACAATTGACTGGACTTTGCATGTGTTTGTGACGGCTGCCACGTGTGGAACGGGACACGGGATTCATAAACACCTGTTTAGAATATGGTGGGAATCTGGTTTTGTCGCTGGAAATGGTTTCTGTCGCTTTTGTTTTTGTAGGTTTGAATACTGGTGTAAGACACAAAATATTATCTGTGTATGAATGTGCAGACTACATACCATTAGCTACATGTGCATATATTATGTTGTCATTACTTCTGTGGACTCTTTGGAAAATAGATATCGCAATGACGAAGCTAAATCATACCCTTGAAAAATGACAACATTTAATGATGAATGCATTGAAGTGTCGAAAATAGAAAGAAAATGAGGTCGGGCTACTATTCATCAAGAACAAGGGGCAGTGGGGTAGCCTAGTGGTTAAAGCGTTCGCTAATCACGCCGAAGACACGGGTTCGATTCCCCACCTGGGCACAATGTGTGAAGCCCTTTTTTCTGGTGTCCCCCGCCGTGATATTGTTTGAATATTGCTAAAAGTGGCGTAAAACCATACTCAATCACTCACTCATCAAGAACAAATTACTAGTACACAGCCCCGTGTTTTGTTGCGAGACGAGTCGGCGAGTAGCTGAATATTTCAACGGCTGCAGAGATAAACATACTTAACACTAAACAATTACTGCTTTAAAGAAACAGGATTAATCACATGCCTAGACTACCTCAATCTCATTAAAATCGGCTACAAGTTCTCGCTTCCGCTGAGGACATCCCATTACAGGTCACGTCAGAACGACCTTTCGCGAACTGACCGACCAATGAAATTACTAACAGGAAGTCGACATTAGCCACTAAAAAACCCCAGCTTTCTTAAGCATGGCGACACTAGTTTAAATTGGTGACTTCCACCCCAAACTATGCTTTAGAAAGTATTTTGAATCAGTCATACAGTCCGTAACACTAGTTTTGTGTTAAACTTTAGAGGTTGCATGATAAGAAAACATATTCTGCTGACAGTGTAACACAACAATATGATTATTTCCTTTTTCTTTTTTTTATCACGTGTTCGTATCATTATCTATCGTGTAGTTGTCCAATTTTCGATCACGAACGTAGATACTACCTAATTTCGTTTATCCGACATACTCGTTAATCCGACATAATATGCCACCAACAATGTCGGATTAACGGGACTTGACTGTACAACGGGACATGTACTGGTAATCCGTATACTTGTGAAATAGCATGCTGTTGTTATACAAAAACAATATGTCGTGAAATTGACATACAGTTTATAAACAGTTCCCAGCTAACCAATAAAGTATTAATCACGTGACAGTTCTAACCTGTTTGCTAAATATACAACGTCAACACCAGAAAACAACCAGTCTCGATTATCCGACCAAACAGATTCCAGTGGGGGCCGGAGGCAAAACAGCGGGGAAAACTGCACGAAAGGACCACTGGAAACCAGGTGTGCGGCAAACAGGCAAGCAATCTCCAATCTTACTTTTCAGATTGCATTGCTGATCCTGTAAACTTGAAGGGTATCTTTCGCCTGTATAAACTGCTCACTGCAGTATTATTTATCACACTATTGTCACATGTGACAACGTTACTTTTACTACCTGAACTATGCACGAACGACTTCCTGAAATAGCTGCCGTCACCGAGTGCACTTCGAGTGGGTAGATGTTGGCCAAGTGATTACATGTACAGTAAACTACGGTTATAACGAACTCAAAGGGACTACTAATTTTAGTTCGTTATAACCGTAGTTCGTTATAGGCATATATACAGCATAACTACAGCAAATAGTAGGGAACAAAAAGTAAGTTCGTTATATCCGTCAGTTCGTTATAAGCGTGTTCGTTTTAACCGTAGTCTACTGTATCTGCAAAGCGATTAGCCATCAGGGTGCGCAGACTTAAGAAGCTGCGGCTCCGACCAACTGTTCAGGCCCTCATTAAGAACTACGGTCCGACACAAGATCTACCTGACACGGGGCTACGGGCAGGCGCTTATCTAGAAGCTGTTTTCTTTCTATTTGCAACACGAGTCTTTGAGATGATGTACTCACTAGTCGTGCTCAAGGTGCTGAATCGGGTTCCCGACACAACATTGGCCGAAATGGTGTTTCCTCTTCGGGTTGACCGGGAGACGATTGGGTCCTGCAACACGTGGCAGATACCCATGACATGTTCCTAATACCACTCCCATCATGATGAAAGTATACATACGTTTCTATACAACTCTGTCCCGATATATCCCTATACAACTATGTACCATACATTCCTGTACAACTATGTACCATATATTCCTATACAAGTAAGTACCATGCATTCCTAAAAACTGTGTACCATACATTCCTATACAACTCTGTTCCCATATATTCCTATAAAACTATGTACCATACATTCCTGTACAACTATGTACCATATATTCCTATACAACTATGTACCATATATTTCTATACAACTATGTACCATACATTCCTATACAACTATGTACCATACATTCCTATACAACTATGTACCATATATTCCTATACAACTATGTACCATACATACCTATACAACTATGTACCGATACATTCCTATACAACTATGTACCATACATTACAAGACAACTATGTATCCATATATTTCTATGCAACTTTGTACCAATACGTTTCTATACAACCTTGTATCCATACATTTTTATTCAACATTGGAGCGATGCATGCAATCTATACGATCCTTATGAAATGTACTTTTCTGGCGCTCGGCATTAAGGTGATAAAACAAAGACTGGTCGGCTTGGAGTTAAACTGCGGCAGCTGTGTTGATCAGCTCAATAGAACCGGCATTAGTCCGGACCACAGCAAGCACGGATAGGGATCGAGTGGGCAGGCTCGGTGACTTGGTCGATTGCGTGTCATCGTACCCCGATAAGGTGGATTGTCGCTCACAGTATCAATCAGTGGATTGTCTGGCCCAGACTCGATTGTTTACAAGCCGTCATATAGCTGGAACATTGCTGTGTCCGGCGTTTAAACAGCAAACCAACAAACACACACATACGTACTGATATCTGAGGCACGTGTCTTGGCGTCTTCTGGCGCTTGCTGATGAGTCTGGCGAAGAAGCCCGGTCTGCTGGTCTTCTTGGACATCTGATCGGCCGTCTGCGTCACGGTGTCGATAACAGTGTTGTACTCTTCGCGCATCATCCGCAGAGTATTCTGATGAACATAATGATGCATGTATCAACATGAGAAGTAGCCTCAACTGACAGGAGTTATCTATATCTGGGAGTGAGTGAGTAGAGTTTCTCCACCACCAGAAATGTTGTTCCAATGTTGGGAATCAAATCCACGGATTCTGGACGAGCCATCGCCTTAACCATTAACCCAGTTATGTGTGATCGAATCCAAGATGAGAGCCATGTAGGATCATTGGTGGGTCAGCACCAAAGTTGTAAACGTCTACCACCAGCTTGGAGCTCAAGTGCTCCATACTCATCCGCCACTTAGTTATGTAACTGTAATTCTGATAAAAGCTCCTCACTAACTCCCCTCAGATGACCTCTAATGTTAGGCTGACACGTCGAATGTATATTAGATGCCGTTAATGCACAAACCCATCTGCTACAACCTCTACCACTTTGAAATGTTTCCTTGTTTCCTGCTTATTGCTGCACCCAGCAACATTCCAGCTATATGTGGGCGGTCTGTAAATAATAAAGTCTGGACGAGAAACTCCAGTGATTGACAACACGTGCATCGATCCACGCTATGGGGATACGATGACATGCATCAACCAAGTCAGCGAGTCTGACCACCCAATCCCGTTAGTCGCCTCTTACGACAAGCATGAACAATTCTGACTCGGATCTTCAGGGGTAACTTTGAAATGAATCTTTCAAGTGGATCTCCTATCTCAGGCCGACATGTGTATCGTTGTGTTGGACAGACTGATCTGACACTCTGATAACACCCTGAAGGGCAAGGGTTTACTATTCCCAAGCTAGAGGAGACAGCACGCGGACAGCAAATGAATAATGGCTGTTTAATTTTCCTTATAAGTGTTATCAGTTGATGTCATAATGTCATAAACGTAAGTCCTAGTCCCACTGCCCGTCCTCTTTCTATGAGGAAACTCAAAGGTCCGCTAATATACAGGTACACCTGCACGGACCTTGTACAGGGGAGATCACCCCGCGTACACACAGCTATGGAAAGAAGGGCTGTGTAAATCATAAAAACATACATCCATCATAAACCTTCCAGCTAAAATCTTTAGACTCCTAGCTAAAACCTAAAACCCCCAACCCCTTAGCTAAAACATAAAACTTCCAACCTCCATGCTGAAACCTAAAACCTTCCAGCTAAAATCTAAAACCTCTAAGCTAAAATCTGAAACCTCCAACCCCCAAGCTCTAACCTAAAACATCCGACATCCCAGCTAAAATCTATAACCTCCAACCTCCAATCTCCAAGCTAAAACCTCCAACCTCTCAGCTACAACCTCCAATCTCCAAGCTAAAACCTCCAACCTCTCAGCTACAACCTCCAATCTCCAAGCTAAAACCTCCAACCTCTCAGCTACAACCCGTATCTCCAAGCTAAAACCTCCAACCTCTCAGCTACAACCTCCAATCTCCAAGCTAAAACCTCCAACCTCCCAGCTAAAATTTAAAACCTCCAACCTCTCAGCTACAACCTCAAATCTCCAAGCTAAAACCTCCAACCTCTCAGCTACAACCTCCAATCTCCAAGCTAAAACCTCCAACCTAAAACCTAAAACCACAACCCCTTAGCTAAAACCTAAAACCTCCAACCTAAAACCACAACCCCTTAGCTAAAACCTAAAACTTCCAACCTCCAGCTAAAACCCCAAAGCGAAAAAACTAAAACCTTCAACCCCCAAGCTCTATCCTAAAACCTCCGACCTCCCAGCAAAAATCTGTAACCTCCAACCAAGCTAAAACCTAAAACCTCCAACCCCCAAGCTAAAACCTAAAACCGCCAAGCTAAAACCTAAAACCTCCAACCTACTTCTGTCTATCGTTACCTGTCTTTGTTTGAAGGACTTGGATTGTCGTTCCCCGTTCCTTTGTTGCCAGGCTTTGAACAGCATGAGGGCTTCGTGAGGGTTGAAGTTACCTTCCTTAACACCGTCCATTATCTCCAAGAGTTCATTTTGACTTGTGGAACCCATTGCAACTCGTGGTAGCGCCTCTGCAAACATCATTGAGATTTTAAAACCTTTTTCCATTTGCATGAGGTAATGACGATAAGACAGTGGATGAGTACTTAGTTTCAGAGGGTTATAATGTGTGATGAGTTGAGTAATAATTCATGCTCATGGAATATACATTATGTATACGATATATTGGTTGACGGTTGAGCTGCATATCTTGGATAAAAAGGGAAAACAAACTTAGACCATAAGAGCTGTAGATGATCCTTTTAAATAAGGATTTTTATAATGAAATGAATGGCCGAAGTAGGTTCTATATGCCTTTCCGGGATTTTGTTCATGAATTTCAATGCGGAACACAAAGACTTAACGAATTGCAAGAGATTGAACACGGATCTCGTGGGTATCCTTCACCACCAGGTTACCCAGCCAATCCCCTATGTGTGGAAAGTGAACTTTAGACAATCAGATGAATAGACACGTCATGGATACGTACTTTCGTCCTCTACTATACCCATAAGAACAGAGGGTGTTAATCCTGCTGGCAGTGTCATGGACCTTGGTTCAGAATCATGAATAGGTGCATGTCCTGAAGCTCGTTCAGAATTAACTCTCGTCAATCGGGGTGCGGTCGGTTGGGAGGGGCGTGATGCTGGAGCACACGCCGCTACAGGAGAAGAGAAACGTTGACATCGCCCAGAGAACATATCTATATGACAGGTGCTAACGAAATAGCAGGGTGATGCAAGGTGTGCAGGTGATTACGTGCAGACGAACACAGAACACGGATTAGATGCTACAGCGTTGAGAAGTGCATATACCGGTTAGGAATACAAAGAAGCAAAAGTAACTGAGATCATGTTCACTTATTGAAAACTGAAGATGATTTTTTTGTAATAATTATGATATAGTAAATTATATGTGTATATATGATGATGACCCAGTCGTCTAAGGCAAAGTTGCGCCCCTTTGGCACGCCAGAAACCTATGACTGTGGGTTCGAATCCCGGTTCACCCCGATTATGTTTCTAGGTTTATCAGCACCACATCCGTGCTCGTGGGTTTCATCGAAGTGGTAAACATCTGAGACATGCATGACTTCGGCCTTTCCTCCCATATTTAGCTGACACGCCGTCATGTGACTTGAATACTGTATAAAGCGTCGTTAACCCCATCTCACTCACTCAATATTATGAACAATATGATGGAAACTGAAATAATTAGACAGGTCACCATGGATAGTGTAAATAACATAAAGCTTGCTGCCCGTTTGAAATATATCGTCATATTTTGAGTTATTAGAGCTTTACATCTCTATAAAACTTAAGGGGTCAAAATTCACCTCAATTAAACACCAGTTCAAATGAAACCTTCACCGAAAAATAACACATGTACGATTTTCGTTTTCGTGACTAAAGGTGAACATCATCACTGTTACTTTTGCCTTTGACTATAGCGAATCTTCGCATTAGTGAAACTTACATATTGACATAGATGAGGCAAGTGCAGACGGGTGATCAGGTAATTCAGAAGAATGGCAGGAATTGTGATGACAGGTTAGATGTGAAAAAGAAAGTGCAGGAACATTGTCAAAGCAATGTGGGGGTTATACACAAGAAAACATTCGCCCAGTGTTAAGATGCCCATTCAGAAAAATACAACGTCATGCAGAGTGTAGGGTAAACTGCTTGAAACAAATGACGAACCATATCAAGAACTGTCTTCAAGTACAGAGTCAAGGCGGAAAATGAAAATGTGGTTTTCTGTGTGCCGGGAGACCCTTTACCAACTCAGCTATCCCGTTGTGATTAAGACAGGAACAGAAAAGATTAGAGGTGTGTGTAGATAGGCAGCTCACTGGATATAATTTCAATGTATATTTCTGCATTAGATCATGATGTGAAAGATATCATCTATAGTTTTGAAGAATCACTTTACGTTTGTATATGGCGTTGAAATAGTTTTATCATCCAAAACGGGCTTCCACAGGAGATATCGCTTAGGTGAAATTGCACCATTATGCTTTACTGACCATTGTGACGTCATCGTTACCATGACGTCACAATCCAATTATATCACTAATGTCTCTGGCGCTGAAGCTGTACTATTTACACGCAACATCCTGGATATTATTGTTTACAAACAAAAAATGGAAGAATAATCTTGGATGATAAACTGAATCTCACTCACGTGTCTTCCAAGCTCAAATATATCAAGATTAATACTTTATTGATAGAAGTATGAACATCCTCAACAAGCCATATTGTAACTTTTATCAATTCGTCTTGATATATTCGATCTCAGAAGACACTTGAGTGAGATTCTCTAATTTTATTAAGGAAAATCATCTTGACGAATTGAAACACACAAAATTTCCTACCACTATCCGTACTAGGTCCCACTACAGGCGTGCTTTGATATGTCGCCCGTTTTACTGAAACACATTTCATGTCTGTTTGAGTGCATGTCCTGTAGTTCATCATATTGGATATGTTTGGCATAACAGTACGTTTGTTGCCACATCCTTGCAGTTAATGATTTAAATAAGAAGATGTTTCAGTCGATCCAGACATGTTCCAGATATACTGAACACAAACGGTTAGGGATCATGAATATTTTGTTGGACATTTTTTTATGAAATTGTGTGCTCAGTCTTCACAACCCAAAATATCCCCTAAAATATTCAAGGCACCTGACATAGTTTGTTCAGTATATATGGACGTGAGCCATATACATTGTCACACAATTGTATTGCTAGACGTGGACTTCAGCAGTGGTCCTCTGGGGATTACTTAACCAACATGTTTCCTCATATTAAAATCGCTTTGAGAGATATGAGTTTCTGATTGTGTGTAACGTACGAGGTTTATTGATCATGATGGTATTATGATGTTCCGGTTTATTAGTTTCCTCGTGTGTGACTGGGGTCCCAGTCCCCGCCGTATCCATGATGTTATAAAGCTTGAGATTGATATAGCTCCCACGTTACAGGTATTAAAACATAAGCAATATTATAACTGTTCAGGGCCCTCCATGAATAGTGTGGCCCGCTGCCAACAATCAACGATATAGCTGGCATAGATACGTAGTAAAATCAGTTCGTTCCAGCTGCTGGTTGATGTTCGCAAGTGGATACACTTTCAAGTAGTACTCAGTCATTGTACCCACCCGATCCACAGTCAATTTGAACTTTTTACTAAATACATAGGTAACTTGAGACTTAATTTACTCGTAGAAACAATAAAACGTAGAAACAATAAAACGGAGAAAAATAAAACGTAGAAACAATAAAACGGAAAAACAATAAAACGTAGAAACGATAAAACGTAGAAACAATAAAACGGAAAAACAAAAAAACGTAGAAACAAAGGAAACAATAACATAAGCAATGGTGTATACAGGGGTAAATATGAATGTGCGGATACAACATACATGTGCATGACATTACATTCTACACTTCTGTCTACAACATATAACAACATTACCTCGTGACAAAACAAATATATATATATAAAGCACAACCTCGTTACCTTGAAGCATCACCAAACACACTGAGATATCCATGGTTTCGAGACAACCGAGTGTCAATGCTAGGTCAGAAAATGTATCTGCCGTGTCCTTGACCTTATACCGTCCAAAACGATGCATCGATCAAACATATGACGTCAACGTATGAGAATAATCAGTCTCCATATTCTGCCGAAACAGATTCAATTGGGCGTAAAATGCCAAATAGCGGCGAAAATTATATGAAAATCAGTGAGGACACCAGGTGTCCCGACAATGGTAAACAAAAACAAGGTAACAAGCTTTCACTGCAAAAGCGCACAATAAAACAATGCGGACGCAAGACAAGTTATAAACTTCAGTGCAATCACACGGGAAATGGAAAGCAGTTTCGTGAAAAATAATTTATTAATGTTTAATAAATTATTTTTCTATGGAACGAAATTACAGGAAATAGGGACCCTCGAGATAGTTAATTTATAAATGTTGAATAAATTATTTCTTTATGGAATATTTTCAAATACATTGGGCATTTTAACATTGTATTGTATGGGCAAGTGTGCGTGTACTTTTGGAACACTTGAAATTTTCACATAAAGGGGCAATGTCAGAAAATTCCGATAGTGAACCCTAATCGTATGACAATTTTATCTGCCAAAGATAAATAATCATGGTATATTTTCCGCAAAGTCCTAGCAGTGGATCTCATGATAGCTTTTATCAAAATGAAAGAATTCATTTATGCTGACTGTTTGACGTTTAATACTGATGAACATAGTACCTATGGTGGCACATAAGGTATTGACGAAAGAGTACCTACCATCTGCTGACTGACGTCTGGGCCTGTTGGGTACTGGGGGGAGTCTGGTCGCCCGTGGCTGTAAAGGGGGAGGGGGAGCGGTACCGAGGTTGGGGGGTAGGGCCATGGAATATGGATCCTCAGGTTCTTCTTGAATTGAAGAGTTCCGACCCTGCATATCCATGTAGAAACCTATAGGAGACATTGAGAGAGAAGGAACTGTTTACAAAAGCAAACAAAAAGACGAAAAAATCGTAAATTCTCCAAAAAGTCTTGGAATATAAGAACATTCAATAATTGTACATAACATGGCCCGGTACATTGTTAATCCATGCGACAAATTCTCCTCATAGTGAGTGAGTGAATTTGGTTTTAGAACGCTTGAACAGTATTCCAGTTATATCACGGCGGGTCAGCTTAATTTGGGAGACAAAACCGGAGTGATGCAGATCTCAGTGGAACCCACGAGCACGGGTGTGGTGCTGACAAACCTGGAAACATAATCGGGGCGAACCGGGATTCGAACACACAATCATAGGTACGCAACTGAATTGTGGCGCCTTACACGGCTGGGCCACATATGCTTACTACTTATAGAGCAGCTGATAGAGGTTTGGCATACCCCGTCTTGTTTAACGGGTATAGTAACCCTGCATGCTTTAGACAAGTACATAACGGCAAAAGATAAAGAACTAAATTGTTGAGACGTCTTTCTCTCCATAGCGTGAAGAGACAAATATAATGTAGAAACCATCAGGGCTGACAACAGGATACCTATGAGAATGCTTCTGAAGTCTCTCTTCCCAGTGGTCGACTATACTCTTAACTTGTGGTAATGGGAGGTCATCAATAATTTGTTTGAAAGTACTTACTTTCAGTTTCAGTTTCTTCTTCGGGAATCCTGTTTTGGTACCCCGCCGCCATGTGGGTGTAGAGATCACAGGCGTCCGCCAGATAGGCCGTCTCCTGCAAACACAAGGGCAAATAATCATTATGCAAATATAGTCACATCATTTGCAGTCAGTGTATTATAAGTATCATAACGTGACAAAACCAATATATATATATTGTGTTTACAATATGTGAGTGAGTGAGTATGGTTTTACGCCGCTTTTAGCAATATTGAAGCAATAATACGGGGCCGGGGACACCAGAAACGGGCTTCACACATTGTACCACACATTGTATATATATATATATATATATATATATATATATATATATATATATATATATATTGGTTTTGTCACGTTATGATACTTATAATACACTGACTGCAAATGATGTGATATATATATATACACACACACACACACAGAGTTTTAATAAGCTAGCGCTTTCAACTCGTACCACGTACGAGTCTCATCAGGCCATATATATATATATGTATATGGCCTGATGAGACTCGTACGTGGTACGAGTTGAAAGCGCTAGCCTAATAAAACTGTGTTCAATCCTACTACACTTATTTCATTATTACTATATAAATAGTATATATATATACGCCACTTCAACGTCCACCAGAGCACCATTTGTCGCCCTTGGGACTGATACACACAGTTCAATTCAACTGCAGACCGTCCGAGAACCGGCCGACCAAGAATTGCCACCTCTGCACAGGACTTGATTGTAGTTGTGGTTCAGGGAAATTTGACAGCAAATCGCTACATGAATAATATTCTTCAACCCCACCTTCTTCCAGTCATTGGCAGCCAGAAGGAGCTGTTTCAACAGGACAACGCTCCACCGCACACAGCTTGTGTCACACGAGATACTGAGTTCAGCGCAACCTTGTGGTCTAATGTGACATTACAATGAACAGTTTTCAATGCCTTTATACAACGACAACGTTTGACTATCGAGCTTCAAAATTTCATATTTGTATCTGTGATATTAAATTAATTATATAGTCTTTATTAGGTACAAAAAAATTACTAAAAATCTACATGTGCGTTTCTTTTTTTGAAGAGTGTATTTTAATGAATTATGACGTTTAATCGTAACTCACAAAGTCCCACGCCGAGTGTTACTTAAGTACCTCCCCCCCGTTTCATTTGGATGTGAAGTACAAGCACAGATATGAGAGAACAATAGTTAACTACATTGTAACCCTGCCTTCACATCTGCTGTTAGCACAAATTAACATACATGTGTGCTACAGAAGGGTTGCGGGAAGACAAGCAAATGATCGTCCAAGAAATGGGATTATGCTATTGTGTTTTCAATATGTGAGTGAGTGAGTATGGTTTTACGCCGCTTTTAGCAATATTGAAGCAATAATACGGCCGGGGACACCAGAAATGGGCTTCACACATTGTACCACACATTGTACCGGATCTTCGGCGTGACGAGCGAACGCTTTAACCACTAGACCACCCGACCGCCCGTTTACAATATGTTAAGTACCTGTATGTCAACCACTGCTGCTTCCTCGAAGAGCTGAATTATAGCCACTTAAGGCACTAAGCATGCGCAGTTCGACTGATATGGACCCAGTAGGAGACGCATACATCTTTGAGAGTGAAATATAACGACTTTACGATGATACTTTTATAATTATCTTAAACTGTGTGTAAGAACGCATACAGCAGAGTTGAAAATGACAGTTCCACGAGCAAGGTATATATCTCCGTATTTAAAAATCCATCCGGTGAATTCACAGTGATTGTATATAAACTTACGCAAAGCAGATCTAACGCTACACCACGGAGCCATTAGGGAGAGTGATTGAATGTTTAACGCACTGACAGCAACATGTCAGTTACATCACCACCTCTGACACCTTGGACCAAGCAAACCAGTGACTTAAAGCATTGACCATAACCCATGTCACCAGGGCACGAATGACCAATAAAGAAACGGACACACCTCTCAGAGAGTGACGGAAGGGCAGGACACTCTTACCCTTTCGCGGACACCTGAAGTCATCCGTCATTTCCAACTCTATTTTGACTTTAATGCGCAATGGAATCTGTTTCGGCAGATAATCGAGACTGGTATTTCTCTGACGTTGATGTTTTACATTATAGTAGTATATTCATAAAGACCCGTGAAGATCCGGGGTAGAGTAGGTCTTCAGCAACCCATGCTTGTTGTAAAAGGCGACTGTGCTTGTCGTAAGAGGCGACTAACGGGATCGGGTGGTCAGGCTCGCTGGATCGATGCTCATGATGTCAATCAATGGATTATTTGGTCCAGACTCGACCAATTTTGCTTACCATGAAATCTCGTATATACTGAGCCAATTCCGGGTAGTTGTAGACATCTGCTAGGTCGGCTGGGTCTCGCCCATCACAGTTCTCCACCTGGAAGGCTATCAGTGACCCCGGAACATCGAGCAAGCAAGAACAAAACTCATTCAGACCGTTTGCAGCTGCGAAGTGAAGCATGGTGGGGTACTGGCTCTTGCTTTTAGTGATTCCTGAAAGACGAGAATAATAAATTTTACTTCAACTTTGCAAAGAATAAGTTTCAGGGTAAGACTATTTTCTTATGCCAACCTTTTTACCAAAAAGAAGTCATTAACATATTTAGTATTAAGTATGAAATATATTTCATTAGAGAAGTTAATTAATCAAAATATGTTCAAATGAGCAACATAAGATAAGACCTGGTTTAAAACGTGTCAGAGAAAATAAGACATTTAATTTCTTACTGCTTTCTTATTGATAAATTATGTCATTGTTTATTTTGTTTTAGCCGCGAAATCTTGCTGATGAGGCGTAAATCAATTTATTCATTCATTATTTTGTTTTGTTTGTGAATTAATCCTTACATTTTAAGTCATTGTACTATTTTGAGGAAAACCCTGACTGGTTATGTGAATAGGTTTTAGCAAAAAAGAGGAAGGAAAAACGTCACCCGTCCCGTGTACTTTTTGAGGAAACACGAGGAAACATGAGACATTAACTTTGAATAGGATGCTCTTCAGTTTTAACATTGAAGGGAAATTAGTTTAGACTAATATTGTCCTGATGTTTTAATATAAATTCTCTAAAAACTCTGTAGTTTAATAACGTCACAGATAAAAAAATATCTAAAGTAAATATCGCACGAAAGCACATCCTGCATACTCACTGAGGGTTGCATAAATCAGACAATGATGCTCGAAAAAGTTGAGGCAAATTTCCAGTACGACTGATATCGTCAAACTGTTTGAGAATAGGAAATCGACTTTCAATAACGCCATTTCTGGGATTACACAAAACATCTTCCGTCCCCATCCGAAGTTTCGTTTTGCGTCACACGGATGTACATGAATATTCATACACTCGTGGTTCACACATTTCCATAAGGACATTGCAATGTTCCGCACACTATGATATATACGCCGATGTCGTAGCTAGTGGAAAACCGTGGTTTACAAAGCCATATGTGAGATTGCATGCAAGGTTCGATTCACGTCATGGGCTGGTAGTTTCATATGAAAAAAATATTGTAACTTTTAATCAATCAAAACTCAACATTATATTCATATTAAAAGACAAGTTTATCAAATTCATCTGTAAAACCTTGGTCTCACAATTCAATTATAGCTTGGGCATTTCCGTCCGTATGCCCGGGGTTTCCTGGTGAATGAATACATTCGCAGTTAGAGTTACATGTTAGAGTTATATCATAGAAGGTTTATAAGCTGGTCTCAGACGTTTACCACTGACGAACATAGAAACATAATCGGAGGGAAGCGTGAGATGAGGTGACGTGAGGTTTAACGTCGCGTCCAAGATTATTGCACTTATATTGCGACGTGCATGCACGTGTGTGTGTGTGTGTGTGTGTGTGTGTGTGTGTGTGTGTGTGTGTGCATGACGATTTTATAGTGCTAAACCACTGAGACATCATGCCGCAGTACCCACTGAATACCCACTCAGACACAGTATACTGACCCCGAGCCGACCAGTCCTTGTTTTATCCCCGTAATGCCGTGTGGCAGGCAGGATAACAAGTACCCTCTTTCAACGTGTTTTGGTATGACGCGGCCGAGGATCGAACCCCGGACTTTCCGCTCTCCGGGCAGACCCTCTACCACTAGACCACGCAGGTGGTCTCGGGGCGAAGCGCGATTCGAACACACATTAGGTGTTTTGCGTGCTCAAGGACCCCACTCTGCACAGCGAATTGCCCAGAGAGTGTAAAGGAAGGGTTCAGAGACACTAACTGTCACGTACACATTTCTTTTTCATTGACAAATTGGTAGTTAAATTAGATGTGTGGGCATACATGTCGGTCAAATCACACTCCAACATGAAAATAGTGATCTTAAAAGTCAAAAGTCATTTTATTACATGATGCATACATACTGCGTTCAGGATTGTACGGTGATACGTTAAGTGCTCATTGTGGTATTAAGAGAATAACATTCTTTAATAATATGGCTGTCGTTGTTGAAAATCGGATCGGACGTGAGCACTTGTTAAAGATAAGTCCTACATAAATCTTGGGGTTTCAGTGATATCAAACATGGCACGGTGGACGGATGCCAGTTCATATAAGCTGCTTATTCTCTTGAAGTCACAGCACAATTTAGATATACGATTAAGCTATAAGTTTCAATTAGGCAAATTACCCGAAGAAAGGGTGGTCTTGAGCTTCTCAAACAGGAACTCAAGACTATCATCCTCTGGAATGCTAGTTTCGAGGGCATCCACCAACTTCCTGTCCAGAGCAGCTTTGTTTTCACATTGCAGTGCCTGTGACAGATACTCCACTGAATGGAACGCGGTCTCTTGTGGTGCCGTGTAGTAAAATGGTGTCTTGTAAATCTCTTTGGCATCCTGGAATATATGAATGACATAGTTCCCGGGTGCAAGATCTGTGGAGAAGAAAATACATTCATTGAAGGTTTACCGTTAAAGTAGTATTCACGTATATTTCAGTGATCGGCGTATTTATGTTCAATATTATTTCGACTTTTGAAACTTGTGTTGTATTTTGTTCCATGAGAGAACCGAATAATGAGGGACGAATGATAACAATATGTGATCTGGTTGATGTGTCAGCCTGTCACATAGCTTTATCGTTGTCATGCTATTAAACACTGATTTGCACGATAAAGCGAGAATATAACTCGGTGTGGCGTAAAAGAGTATTAGTTTATACCGTCAGTACCTAACGTAATGATGGCGTTTTGCATTACATATACAGAATCACAACAAAGCCCACTTTTATCTGGAGAGACGACGCCCGGGTTATCGACATCATAACAATGTCAAGCAGGTTCACAGAGAACAACGGAAGTTTATATCCAAAACTTCCGCAAAATATAACATTGTTGCTGACATTACAAGGAAACGTACCTGGTGCTTTCAACTTGACTGTATAAGGGTTAAGTTTCTTGGTGTCGTATTTGGTTGTAGGATCATTGAAGCTGACTTGAATTGTCCCCTTTTTCTCTTCTCTGAGAGCTATTACAATGTCATCCTGAGGCTGAAAGGGAGGTGAGAATAGTCAACTCAGAAATGTCGGGTATAACAAACTGTACCATCACTATTGACGTGGCGGCCTTATTGACAATCAATAGAGCAACTCTTAGAGGAGGTCCAATGAGAACAAGCATGACAAGGTTCATCTTCATTGGTCCAGTGGTTTCCGAAGAGAACATTTTTACACAGGGACAGTCAGGTCCTGACTCAGTCTGACGAGCTTACTCGCATTTAAAATATATCAAACAATAAAGTAACATAGAATATCATTATTCAACAGACATTACATATAATAAAATAACAATGGTAACGATCTATGTAGAAAATCATAAACATACTCCATGAACGCGAGTGGGGATCACTTTAAGCTTCACATCAAAACTGGACTTAGATTCTTTCCTTCTCTCTGGCCTGGAAGGGGGAGGTGGGGGCGGAGCGTCACTCTGGTCCACAATGTCCATCATGTCAGCCACCATGTTTCTGTTGTCATTGTAATCGGTGCCTATCACATAATGCTTCCACGAAGACGATGCTCTATAATTCTCAGCGACAGCATCATCAAACTGCCCACTGTCCACATAGCACAAGACCGCTACGACTGTGGTTTTGCCATGCAACTGCTTGAAGGGCTCACTGAACCAGGTCTTGTCTGCCATGAACTGCAGCATATCTGGAGATGCCAGAATGATGACGAGATAGGATTCCTTCACAGCCATAGCCACCTCTGGGGGGTTTTCATACTCCATTGAGTCTAAGTCCATTGATTTGATTCTGAGAGTTTTGTTCATTGCAAACAGTCTCATGAGGTACGAACTCCACTCTGCTGCATCCTGGACGTGGAATACCACAATGTCGTTCGACTTGGACATCCTGGATGCCAAGTCTCCACGTTCTGCAAAAACAAGCGGCTATGGTATAACATTACATTAGCAACATTGCACCTTTTACGTCTACTAGACACCATGACAGTACAACTGCATACCATGGCTGGGCCGATACGTGAGTATGTGATCGACACATAACGGGTGATAACGAACTTGTTGAAACTGTGTTAAGACTACCAAAATGACAAGGTGAGTAGGATACGTTTCAACTCTAAGGATTTTCACAAAAATAGCCAATTATGTACAACTTTATCTTTTAAATATAAATGTCCAATTTACAATAATCAGTGAGTCACGATCCACACTAGAAGTAGCTTATGACACCCCAGGTTCAAAGTCAAAGAATGTACATTTGTACTAGGGGCTTCTGTTCCATCTACACTGCAACATTCATATATTTCTTGTATGTTAAAAGCAGAGCGAAGTAACTCTTGGAGGTTTGATAACGCCATGGCGTCTTACACGTGTGAGCATAAAAATGGGACCTTGGATAAAAATGCAATTAGGTGTTGACAGCATTAAAATATACGTAGAATTAAACTATTTACAAAGCTACGTTTTCTGGGAGTACAAAATAACATTAATCTCCAATTCAATTTTACAAAAAAGGATTCCCTGCGGGGAGGAGCATGAGTGGTCCATTCGTCTTCACGCTTAAATATCGCCGTCCTTAGTTGTGCCAGAAACCTATGATTGTGGCATCACTTCAAACTTTCCTCCCACATCAATCTGACACGCTGTGCTATAACTGGAACACTGTTCACAGCGGTGTTAACTAATTCACTCAGTCACATTAAACATGTCATCACTTGTCATACATAGGTATTGAACAGGAGAGGGCAGTAGAAATGACACCGTTACTTGATTGTTTCTTCTTGTTCCTGACAGTGACGATAATGTATCATAGGATGAACATATTCACCACAAGTTTGTTTGTTTGTTTGTTGTTCAACGCCACACTCAGCAATATTCCAGCTATATGACGGCGGTCTGTAAATAATCGAGTCTGGACCAGACAATCTAGTTATTGACATCCCGAGCATCGATCCACGCAATTGGGAAACGCTGACGTGTATCAACCACCCGTCAGTCGCCTCTTACGACAAGCATAGACGCCTTCTACGACAAGCATGGGTTGCTGAAGACCTATTGTACCCCGGATCTTCTCGGGTCTCTCATGTACTAATCCAGAGAAAAGATGACACAGAAAGTTATGTGAATGCGTATACTTGCCTTTTAGTACTAATCACAACAACGTGTTACTGGACATCTACCATCTGTCCTCCGTCATCAGAAGCCGCCATCATCTGAAATATACATGTTAGTGAAGAAACAGAATTCACAACATCTACATTAAGATACACGTCACATCTTTTCCTTCCGGTTTTTCCTTTCGACGAATGACGTACACTTGTGTCTATATTTGAACTTGACGGAGAGCCATGCATTAATCATACAGTTTTACTTCCCCCTGTTGTGAAATGTCATCAAATGTCTCCGGATATTGGTGTTAGTATTTTATTACATAGCGGTGACACTATGTGTTACAGTGTGGGCCTACTTGAAATGTAACGTTGTGCGTATTTTAAACGGAACATTAATATGTCTAAGGGACCGACGATTCGTTTGTATGAGATTGGATGCTGACAAAACACCAAACCTTTTGTTTTTTATTTGAAACATTTTTTGTTAAAATCACTATGCAAAATGCATTTTTGTGGCATTAATTTTTTTGCGGTCTGAATCATAATTGTCTTTTCGTACATCACAACTACGTATATTTATATGAAACACATCATATCTCAGTACAACTACTTATATGAAACAGATACTTCCAGTTATGATGCCCCAATACCACCATTCTATGAAACAGCTCCCACCAACTATGTCCTGTCTCAGTAAAACAACTTACATGAAACAGCTCCCACCAGCTATGTCCTGTCTCAGTATAACTACTTATATGAAACAGCTCCCACCAGCTATGTCCTGTCTCAGTATAACTACTTATATGAAACAGCTCCCACCAGCTATGTCCTGTCTCAGTATAACTACTTATATGAAACATATCCTACCAACTATGCCCTGTCTCAGTACAACCACATATATGAAACAGGCCCTACCTTCTCTGCCTACATGTACACGAGACGCGCAGTGACGCCACCCCTCGCCCACAAATGTCTGACCCAGGCACACCGAGTTAGAGCTGTAAGCACTAAAATTACATGTCAGCCAGGAATGACATGGATTCATGATACAATAAATCTTCCTGATTATCCAGGAAGTGCAAAGGTGAAGGTTAATTCACTCCATGGGCGCTTTTCATATCTGCAGATAATCGAGAAGGGGTTAGCTTAGGTTGGTTACCTTTGTTTGTTATGTAGGTTTATAGGAATTGACAAATGTATTAACAGTGCATGTCGCATAACATCACGTACATTAAGTGGGAACGAAGACTCACCAAGGGAGAGATAACGCTTTATTATTCGTTCGATTGTAAGTAAGCGTAAACCCTAATATGTCAATCTATTAAATATCGAGTAAATGAAATGACAGTGGCGTGTACCAAGTTGACAATGTCAAGTGACGTCATCCGGTATAGACGTTGACACTATTTTCCTAATGACAGAAGGCCTACACTACATAAACAGAGAGATTTGTCAACATCAAACTTCGCATGTGGCTTTAGGAAGTGACCATGTCCTTCAATAAAAATACATGCACAGAAGATGTGACCGCCTTCGTGGTGTAGTGGACAGAGTCTGGCCGGAGAGCGCGATGTAGGTGGTCGATTCCCTTGCAGCGTCATACCAAAAGACGTTAAATGATGGTCCTTGCTGTTACCCTACCAATGTCAGCTGTGACGAACACATCCAGATGACATAGTCTAAAGCGATACAGTCTATTACTACTTCTGTTTTATATAGACGCTGCAGAAGGAGTGGACCGTGTGATTACATCCACAGACACTGTAAATTTAAAATTATAGCTTTATTGACATAACATGAAAAAACACCCGCGTGAGAGCCAGAAGTCTATATCTGTTTTTCCTTGATGACCTATAGTCAACAGACCTACTTTCAAATGGAGGTCGTGCATCACTGTATCGGTTGGCAGTCAACTTCCTGGTTGCCTCGGTGTTCACGTGCAGATACACTGACGTCTCGCATTGTAAACAGATTAACAATCACTGTGTATCTATTACTTGTATAATATATCTACCTGGCTATACATTTGGGTATATATCTGTCAGTCTATCTATTTGTCAATCTATCTGTCTGTCTGTCTATCTTTCTATTGATCTATCTGTCGATTCTGCCTATTCCATATCGATCTGAAACTTTATGAATAAGAGGGGACAAATCTCATCATCTCTCTATACCTGTATATTTCACTGTGGTTTACTACTGTTAGTACTTCTAGCACAACTTACAATCTACTCGACTCCATCTCCAACTATTTACTCTACTTTACTCTACTCTAACCATCTAATCTACTCTGTCAATCTCCAACTATCTACTCTACTCAACTCCACTCTAGCCATCTAATCTACTCTGTCAATCTCCAACTATCTACTCTACTTTACTCCACTCTAGCCATCTAATCTACTCTGTCAATCTCCAACTATCTACTCTACTTTACTCTACTCTAGCCATCTAATCTACTCTGTCAATCTCCAACTTTCTACTCTACTTTACTCCACTCTAGTCATCTAATCTACTCTGTCAATCTCTAACTATCTACTCTACTTTACTCCGCTCTAGCCATCTAATCTACTCTGTCAATCTCCAACTTTCTACTCTACTTTACTCCACTCTAACCATCTAATCTACTCTGTCAATCTCCAACTATCTACTCTACTTTACTCCACTCTAACCATCTAATCTACTCTATCAATCTTCTTCTATCTACTCTACTTTACTCTACTCTAACCATCTAATCTACTCTGTCAATCTCCAACTTTCTACTCTACTTTACTCTACTCTAGCCATCTAATCTACTCTGTCAATCTCCAACTATCTACTCTACTTTACTCCACTCTAGCCATCTAATCTACTCTGTCAATCTCCAACTATCTACTCTACTTTACTATACTCTAACCATCTAATCTACTCTGTCAATCTCCAACTATCTACTCTACTTATCCACTCTAACCATCTAATCTACTCTGTCAATCTCCAACTATCTACTCTACTTTACTCTACTCTAACCATCTAATCTACTCTGTCAATCTTCATCTATCTCGTTTACACTGTCGGTCTCTTGCTATCAATCTGCACTCTAAATGTCTACTCACCTCCGTCAATCTCAAACCATCTACTCTACTCCTTCAATCTCCAACCATCTACTCTACTCCGTACTCTACTCCGTAGATCTCAAAACATCTACTCTACTCCGTAAATCTCCAACTATCTACTCTACTCCGTAAATCTCCAACCATATACTCTACTCCGTAAATCTTCAACCATCTACTCTACTCCGTAAATCTTCAACTGTCTACTCTACTCCGTAGATCTCAAACCATCTACTCTACTCCGTAAATCTCCAACTATCTACTCTACTCCTTCAATCTCCAACCATATACTCTACTCCGAAAATCTTCAACCATCTACTCTACTCCGTAAATCTTCAACTATCTACTCTACTCCGTAAATCTTCAACTATCTACTCTACTCCGTCAATCTTAAACCATCTACTCTCCTGTGCTAATCTTCAAATACCAACCAGCACCTATATAAGACAAACTCTATCAAGCCTATAAATCAGGCATGTGCACGATATCTCTAAATCTAAATTATCAAAATTTAAAGTCCATGCCATATATTTAAATGAGTAATTGATCATCAACAGATGATGTTGTTCACGTACATGTACGCACGAAGTACGATAACGTCAACAGTCATACAAAACCAATAAACCCCCTTCACATGTAAACTCTCGCGTATGTGATACCCAAACACCACTCACACCAAGCCCCCTACCACAGCACGCTAGCTCTATACTTCTTCCTGGTTAGCAAGGTAATCAATGTACTCTGATGCTAAACACAATGTGTATTCAGACACGCATATACAGATATATTTACCAAGGGAAAGGTGATATCAGTGAAAAATGTTCGTCAGCATGCACTTCCTGTATACAAAACCTATTGTTACTTTCCCCTTTCTAGCGCTCGGCATTAAGGGATGTAAAAAGGACTGGTCGGCTCGGAGTCAGTATACTGTGTCTGTGTGGGGTATTCATGTTAAACTGCAGCATGGTATCTCAGTGTGTTAGCACTTTAAAGATGCCATGATACACTCACGCACGCACGCACGCACGCACGCACGCACGCATGCATGCACGCACGCACACACGTGGCTGCAAGTCGCCATATAAGTGCAATAATCTTGAAAGCGACGTTACACCTTACCTCACTTCAACACACCTCAACTCACCTACTGGTGCTATTGACGGCTTATGACCCCCAAACATGTACCTCTAATAGGTGACCCCCGGGACAGAATCCCCAGCAACCTATGCTAGTCATAAGAGGAGACCGAATGGATCAGATGGTCAGGGTCGGTGGTTTGGATGATAGTGTGTCAGCGTACCCCGACAGCGAAGATCTATGCTCATTATATCTATCATTAGACTGTTCAGAGTCGATTATTCACAGTCCACCGGTAGCTGGTATATTGCTAGGGACGGCGTCAAACAACAAACAAACAAACAAAGCAAAATAGCTGCACTGTTGGTGTCCTCCAATTAGTTAGACGTCCCAATAGTTAGACAGCTTATAACAACACTTTAAACGGTTGAGTGCACCCAATCCTTATGCTTGTTACCTCAGCCAAATGGAATAGTCCAGATAAGATCTGACAAACGAAGCAAAGCAGCTTTAAATAGATACTTTAATATTATACTTAACATTTAATGGCACTTTACATTTGATAAATTTTATACAGTTTGTAACAACACTTTGTGACAGTTTTTGGTAATGTACACTTTACATTATGTAACTTTTACAGTTCATTTATCCCAGAGGAAGCAAGTGTCCACAAGCATCTAAATACTCAATAGACTTGTCACCCTGCTGCAGCTGATCTTTGAGGCATACCAGGCGGTTCTCTGTCTCTCTGTCTCTAAATGTTACCATCACAACAGCAGTGCACTTAACAAGCATGACACATCAGATTCATTGCGTAATATACCCCTGCATGAAGCTTGCATTGGTCGACTGAAACTTCCTGAGCTTTTCATAAAGACCTCATTCCATCCCACGCCATCCATTGTTAATGACAGATTCAGCACAGAAAAAACAAACATAACACTCTTGGTTTAAACCCTAATTATGTTTTTAATAAATTATGTTACATGGACGGAGCATGTTATGTATCTGCACTTGATCTTTGGAAAATGTCATAGGCGTGTGAAGACTTGATTGAACGAGCAGCTCCCGAACCTTTACACACCAGTATGTGCAGCTGTTTTTGTTTCGTGTGAAAATGACCTTTTGTGCTTTAGCCATATGCATCACCCACACATTTGAATGGCATCAACGGATATATTGGATGAAATTTAATTTTACTTTTCTACAGTTTCGTGCATTGCTGTTATGACTATATCTTAATCAGATTTTACGATCTCAGATCTCGAACTTACGATTTCATGCATGATCGAAGTAATTAATATTACCTGGTATATACCTGACTTAATATTACCCGGTTAGCACATTGCATATCCAACATCTTGACTACCCCCTATCCCCTTTACAAAACGGCTGTTGTTGGTTACGCCGCTGTAGGCATGTACGTGTACGTGTACGGTTTGAATAGCTCGACGTCACAGTTCTTTCAAACCTGCCAGGAGTCTTAGAATTGTTACATGACCTACGAGACCTCGCACGCAGGGACTGAAATCAACAGAAAGCCTATACATGTACTTTGTACTTGGCGCTGTTTGTCAGGCAAGCGTATTGAGAAGACGGTGTGCCTGCTCGTTGAGAGGGCACGGTTTGTGTTCGTTCGCATGAACACTCTTTTTTTCGGATCATTTGTCGACATAAAAACTCATACAATTCAAATATTCCAAAGGCATAACCCAGTTTTTAAATCCGTTCCGTTACGGTGTCGTGTTTTATGAGGACCAGCATTTTGTTTCACAGTGTCGGCAATTCTGGTCCGGCAAATACGGATTGTGAGTTTTAAAAAGCCGGGAAACGTATATATTCTAGAAGCCAACGAGTGAGTGAGTGAGTTTGGTTTTACGCCGCTTTTAGCAATATTCCAGCAATATCACGGCGGGGGACACCAGAAATGGGCTTCACACATTGTACTCATGTCGAGATTCGAACCCGGGTCTTCAGATCAGCCCCGACGAGCGAACGCTTTAACCACTAGGCTACCCGACCGCCCCAGAAGTCAATGAAGGTTATGAAACAAAATTTGCCAACCCGATTCTGCTTAATCCAAATGTTAGAAACATAAAATGTCTTTCCCATGACCTTAATAGACCATCATATATTTCCTTATTGTTTGGAGTAGATCTCATTCTGAATATATACGATATGGATGTCAAAACCAAAACCAAAACAGTCAAATGGTATTTCCAATTTATGTAACTTTAATTCTTGCCCTTTCGATTGTTAGAAGAAACCCAAATGTAATTGCTTTCGAACCGGAATTCATCAGTGGTATTGTTAAGACATATAAAATGAGTGAGTGAATGTTGTCAAACGCCGCATTAAGACATTTTCCATTTGTATAACGGAGGCATGTAAGTGGTCATGTCTGGCCCAGACAAACCAGTGGTTGATATTATGAGTAATGTCTCACGCCGTCGGGATTGATAACGCGCAATAAACCAGGTCGCAGGGCCTGACCACCATTCCATTTACATTGAGATGCCAGAACTGAGTGAGTGAGTGAGTGAGTGAGTGAGTATGGTTTTACGCCGCTTTTAGCAATATTCCAGCAATATCACGGCGGGGGACACCGGAAATGGGCTTCACACATTGTACCCATGTCGGGAATCGAACCCGGGTCTTCGGCGTGACGAGCAAACGCTTTAACCACTAGGCTACCCGACCGCCCCATATATGCCAGTAAACTTATAGCCAGAACTGAGAAGGTTCCGTGGAGGTTATGAGGTCAATGTTCTATCTTGGTAAAATACTCTTTGCTATTTGAGAGTGTTGACAATAACGTAATATAAATGTACTGAAAATAGAGAACATGCTCTATGTATTTACACAATTTGAGGATGTAATAATATGCTATGAAAATGAAGTAATATATATTTGTTATAATTATATAATAATTTGCGTTTAGTATCCTACCTTGTCTGGGTTGGTTTATTGCTTTGGAAACGTATCAGCCGATGGACTAATGATTATAAGCTGTTTGTCAAATGGGGAGATTAAAATTAACAGCTGTGTCGATGTACATTATGCACTGAAGCAGACAAACACGCTTTAAATTCTTTTTATAACTTTAATTAACTTCCCTGTTGGAGACATCACGATGTATTAAAGGATATGTCTCTAGCTGCTAAAAGAGATTACTGCAAAACCGCGATAGTCCGGACCACGTTAATCCGAAAACCCCACCTTCCAGCATATTACTGCTGGGAACGCTCACATGTACAGTACTTTGTAACCATAGCTCGTTTATCCGAAACCTTGTTGATACGAACGATGGTAGGGGGATTAACGGGGTTTCATTTTGGAGATATGTTCAACTATTACACGCTGTGGCATATGGGGTGGCCAGCAGTGTTGGCCGTGGCGTGTGGGATGTGAAGGCAGTGTTGTATGGGTTGTGTGGGATGTGAAGGCAGTGTTGGATGGGGCGTGCGGGGTGTGTGGCCAGTGTTGTATGGGTTGTGCGGGGTGTGTGGGAAGTGATGGATGGGGCGTGCGGGAGGTGTAGGCAGAGTTGTATGGGTTGTGTAGGATGTGTAGGCAGTGTTGGATTGGGCGTGCGGGGTGTGTGGGAAGTGATGGATGGGGCGTGCGGGATGGGTGGGCAGTGTTGTATGGGTTGTGTGGGATGTGAAGGCGTGGGCAGAGTTGTATGGGTTGTGTGGGATGTGTGGGCAGTGTTTGATGGGGCGTGCGGGATGTGTAGACAGTGTTTGATGGGGCGTGCAGGATGTGCTAGCAGTGTTGGATGGGGCGTGCAGGATGTGTGGGCAGTGTTGGATGGGGCGTGCGGGATGTGTAGACAGTGTTTGATGGGGCGTGCAGGATGTGTGGGCAGTGTTGGATGGGGCGTGCGGGATGTGTGGGCAGTGTTGGATGGGGCGTGCGGGATGGGTGGGCAGTGTTGTATGGGTTGTGTGGGATGTGTAGGCAGTATTTGATGGGGCGTGCGGGATGTGTAGGCAGTGTTGGATGGGGCGTGCAGGATGTGTGGGCAGTGTTGGATGGGGCGTGTTGGATGTGTGACCAGTGTTGGATGGGGCGTGCAGGATGTGTGGGCAGTGTTGGATGGGGCGTGCAGGATGTGCTAGCAGTGTTGGATGGGGCGTGCAGGATGTGTGGGCAGTGTTGGATGGGGCGTGCGGGATGTGTGGGCAGTGTTGGATGGGGCGTGCGGGATGGGTGGGCAGTGTTGTATGGGTTGTGTGGGATGTGTAGGCAGTGTTTGATGGGGCGTGCAGGATGTGTGACCAGTGTTGGATGGGGCGTGCGGGATGTGTGACCAGTGTTGGATGGGGCGTGCGGGATGTGTGACCAGTGTTGGATGGGGCGTGCGGGATGTGTGACCAGTGTTGGATGGGGCGTGCAGGATGTGTGGGCAGTGTTGGAAGGGGCGTGCGGGATGTGTGGGCAGTGTTGGATGGGGCGTGCGGGATGTGTGACCAGTGTTGGATGGGTTGTGCGGGATGTGTGGGCAGTGTTGGATGGGGCGTGTTGGATGTGTAGGCAGTGTTGGATGGGGCGTGCGGGATGTGTGGCCAGTGTTGGGTGGGGCGTGCAGGATGTGTAGGCAGTGTTGGATGGGGCGTGCAGGATGTGTGGGCAGTGTTGGATGGGGCGTGCGGGATGAGTGACCAGTGTTGGATGGGGCGTGTGGGAGGTATGGGCAGTGTTTGATGGGGCGTGCAGGATGTGTGGGCAGTGTTGGATGGGGCGTGCGGGATGTGTGGGCAGTGTTGGATGGGGCGTGTGGGAGGTATGGGCAGTGTTTGATGGGGCGTGCAGGATGTGTGGGCAGTGTTGGAAGGGGCGTGCGGGATGTGTGGGCAGTGTTGGATGGGGCGTGCGGGATGTGTGACCAGTGTTGGATGGGTTGTGCGGGATGTGTGGGCAGTGTTGGATGGGGCGTGTTGGATGTGTAGGCAGTGTTGGATGGGGCGTGCGGGATGAGTGACCAGTGTTGGATGGGGCGTGATGGGTGTGTGGGCAGTTTTGGATGGGGCGTGTGGGATGTGTAGGCAGTGTTGGATGGGGCGTGATGGATGTGTGGGCAGTGTTGGATGGGGCGTGTGGGATGTGTGGGCAGTGTTGGATGGGGCGTTTGGGATGTGTTAGCAGTGTTGGATGGGGCGTTTGGGATGTGTGACCAGTGTTGTATGGTGCGTGCGGGATGTTTGGGCAGTGTTGGATGTGCTAACAGTGTTGGATGGGGCGTGCGGGATGTGTGGGCAGTGTTGGATGGGGCGTGTGGGATGTGTTAGCAGTGTTGGATGGGGCGTTTGGGATGTGTGACCAGTGTTGTATGGTGCGTGCGGGATGTTTGGGCAGTGTTGGATGTGCTAACAGTGTTGGATGGGGCGTGCGGGATGTGTGGGCAGTGTTGGATGGGGCGTGTGGGATGTGTTAGCAGTGTTGGATGGGGCGTTTGGGATGTGTGACCAGTGTTGTATGGTGCGTGCGGGATGTTTGGGCAGTGTTGGATGTGCTAACAGTGTTGGATGGGGCGTGCGGGATGGGTGGGAAGTGTTGGATGGGGCGTGCGGGATGTGTGGGCAGTGTTGGATGGGGCGTGTTGGATGTGTGGGCAGTGTTGGATGGGGCGTGTTGGATGTGTGGGCAGTGTTGGATGGGGCGTGTGGGATGTGTTAGCAGTGTTGGACGGGGCGTGTTGGATGTGTTAGCAATGTTGGATGGGGCGTGCAGGATGTGTAGGCAGTGTTGGATGGGGCGTGTTGGATGTGTGACCAGTGTTGTATGGTGCGTGCGGGATGTGTGGGCAGTGTTGGATGTGCTAGCAGTGTTGGATGGGGCGTGCAGTATGTGTAGGCAGTGTTGGATGGGGCGTGCGGGATGTGTGGGCAGTGTTGGAATGGGGCGTGTTGGATGTGTGGGCAGTGTTGGAAGGGGCGTGCGGGATGTGTGGGCGGTGTTGGATGGGGCGTGTTGGATGTGTGGCCAGTGTTGTATGGGGCGTGCGGGATGTGTGGGCAGTGTTGGATGGGGCGTGTGGGATGTGTAGGCAGTGTTGGAAGGGGCGTGCAGGATGTGTGGCCAGTGTTGGATGGGGCGTGTGGGATGTGTAGGCAGTGTTGGATGGGGCGTGCGGGATGTGTGGCCAGTGTTGGATGGGTCGTGCAGGATGTGTAGGCAGTGTTGGATGGGGCGTGTAGGATGTGTAGGCAGTGTTGGATGGGGCGTGCAGGATGTGTGGCCAGTGTTGGATGGGTTGTGCGGGATGTGTAGGCAGTGTTGGATGGGGCGTGTAGGATGTGTAGGCAGTGTTGGATGGGGCGTGCGGGATGTGTGGCCAGTGTTGGATGGGTTGTGCGGGATGTGTGGCCAGTGTTGGATGGGTTGTGCGGGATGTGTGGGCAGTGTTGGATGGGGCGTGTTGGATGTGTAGGCAGTGTTGGATGGGGCGTGCGGGATGAGTGACCAGTGTTGGATGGGGCGTGATGGGTGTGTGGGCAGTGTTGGATGGGGCGTGTAGGATGTGTAGGCAGTGTTGGATGGGGCGTGCGGGATGTGTGGCCAGTGTTGGATGGGGCGTGTGGGATGTGTAGGCAGTGTTGGATGGGGCGTGCGGGATGTGTGGCCAGTGTTGGATGGGGCGTGCAGGATGTGTAGGCAGTGTTGGATGGGTCGTGCAGGATGTGTAGGCAGTGTTTGATGGGGCGTGTTGGATGTGTAGGCAGTGTTGGACGGGGCGTGTGGGATGTGTAGGCAGTGTTGGATGGGGCGTGTGGGATGTGTAGGCAGTGTTGGATGGGGCGTGCGGGATGTGTAGGCAGTGTTGGATGGGGCGTGCAGGATGTGTGGCCAGTGTTGGATGGGTCGTGCAGGATGTGTAGGCAGTGTTGGATGGGGCGTGTAGGATGTGTAGGCAGTGTTGGATGGGGCGTGCAGGATGTGTAGGCAGTGCTGGATGGGTCGTGCAGGATGTGTAGGCAGTGTTTGATGGGGCGTGTTGGATGTGTAGGCAGTGTTGGACGGGGCGTGTGGGATGTGTAGGCAGTGTTGGATGGGGCGTGTGGGATGTGTAGGCAGTGTTGGATGGGGCGTGCGGGATGTGTGGCCAGTGTTGGATGGGTCGTGCAGGATGTGTAGGCAGTGTTGGATGGGGCGTGTAGGATGTGTAGGCAGTGTTGGATGGGGCGTGCAGGATGTGTAGGCAGTGCTGGATGGGTCGTGCAGGATGTGTAGGCAGTGTTTGATGGGGCGTGTTGGATGTGTAGGCAGTGTTGGACGGGGCGTGTTGGACGGGCGGGCATTGTCGGATGTCGGGACTGAGTCGCAAGTACGACTGAGACAGATGACGAACTACTTGAAACAACGAGTTTAAGTGCTTGACAACCCGTGACACATTATTCTTTCCCTTTCCCAAATAAAACTCTCATACTTATGTTTTAGAGGTACGTAAACTAGGAAGTAAGATGTCACAGAGGCAACTCACTATGTACATGACATGGGTGAAACTACACTTTTGAATGTCAAAGTGACATCACTTCACAGATTTGTGTGGAAGTGTTGCCTCTGTAGAAATAACATATATAGGAGGAGTAGAAGGTAGGAGGAGTAGGAGTAGGAGGAGTAGGGGTAGGAAGAATAGAAGGAGTAGGGGTAGGAGGATTGGGAGGAATAGGAGAGGTAGGGGTAGGAGGAGTAGGAGGAATAAGAGGAGTAAGAGTGTAGGGGAAGTAGGAGTAGGAGGAGTAGGAGGAATTGAAGGAGTAGGGGTATGAGGAGTAGGAGGAATAGGAGGAGTAAGAGTGTAGGGGAAAGAGGAGTTGGGGTAGGATGAGTAGGATGAGTAGGGGTATGAGGAGTAGGAGGAGTAGGGGTATGAGGAGTAGGATGAGTAAGAGTGTGGGAGAAGTAGGAGTAGGAGTAGGGGAGGAGAAGGAGTAGAAGTAAGAAGAGGAGGAATAAGAGGAGTAGGAGGGGTAGGAGAGTAGGGAGAGTAGGGGTGTAGGAGTAAGAGAGTAGAGGAGTAGGGGTGTAGGAGGAGTAGGGATGTAGGAGGAGTAGTGGTTTAGGAGGAGTAGGAGCAACAGGGGGTAGGAGGAGTAGGGGTGTGGGGGGAGAAGGGGTATAGGAGGCGTAGGAGACTAGGGGGAGTAGTGGTGTAGGAGGAGTAGGAGCAATAGGGTGTAGGAGGAGTAGGAGCAACAGGGGGTAGGAGGAGTAGGGGTGTAGGAGGAGTAGGGCCGTAGGAGGAGTAGGAGAGTAGGGGAGTAGGGTGTAGGAGGAGTAGGAGAGTAGGGGGAGAAGGGGTATAGGAGGAGTGGGAGACTAGGGGGAGTAGTGGTGTAGGAGGAGTAGGAGCAATAGGGTGTAGGAGGAGTAGGAGTGTAGGAGGAGTAGGGGTGTAGGAGGAGTAGGAGCAATAGGGTGTAGGATGAGTAGGGTGTAGGAGGAGTAGGGGTGTGGAGGGAGAAGGGGTATAGGAGGCGTAGGAGACTAGGGGGAGTAGTGGTGTAGGAGGAGTAGGAGCAATAGGGTGTAGGAGGAGTAGGGGTGTAGGAGGAGTAGGGGTGTAGGAGGAGTAGGGCCGTAGGAGGAGTAGGAGAGTAGGGGCAGTAGGGGTGTAGGAGGAGTAGGGGTGTAGGAGGAGTAGGGGTGTAGGAGGAATAGGGGTAGGAGGAAAAAGGAGGAGTAGGAGGAATGGGTAATGCTGTGTGTTCAGCGTGGAAGGGGTTGACAACAATGCACGACCAAGCTAGAGGAAAGGGTTAAATTAACAATCCCCTAAAATTCAGTAGGGGAATCCCCTAAAATGTAAATATGCCTGTCTTTATTACATAAATATTCCTAATTGATATAGCTAACAAACCCTTCTGATTTCCTTAAAATCAATATTGGACACAAGAGCAGAACAAGTCATCCCATAGGTATGCGAGAATTGCGATAAATAATGTGATGTGACATTTGAAAAGTAGAGCGAGAAATGTGACGACGTCGGCCATGAGAAACAGAGGGGATTTTCCCCTCGTTGCTCGTGTATCGGCATGTGAGCTACGAGGGCTGGCTGAAAAGTAGATCGAGTCACGTGTTGACATGCACAATGTAGGACAACGTGTATACTAGTACTCAATGAATACACCTGTGCCAGGTACATGTATTATGTCTGTGTGGAAATTATAGCAACACGTCAGACACGAAACAACTTCCTAGTCTTGAAACGCGATGACCATTGTATCAACATGCACGTTACCAAATGTAAAGCTTATATTGACTGACATACATCCTGGCAAAATTGCATCCTTCCTGCTGGTTTGATATGCCATAATCTGTTCCTGTGTCATTTGACATTGATATCAGTTTACCGCAGACACGAGACAGACACCGAGACCTGTATTCAACATGCATATTTATCTTTCGGAACTAGTCTCTGTTTGGAGTCATTAAACGATATTTGTGTTCGAGACAGACACCGAGACCTGTATTCAACATGCATATTTATCTTTCGGAACTAGTCTCTGTTTGGAGTCATTAAACGACATTTGTGTTCGAGACACATACCGGGTTAAGTGAACACCTCACGGTGTCAATTAATAAATGTGATGCGCCATCACATCTCTGTTTATCTCCCTAGTCCCCTGGATATCCCGAACGTCATAAATTGCACAAAACCTGCGTTAGGCCGTGATATTAGAACGAATCTTCGCAATCTATGTTTGCAGAATGTTTCATTCGATAAGTTATTATAAAAAATATACATGTTACCTGTTGGAGCATTATATGTGGACATGCACCCGCACACTGACTGTGTCGTACAGAGATGATCACCCACACAGACAAACATACAGAGGCACAGACATAGACACAGACAGACGCACACAGACAGGCAAAGTTAGAATGATCAGTCGACCGACCGACCGACCGACAGACAACAGACCGACCGACAGAAAGACAGACAAACAGACATGTACACATACATTCATACGTCAGCCATACATAAGTGTACACACACACACACACACACACACACACACACACACACACACACACACACACACACACACACACACACACACACACACACACACACACACACACACACACACACACACACACACACACACACACACTGTGTCAGATTAGGAAAGGAGTACTACAACTGACATATATATGTTTGATGCACTAATCATTTCATACCTATGAACCGTTCACCTGTAACCTTGATAAAGAATAGAAAACAATTACCTTTAACGATACCACATCGGAAATGACGAAGGGTTACAGATTTAGTTGTACGATGACACTGACCCTCACCCGCATGCACACGTACAATCCTGTTGACAACGTGAACACAACTCCTCTTCTCGCATGACATGTAACTCCCGTCTAGGACGGTACAGAGAGCAGGAAGTAAAATGCTCATTGTGACCTCGCGCCTGCGACAGATACGATCTCATTGGCTGATTGTTTGTGCTAGGAAGTACAGTATTTATAGCTATGCTTTGTGGACCTCTCTGTACATATGCGTACTGTTCACCTCGGGGCTGTCCATGTTATGGATGTATGTTGTTTAATGCGCGCATCATTATAGATAGATAAACTCGTGTTGCACCTGACTAGAGCCTGACCGTTACGGACATGTATACTATTTCAGTCACGATATTTGCTATTTGTTCTGTCGCACAAAGACACTGCATGTAAACAGATCTGTTAAATGTAAATATAGCCTTCACTGAGTTTAACACAATACAATAAACGGAACTGATATTTTATACGGGTGATCACATTGACGTTGTTTTAAATCGTTCCAACAATGGTCAAATAGCTAATTTCTTACCCTTGATTTACCCACCTGAGCTAGAAATAAAAGAGAACAGCGAAACAGCCTCGCCTGTTTCATATTTAGATCTATGCATTACTAATGAAAGCAAGAGTGTTTGACAAGAGACACGACTTCAACTTTTCAATAGTCAACTTTCCCTTTATGTCGAGCAATATGCTAGAAGCCCCCAGCGTTTGGTATCTAAATTTCAAAACTTTTGGGGTGCAATCAAGCATGCTGTTTCGTCGAAGATTTTAGGTCCAAAGACTCTTGCTAAATTTGTTAGATCGGGGTACAGCATTCCAGGCCTTAGAAAAGCTTTAAAAGAGTTTTTCTTGTAGACATGTGGGGGACATTTCCAAATTTGACGCACCAGTGACCAAAATTCTGTCCTGTACAATTCCTTATTTTGACTTGCACAATACGTTCACTTTTTTTCGAACACCAGGTATCATCACCAGGTAACTAAGGCATGGTGTATATATGCCCTGATGAACGTTGCGTCGCTACTCTCATTCACTTTTGCCCCAAACAATAATGCGACCTGTTTTCCTTTCACTTCATAGATAACGCCTTATCTTCTACGTCTACTTTTAGCATGACAACGCTCCGGTTCACAAGTCGTGAATTGCACAGGCCCCCATATGTGAATGTGGATTCGAACAGTTAAATCACCCTACCTACAGCCCAGACTAAGCCCCCAGTGACTATTTCCTGTTCCGGCAAATAAAATCTGCCCTACGTGGAAGAAGCTTCCAGGATGACGAGGACATAAAGGCTGCCACAGAGGCGTTGTTAGAGGGCCAATCTGCGGATTTCTGTAAAAGGAGTATTAAAAGCTTGAAGGACAAATGGAATAAGTGAATTGAGGTGGATGGAGATTATATTGAAAAATAAAAGTGCAAAAGATATTCTGCGACTTGATCTTATATTGAAGTTGCAAAACTTATTGAACGCCTCTCGTAACTATGAGTTCTGGGGTAGCAACCAACCTGTCAACTGTCTCTACTAGGTTGTCACAATGTGGTCTAGGGTAGCAACCAACCTGTCAACTGTCTCTACTAGGTTGTCAATATGTGGTCTGGGGTAACAACCAACCCGTCAACTGTCTCTACTAGGTGGTCAGTGTGTGGTCTATGGTACTAATCAACCTGTCCATTGTCTCTACTAGGTAGTCAATATGTTGTCTAGGGTAACAACCAACCCGTCAACTGTCTCTACTAGGTTGTCAGTATGTGGTCTAGGGTAGCAACCAACCTGTCAATTGTCTCTACTAGGTAGTCAGTATGTGGTCCAGAGTACAAACCAACCTGTGAACTGTCTCTACTAGGTCGTCAGTGTGTGGTCTAGGGTAGCAACCAACCTGTCAATTGTCTCTACTAGGTAGTCAGGATTGGGTCTAGGGTACTAACCAACCTGTCAACTGTCTCTACTAGGTGGTCAGTGTGTGGTTCAGGGTACAAACCAATATGTCAACTGTCTCTACTAGGTCGTCAGTATGTGGTCCATGGTACTAACCAACCTGTCAACTGTCTCTACTAGGTCGTCAGTGTGTGGTTCAGGGTACTAATCAACCTGTCAACTGTCTCTACTAGGTAGTCAGGATTGGGTTTAGGGTACTAACTAACCTATCAATTGTCTCTACTAGGTGGTCAGTGTGTGACCAACCTGTGAACTGTGTCTACTAGGTCGTCAGTGTGTTGTCCAGGGTACTAACCAACCTGTGAACTGTGTCTACTAGGTCGTCAGTGTGTGGTCCAGGGTACTAACCAACCTGTGAACTGTGTCTACTAGGTGGTCAGTGTGTGGTCCAGGGTACAAACCAACCTGTCAACTGTGTCTACTAGGTCGTCAGTGTGTGGTCCAGGGTACTAACCAACCTGTGAACTGTGTCTACTAGGTAGTCAGTGTGTGGTCCAGGGTACTAACCAACCTGTGAACTGTGTCTACTAGGTGGTCAGTGTGTGGTCCAGGGTACAAACCAACCTGTCAACTGTGTCTACTAGGTCGTCAGTGTGTGGTCCAGGGTACTAACCAACCTGTGAACTGTGTCTACTAGGTCGTCAGTGTGTGGTCCAGGGTACTAACCAACCTGTGAACTGTGTCTACTAGGTGGTCAGTGTGTGGTCCAGGGTACAAACCAACCTGTCAACTGTGTCTACTAGGTCGTCAGTGTGTGGTCCAGGGTACTAACCAACCTGTCAACTGTGTCTACTAGGTAGTCAGTGTGTGGTCCAGGGTACAAACCAACCTGTCAACTGTGTCTACTAGGTCGTCAGTGTGTGGTCCAGGGTACTAACCAACCTGTGAACTGTGTCTACTAGGTGGTCAGTGTGTGGTCCAGGGTACAAACCAACCTGTCAACTGTGTCTACTAGGTAGTCAGTGTGTGGTCCAGGGTACAAACCAACCTGTCAACTGTCTCTACTAGGTAATCAGGATTGGGTCTAGGGTAACAACCAACCTGTCAATTGTCTCTACTAGGTAGTCAGTATGTGGTCCAGGCTACAAACCAACCCGTGAACTGTCTCTACTCGGCAGTTCGTAAACTGTCTCTACTAGGTAGTCAGTGTGTGGTCCAGGGTAGCAACCAAACTGCCAACTGTCTCTACTAGGTCGTCAGTATGTGGTCTAGGGTAACATCCAACCAGTCAACCGTCTCTACTAGGTTGTCAGTATGTGGTCGAGGGTAACAACCAACCTGTCAACTGTCTCTACCAGATAGTCCTTATTTTAGTCTCTATTTAGGACTGGATCATTTGCTTTCTGCTCCATATCCCAGAACCACAGGTCAATATTGGTTGCACCATTGAGATGTATAAAGATGTTTGTTTGTTTGTTGTTTAACGCCGCACTCAGCTATATTCCAGCTATATGACGGCGGCCTGAAAATAATCGAGTCTGGATCAGACAATCCAGTGATCGATATCACGAGCATCGATCCACGCAATTGGGATCGATGACGTGCATCAAACACCCGTTTCCGTTAATCGCCTCTTACGACAAGCAAGGGTTGCTTAAGACCAATTCTAACCCGGATCTTCACGGGTCGTATAAAGATGTGAAATCATCACAGGTCATCGAGTATAGAGCACTTAGAACACGACGTGCAGACGTTGCAAGTTCACATACAGCTTGCTTTTATTCTAATGTTTTCATCTTACCACCATGTCATGCTATAAGAGACGGAATGTTCCAAAGAGACAGAACCACGGGGAAAAACATAATTTGAGCGGTTAATACCATGTTGTCTGAAGTGAACCATAACAGATTTATCTCTGTTGAACCCTCTATGCCTCTGTATGTTAGGGGCTTTATAACATCAGTGAAGCTCAGTTATACGGTAGGGTGTAACGTTTCAGTCGACAAAACACACTCTTTGGAGACCCGGAATCTGCTACGGAACCCAACGTTGCGTGCAGTGATAAAACACTAGACATTGTCAATAGAGTTAGAGATAGATCCAGGTCTGCCTCGTCTATCTGCTCAAGATTTAGAACTTGCCCGCAGGCTCCCCTCTTAGGGGACAGGACACAACGTCCACTTATAGTGCAACTGGCCTACCGAGTGGACAAGATGCAGATAGTTGGTATGAGAGCCACCCTAAAGAATATGGGGATTGGAGTTGCCAGAGATTTGACACAAAATCAGCATTTAGAGATAAATAGGCTGAGAACCCTGATAAACACTTATATAATAAAGGTGAAAAAATTGCAGAGAGTGTGAGAAGTGTCGATATCCTGACACAAGCTGAGGGCGGTGATTTGACACTGTAGACAATCATCGACGTGAGTGGGACCAGCAGGGTAGAGACACTGTAGACAGTCATCGACGTGAGAGGGACCAGCATGATAGAGACACTGTAGACAGTCATCGACGTGAGTGGGACCAGCAGGGTAGAGACACTGTAGACAGTCATCGACGTGAGTGGGATCAGCAGGGTAGAGACACTGTAGACAGTCATCGACGTGAGTGGGACCAGCAGGGTAGAGACACTGTAGACAGTCATCGACGTGAGAGGGATCAGCGGGGTAGAGACACTGTAGACAGTCATCGACGTGAGAGGGACCAGCAGGGTAGAGACACTGTAGACAGTCATCGACGTGAGAGGGATCAGCAGGGTTGAGACACTGTAGACAGTCATCGACGTGAGAGGGATCAGCGGGGTAGAGACACTGTGGACAGTCATCGACGTGAGAGGGACCAGCAGGGTAGAAACACTGTAGACAGTCATCGACGTGAGTGGGACCAGCAGGGTAGACACTGTAGACGGTCATCGACGTGAGTGGGACCAGCAGGGTAGACACTGTAGACGGTCATCGACGTGAGAGGGACCAGCAGGGTAGAGACACTGTAGACAGTCATCGACGTGAGTGGGACCAGCAGGGTAGAGACACTGTAGACAGTCATCGATGTGAGAGGGACCAGTAGGGTAGAAACACTGTAGACAGTCATCGACGTGAGAGGGATAAGCGGGGTGAAGACAATGTGGACAGTCATCGACGTGAGAGGGACCAGCAGGGTAAAAACACTGTAGACAGTCATCGACGTGAGTGGGACCAGCAGGGTAGAGACACTGTAGACAGTCATCGATGTGAGAGGGACCAGTAGGGTAGAAACACTGTAGACAGTCATCGACGTGAGTGGGATCAGCAGGGTAGAGACACTGTAGAAAGTCATCGACGTGAGAGGGACCAGCAGGGTAGAGACAGTGTAGACAGTCATCGACGT